TAATTGGGCAGAGTGCACCTCGCACGGGTCAAATACGCGGTTATGACGTCATAAAGCCAAAAAATTTCGTCTCCTCCTGGCGGCCGTATTGTATAAAAATAAATGCAATGTGGCCGCCAATACCAAAAAGGTTGTGCACCCCTGGTGTAGTGAAAGCTAGAACATAACAACCATGTCCAAGTGGCCCGCGCAATCATTCGTAAACTGAATGTGGCCCTTTGGCAAAAAAAGGTTGGACAACCCTGTCATAGAGCCTACAGAAATTTTCAAAATAATCAAACGTAATAATTAGTTACAACAATAATCTTTACCCACTGAAAATTACAAAGCAATTGGTCCAGTAGTTGAATATTTTTGAAGAGTTTTGAAATTTGGGCTTAAATATGAGACCCCGCAGGGTTCAAAGGAAATTCGAAAAAAATAAATAAATGAAATTGGTTTCTAACGATTTCTTCCCCTTTGACATTTAGTCCATAATTGAGAAATAAAGCGTTCCAAACAATCTCAATAAGAACGAAAACAAAATTATAACAAAATATTTGCATTCTCTTTAGGTTTTTCTTTATTCTTTTTTGTTTTTACTCCTATTTTCTTTCTTCGGTGCATTCCCTCGTGATAGCTGTATATTCCTTTTTTAGATAATCTGCACAGTAGCCTCAATTATGTATATTGTCGCAACTACTGGTATTCATTTAGTTACTTTTTATACTAACCCGTATCAGCTAGGTGTCGCTGCTTGAAGACCTCTATAGGCCCCTCGCGACTCCGGTCACACAATTAACACGGTCGGGATATTTTATTTGTTGTAACATTTTCCATTGTAACATATGTTTGTTTTTTGTGATGACAAATAAAAGATTGATTGATTGAAGGTCAACTTCCTTCCAAGAATACATATTTTCATTTTTAACACTTATAAGTCTGAACGATAAAAAAAATATGGATCTTTTTGCTATTATGTTGTTGTTGTTGTTTTTGTTAGTATTTTTATTCTCGTTATTATGAAAAAATGCTTTGTTTACTCACTAATGGATTGCTGGACTATTGCTTTGACACTTTCAGTGTTCAGAGATTTTTTTTCGCTAGAAGGCTAATACTTTTTATTTATTCATAACTTTCCTATGAATCCTATGAGATCTTACATTTCATCCATCCAATTTCGTTATATTACACGCTTTCATAAGGTTAAGTCGAAGAAATGGTCACTTCAGCATAGAACGCAAATAAAACTTTTCTGTACATATAAATCGTGATATCATTTTGGTAGAACATAGAGAATTAAATAAAAAGACCGTACAATTAGAATTGCACAGGCTGAGAAATACAAATACAAACAAAGGATAGACAGACCGAAGGAGAACCACATATAATGTGGTCAGATTGATATAGAGCAGCCAAACAAAGGCCTATCGGAAAAACTTTTTTGTATTTCCAAAGATCAAGTTAGGGATATATAGGCCATATCGTGTGTAAGTAATTGTTTGCAGTGTGCAGGTTGTAAGCAGATATAGAGGGCTTCTATACAGCTGTGGTTTAAGGCCTAAACTTCAAAATGAGTATCTTCTTCAATCCATACGTACGTAAACAATTCATCATAACGATTATTTGAAAATTATATAGATTTTAGCAGAGTATGTATACTGCTTTTGAGATATATTTTATAATAAATATATAATCATTATGTTGGTGCAAGACATAAATTATTTGAATTTTTCATTGTAATACATTCATTCATTTACATAAAAATATTTCTGTGTGTTTCCGTTGCGCAGTTTTCTCATGTACTTTATTGAACAGCCTCATGAAATATAACCATCGGAAGTGGCCCAACTTAACCTTCACTAGAACCTGTAATAATAATTTCAGCGCCTGAACACAGATTGCAAAAACAAGATTGCCTTATTTACGCAAGCATGACGCATATTTGTGAAATCAGTCCACGTTGGCACGTCACTACCTATCTTTTCATAGTTAGAGAAGGTATAATTTTGGATCGTCAACGACTGGACGCCCAAAAGTAAATAAACGAGATGACCACGCCATACATAGATGCGCTACATAAGATCTAAATCAGCGCAGAAGTTTGAATATTTCAAATACGCCGAACGCTTGTTTGAATAGCCAGACGACGTTGTTTACTTCTTACCTATATAATAAACCCAAATGTTTGTTTGTTGTTAACGCCCATTTACGTAAACACTCAAAATAGCCGCAATGGGCATCGAATACGTCAAATTTTCCATGAATTATAAGCTAGAACGTATTTTCAGTTCAACAGCTGTCGACATATCACCTTGTGTCTAGCAATAATAGAAATTAAGCGAGTCAAATCCGGTACATATGCACAACGCGTCCAGTAATAAAAATAGGAAATGAAAATAAATTTTATGCAATTCAAAATCGTTATTTTATGAATTTTAAATTGAGAAAATGCGAAGTATATTTTCACATCTACTGAATGCAATGTACATGTATATATATTTAGTATTTTATATCCTATCACTTACAAAGACGTTGATACAGGCCTCACTGAAGATGAAATATTGACCGTTAAAATCACAATATCATCTCCCCAGACATGCAATTGTTTACTTTGTTTACCTTCAGGTTAACGAACACGACATGGTCTGACAATTCAGCTATACGTGGTATTACTTATCAGTGAGATGCGACTACAATACCAGTCAAAACCTGTTGGATATCAATAGACATTGTTCTATGAAAGATGCGAAAAGGCACGTATTTCTCCAATACACAATGTTGTTAAAAGTATATGGCATTGTTTGGCATGTCATGTATTCCCCAGTCCTACTGTTACGTTTCACGAGATATGACTAACTTATGTAAACTAATGACATAAGTTCTTGCAAATATTTTTAAATTTGTACAACCGCTTTTGCTAAATATAAATTCACAACTTTCCTATTAGAGAACTGGAATGCGTTGTTTTTAAATTTATTTCAATAGTTTGTGTCTGTGATTCAAACATGTATGATTTTAAGTTTATTCTCTGAATATAATTATGCAAAAGAAAATTTTCAAGTGACACAAAACCAATATTATGATTCGAATTCCTTCAAAGTAGTTACATTTTTTGTGTACACATTTAACTCCCAACATGCGTATGTTGAATCGTTTTTATATGATATAAGTTATAAAACATGATAGTGACACGTATTAGTTGCATAGTTTTGCCATTACTTCGTAGGAAATTTTTCCGAATTCAATATTCACAAAACCCAATAAAAATTATTCCGGTTGTGCAATCTTTTGATAATTGTTTTCTGTAGCCTCGAACGCAACAATCCCCATTCCACTATTTCATCATGTGGCTATTAAATCAAATGACAAATGCATTATGTGTCATTGACACACAAAAGTAATGTACTGTATTTCTCTCACGACCACTTTTTAAGTTTCTGGGAAAAGTCAATAATTTGTCTTGTTTTTGGAAACTTATTGCATAATTCACATTCATTGTTCAAAATGATCCCTAGAGACTGGAAAACAAGTTAACGTTATACAAGCAGACTATCGGGTTTACGTTTTATGAGCGCATGTTACCGAAAAGATTTACGTAAATGAAATTAATGTGGTGATATGTAACAGTTGATAAAAAAGCAGTATAATACTAATATTGGACAATTCGCGGCTTTCGAATCGATAAATGTCTCGTGTCTTCACTCCAACTAAGGCTTTTGACAAGGTCCACCAATACTTAAAGATACTTTTCGAGTGACCGCATTTTTGTTCGCACTGTTTACCCAAATTTTTCGCTTCAAATTTTGGTTCTAAAAAAAGCTTTTCGATCATTTACACCTTGTGTATATGAGACAGTTTACCAAATGTTTCACATCCAGGGTCAATTTTTTTACCCATTGTCTACCCAAATTATTTACTTCAAATGTTTGTTTCCTGAATGCTTTTCGTTTATTTACGCTTTCTGGATATACAGTCTTATATCACGAGGTGCACTAAAGCAAGACCTATTTTAGACCGATATTTTTGCGATATCATTATATGTAGATCCGAGTGGATCTTAAGACGTCATTTCATGGACTTTCATGTGACAAAGATTTTAAATTATGTATCATTGATCTGTTTAATATACAGTATTCATAAAAATGAATTGCACCACTAATAGCAACTTTAAAACTGAAACATTTCTCATTTATTAATATGCACTTCACGTTAGATAAAAATCCATTTATACATCTATAACTTATACACCGACCAAGAAAGAAGGTAAGCAGTATCCGGTATTAAAATTTTACAAGAAATAGCCTTTAAATTTTATCATGAAATGATTAGTCGGGAATATGTAATGTTGACCTCAAACTGGCGCATTTAAACGTTAATTTCATGTTGATTTATTCCAGTTGTTATTATTCTGTACAAACGGTGCAATACATTTAGATAACGAAGCCCGTTGTGTCACAAAGAGGACAAATTTAACGACCATCGAAAAATATTTTTCATGTTAAGGGTTACAGACTTATCCCCAATGAACACAATCAAATTTTACGATTCCGTTTACATCATTGCGGATGGAAATATCTACATTTGGTATATAAAACAAACTTATGGCGGATGGAGATTTGTGATATACCGATGATAAAATTTTATTAATCCAGCAACAGAACTTATTTGTTGACAAGAAGCAACGCAATAAGCAACGCCTTAGTCAACAAAGAACAATAGGTATTTTACAGCTCTGGATTCCATTTGACCTGGTCATCAACAGAATATTACGTTAAACGTTGCTCATAGCCAAAGCACGTCTTTAAATCGTGTTCTGCCAAGTACTAAAGTGATATTTACCTTGCACCAAAGACTACGCCAGATAGTTTACGATTATCGGATGATTTTTAAACTATTTTGTTAAATATTTAGGTTACCAAGGAAGGTTAAAATATCCAGGATAAGTCGCGGTAAAACAGAGACTTCTCGATCTGCGGTTTCCACTGTGTACCCAGAGCAGTCTATATAACTTCAAGAGAAGGGTGTTTTGAACCACATATGAGCTAAAACTTTTGATTCAACCTTTACTTATGATATAAAAGTCAAGTATAAAGAATTACAGACGAACAAAATATTATTTTGAAGATGCTTCGTCTACTATTGCCCTTTTTGGGATTTACCTTGGTGTACGGTGAGTGTATCGCAAAGTTAAAAGTTCTGCCGTCAGATTATGACAATATTATATATATGCTGTATTGTGAACATTCATTTGGAGGTCAAATAAATAAAAAACATCTTGTAATATAAACTTGTAATATTTCTGCTACATATTCTGCTTTTATTTTAAATAAATGAATCGATTATATTTTCATGTTTTTTTTATTTCAGGTTTCCCAAAATCCCAGAAATTTTTCGTAATCAACTGTACAATTTCAGTTTTAGTGATTGATTTCACTCGTCCAGTGCCTGATTGACAAAATCCTTTCAATATTTGTCAATATGTTATATATTTAAGGTGCTGCAATTGATCCTTGCAAAGATGGCACTCGTACTGATGGGGAATTGTTTCTCTTAGATGACGGATGTCATCCGTACTATTATGAGTGTGTCCACGGTAATTTTCGAAATTAGATCAAATCGAAATTAACAAGTTGAATTATAGTTATTAGTGAAACAAAAGCAAAAATACAAGATGACAGATTGACAAAATATAATGAAGACAGAAGTATACCAATGTACAGTTATTGTCTAACACCTATTTCTACATAACTGCGCTTTTTAGATACAATATCTTTAGCTCTAAATTACCTGCCGGAACTCGATTTTAGCGTTAGCGCAAGTAAACATAACGTAAGCCCAGTGGCTTGGATATTTACATAATTCTCATTAAATTCGATAGCGTGTGATTTTTTCTACAAATAAGAACTTAGAAGCGTATTCAGAAATTTCATTTCGTAGTCATGCCCAAACTCGAACACCGTCACATTTAGGAGTTTAATACAAAACTTTATTGCTATTAGACTATATATTTAAGGCTTCGCTGGTGTCCAAGTCTAAGTTCCAGATTGACCATCAGCAATTTTCTGAAAAACATTATTGTTTTTTAAGACCAATGTCAAATTATTCACTTTTTTCTCACATTTTAATAATAATTTTAACCCAAACTTTTTTTTTTGCATTATTAGGCGAATCGATGCAACGACCATGCGCGGGCGGAACGGTATTTGATGTCTCTATAGGCGTATGTAATCATCCTGGAGATACTGCTGCATGCGGCGGTAAGTAGCCTACGACCCACTTCTTTTTTGAACAGCTCCCAAGTATTTACCTTTAGGGTTTCTTTGATAAAAACAGCTTCAAATTGAAAAAAATATTTTATCAATCATTTCTAATTTGACATGGTTTCATTTTAGTTACTTCAAGTGATCCTTGTGCTGATGGTACCTATACCGAAGGAACTCTATTCCTTTATACGGAAGGATGTTTCCCGTACTACTATGAATGCGTGCATGGTAACTTTTTTTAAATTTTTTTTTACAACGTATGAAACCACTATACTTGGCTTATTCATAAAAATCTGTTATACTAGTAAAATATATTAATATTATTTTCCTCAGATCAATCTTTACAAAGACCATGTGCCCCAGGCACGGTATTCAGTACTTCTGTTGGAGTGTGTATTCATCCGCGAGACCATCCAGCATGCGTTGGTAAGAAATTATGAATAAACGATTATAACTTGATCTAATCCCCTCTGACTTTTAAAACTAGCAAAACTTTTTGCCGAGATAATTTGCGCTCGTTTGGAATATGTTCTAGTTTTTTAAATCTCTTAAATAACAATGATAACGTAATTACCTAAATTAAGACTAACGAGAGAAATCACTTATTCTTTTGAATTGTTTGGGTTCTGAACTAAAAGGATCAATGATATGCTAAAGACAAACTCTCGAAGTTGAAAAATACATGATGTATTAAGTATCACTGCACGTTCAAAGGAATACTGCTCATAAATGAACATATTTATTAGTCCTCTCAACTGATCATAAAACTGGACATAAAATATTATTTAGATGGATGCACACATGGAGACCTCTTTATTCCAGATGAAGGATGCTACTCTTTTTATTTTCAATGCGTACATGGTATAATTTTGTTTCACCATTATTGATTCATTGTTAATTGTCTACCAACTGTCTAGCATTTTCTATAGCTTTGATTTCTTTTCGTCAGGTGAACCAGTGGAAAAATTATGTGGCGATGGATTAGTTTTTGACAGCACGACGAATACTTGTAATTGGCCAGCGAGTGTGCCAGCATGTGTTGTTGGTAAGAAGCATTTTTTGTATAAATAGCAACGTAACCTTACGATTGAAAAAAGTCATGGGTCCTAGTCATCAAATATATCAAAGAAATATGCCAACACAACGCTAAGTTTTTTAAAAAAGCAGATGGAAACCGGTACACAAATGATGTAATTGTAGTACATTAACCAGCTTTCTCAATAGACGAAATTTTTTTTTTAATTATCCGCTATGACATGATACTATTATGATGCAACCTTGTACTTTTTTCGTACAAAATTTGTGATTTTTTCCTCATTTAGGTTCTGGCGACTGTCATGGACATGAGCACGAAGACTTGTATCTTCCTGATAACGGTTGCCACAACTATTTCTACCAATGTGTTCATGGTATTAATTAACATATTTTACATACAATATTTCTTCTGGAATCATTAGTATATATATATATATATATTTATATCGTTATTATCAACATTTCGTATTATCAGTTATCGTACGTTATATTATGAAGTCTGCTTCATTGAAACATGTCAAATTGAAATTTAAACAGGCACTGCTGTTAAAATGCCGTGCCCAGCAGGGCTAGCATTCAATGAAGACACGCAAGAATGTGACTGGCCTTCTAATGTTCCTGCATGTCCTGGATGTAAGTATATTTTTGTCATTTGGTTTGGAGATAATCAAAATAAATGCTTAACGCAAAAAACAATATTTTCAGATTCACCCGAAGAAAAAACAACGTCCAAAACAACAACGGAAGCGGGTTAGTGTTTTTTTTTATTCTTTTCTATGAAGTATACTCAGGGATACAAAATAAAGACGACATCTCTGAAGTTTAAGACAGATGAGAATCTAAATACAACCTCGGCACTGCGTTTTGTGGAAATGGAATTATTTGAAATAGGTGAAACGCTGAGTAAACAGTGCGTTCTAAAACCTGAAAGTCACGTGACCACCTATTCCGCCTATCTGACTTTGCACATGGTTGTGAAATATTTTTACCAGCAACACAGCATCAAATTCCAGATTGATAAATTTAATGTTCCTCAATAAAATAAAGTAGCTCCAAATGAGGCCCCATAGTCAGTATACGTTTTTGATGAGACATGTAGATAACAAAGTTTTTAATTGTATATTTTTTATAAACTGTTATTAGTTTATTATTTTATTATACTTACCGAAATCTGTTATCTTTTACCACCTTGTTCTTTTAGATTCAGACAACTGCCACGGACACCAACACGAAGATCTGTATCTTCCAGATGGCGGTTGTCATGATTATTTCTACCAATGCGTTCATGGTATTGATAAGCTTTGTTTAAATGATTGTATCTAAAAACAAATGAAAACTTTGCTTCCTTGTTCTTACTAATTTAATTCCGACAAAATTACTTTGAGTGAGTTCCATGTCTACCCAAGCGTATTATATCATTGAATATATATCACAAATTGAAAAAAATAAATTTAAATATTTTCAAGGTACTGCTGTCAAAATGCCTTGTCCAGCAGGACTAGCCTTCAGTGAAGACAGGCAAATTTGTGATTGGCCATCTACCGTTCAAGCATGTCCAGAATGTGAGTATTTTGCTTGATGTATCTGAAAGTATCAATATATCATATATTTAACTATTGCTTGTTTTGTCAAGATCCAACTGAAGAAAAAACAACAAAAGTGACAACAACGACAGAAGCAGCAGCAGGTAAGTTCAGTGCAATTAACCTACGTTTCACCCCGAGAGTACAATTGCCCAAATTTGTTGAAGAACAAAAAACAAAAAAACGAAGCAATACTACACTTCATTATCATAATTTAATTATCTGTTTGAAGCAAAATTAGATTTGAGTAAATAATAATTTTTCTCAAACAACAAAATATGTTTGGGGAATATTTCTAATTCAATTTTAGAATAGATTCACAGGATATTCATAACTATATTGCTATATTTTTAACCTCAAAAATGACATTGAAGTGAAACAGAATTTGGTTCAATATGCCAGCATCCATAATATGTTATGTGCAAATATATTGTTCGATTACTTTTTTCTGTTCTTTTTATTTTCTACAAATTTGTCACTTGTACTTGTTTTTGTGCAAAACCTTCTAATCGTTATTTCTCAACATGTTTTAGTGTGTAAGCACAATCTTTTTTTAGACATGAAACACGATAAAATATTTTGGGTACTCCTGAAGTATGCGCACCAAGATGTCGCATAACCTGAACCCTAACCTGGTACTCAACCTGATTTCAGGTTGTGCGCCATCTTGGTGCGCATACTTCAGGAGGCCCATATTTTGTTTAATAATATCAATAAAATTATAAAAGCGTAAACGTATAAAACGAATTCACATCAATGGTCATATTCTGAAATCTGTCTTATTACACATTCACATTTTCTACTGATATTGAACAAAAATATAGCTTCAGCGTATCAGGACCACCGCCTCATAAAATAATCCAATTCCGCGTTGTTGAAACGAACATTACTCTGTTATTTAATATACGAGTTAATATACGTATAGTTGTTGCATATTTTAATTTGTTACACTTGAACAGAAACTGTTGAATAATACCTTTTATTTTTTTAGATCCAGACAACTGCCATGGACACCAACACGAAGATCTGTATCTTCCAGATGGCGGTTGTCATGATTATTTCTACCAATGCGTTCATGGTATTGTTAAACTCTGTTCATACGATTCTATCCAGAAACAAATGAAAACTCTGCTTTCTACTAGTTAAAATTTAATTAATATTAATTACTTTGCGTGAGTTTTCATGTTTGTATCAACGTATTGTTTTATTTTTTTATCATATTTTTTTTTTTAAAATATGTTTAATTACTTTAAGATACCGCGGTCAAGATGCCCTGTCCAGCAGGACTAGCCTTCAGCGAAGACAGGCAAATTTGTGATTGGCCCGCTACTGTTCCAGCATGTCCAGAATGTGAGTATTTCGATTGAGGTGTTTAAATATTCAAATGTTGGTAATCAATCGATTTATTTATTATGTTTTCTGTCTAGATCCAACTGAGGAAACAACAACAAAAATGACAACAACAACAGAGGCAACAGCAGGTAATTTTAGAGCAGTTAACCCATTGTATAGCCCGAGAGTATTATCGCTCAACACCCTTTGAATGAAAACAAACAATACTCGAGATCATGATAATTTTAACATTGCTTTTAACACGACTATTGATTGATTGATTTTACTGTACTTCTAATTTGGTTGGAAAATATGGTTATATGTTCCATAATAATACGTTTCATGCAATTGTCTTGATGTGAGGTTTTGATTTACTTTTCTTATCTGATTAATTCTATTTTTTTTCTTTTGATTTTTCGAATTGTTCTTCTATTCTTCATTATTCCTTTTCTCAAATTTCTCCAATTATCTCTCCTAATTTGTTTGTTATAACGCACTTTTAACGCCAAAACTTTAATATCAAGTTCTTAGTTATAAATTTAAACATAATTTCAGAAGCTCAAGAAGAATAAAATTTACTTATTTCAATATCCATACTATCAGGGCTGACTTATTAGACTTTTGAGTGTTTACATTGATATTCAATGTAATATAGCAATGGCGAACAAAGTCAAATATTGTATGAAATTTATAATTGTCTGGAGCGCAGTGACACATGCACACAACAAAAGTTTTATATTGTGTATTTTTACCAAATGGTCATTAGCACTCTCATTTTATTATTCTTTACACAGATTGGTTATCTTTTAACACCATGTTCTTTTAGATTCAGACAACTGCCACGGGCACCAACACGAGGATCTATATCTTCCAGATGGCGGTTGTCATGATTATTTCTACCAATGTGTTCATGGTATTGTTAAACTTTGTTTACTTGACTGCAACATGAAACAAATGAATTTTAATACCTAAAAATTAATATTCAATTTAAATGAATCCATTATAATTTCTTTTGTGATGTTTTCAAATATGTATTGTAATTATTTCGTTATAAATGTATTTCACATTTATAAAATAAATTCATTATTCTCAAGGTACTGGCGTTAAAATGCCCTGTCCAGCAGGACTTGCCTTCAGCGAAGAGAGGCAAATTTGTGATTGGCCTTCAACTGTTCCAGCATGTCCAGAATGTGAGTATTTAGCTTATTGTGTACAAAAGTATTCAGTCATCTTTTTAATTAATATTTTCCCTTCCAAGATTCAACTGATGACACAACAACAAAATTGACAACAACGACAGCAGCATCTTCAGGTGAACTTGACAGAAAATAAATTCGTTTTTTTTTTATCCTTTGAAATGGTCTTACTTTCCCCATTATTTTTATACCCAATTCTCTTCAATTTTTATCTTTCAACTTGTTTTTTATTTAAACACTTTTCACACCAAAACTACAATAGAAATTTTTTAGTTATAATATAAACATAATTACAAATGCGAAAAAAGAATAAAATTCACTACCTTCAATATCCATTCTATCAGGGCCGACTTGTTAGTCTTTTGGTTGTTTACACTGATATTCAATAAAATATAGTAATGGCGAATAAAGACAATTGCCTCATAACATTGCATAGAAATAAGGTGAGTAGTTGATGCGCCGTCACCCATGCACACAGCAAAAGTTCTATATTGTGTATTTTCAACAAACGATTATTATAGCCCTTTCATTTTATTGTACTTTATCCAAGTCTGTTAATTTTTACCACTTTGTTCTTTCAGATTCAGACAACTGCCACGGACACCAACACGAAGATCTGTATCTTCCAGATGATGGATGTCATGATTATTTCTACCAATGCGTTCATGGTATTGTTAAACTTTGTTCACAAGATTGTATCTAGAAACAAATGATAACAATGCTTCCCACTAATAAAAATTTAATTTAAATGAAATTACCTTGCGTGAGTTTTCGTGTCTGTGTCAAAATATTATGTTATTGAATATTACATATTATTAAAACACGTTTAATTATTTTTAAGGTAATGCAGTCAAAATGCCCTGTCCAGCAGGTCTAGCCTTCAGCGAAGAGAGGCAAATTTGTGATTGGCCTTCTACTGTTCCAGCATGTCCAGAATGTGAGTATTTTGCTTGTTGTCTTTAAAAGTGTGCAATCATATTGATTGATTGATATAATTTAAATATTTTTTTTTTCAAGATTCAACTGAGGAAAAAACAACAAAAATGACAACAACGACAGAAGCAGCAGCAAGTAAGTTCCATGCAGTAAAACTACTTTTTAACCGAAATTACAATTGCACAACACTTTTTAAAAAAGAAAGCAATACTCGAGTTCATGTTTATTTTGACATCGCTTTTTACACGTCTATCGCTCCCAACATTGCATAAAATGTTTAATCAAATCTGTAAGAAAAGGCCGAAAATTATTAGGCATTTTAATAAACTGATGTTGCCTCTTTTGTATTATTTCATGTAACCAGAAACTGTTGCTTAACACCTTGTTTTTTAGATCCAGACAACTGCCATGGACACCAACACGAAGATCTGTATCTTCCAGATGGCGGTTGTCATGATTATTTCTACCAATGCGTTCATGGTATTGTTAAACTCTGTTCATACGATTCTATCCAGAAACAAATGAAAACTCTGCTTTCTACTAGTTAAAATTTAATTAATATTAATTACTTTGCGTGAGTTTTCATGTTTGTATCAACGTATTGTTTTATTTTTTTATCATATTTTTTTTTTTAAAATATGTTTAATTACTTTAAGATACCGCGGTCAAGATGCCCTGTCCAGCAGGACTAGCCTTCAGCGAAGACAGGCAAATTTGTGATTGGCCCGCTACTGTTCCAGCATGTCCAGAATGTGAGTATTTCGATTGAGGTGTTTAAATATTCAAATGTTGGTAATCAATCGATTTATTTATTATGTTTTCTGTCTAGATCCAACTGAGGAAACAACAACAAAAATGACAACAACAACAGAGGCAACAGCAGGTAATTTTAGAGCAGTTAACCCATTGTATAGCCCGAGAGTATTATCGCTCAACACCCTTTGAATGAAAACAAACAATACTCGAGATCATGATAATTTTAACATTGCTTTTAACACGACTATTGATTGATTGATTTTACTGTACTTCTAATTTGGTTGGAAAATATGGTTATATGTTCCATAATAATACGTTTCATGCAATTGTCTTGATGTGAGGTTTTGATTTACTTTTCTTATCTGATTAATTCTATTTTTTTTCTTTTGATTTTTCGAATTGTTCTTCTATTCTTCATTATTCCTTTTCTCAAATTTCTCCAATTATCTCTCCTAATTTGTTTGTTATAACGCACTTTTAACGCCAAAACTTTAATATCAAGTTCTTAGTTATAAATTTAAACATAATTTCAGAAGCTCAAGAAGAATAAAATTTACTTATTTCAATATCCATACTATCAGGGCTGACTTATTAGACTTTTGAGTGTTTACATTGATATTCAATGTAATATAGCAATGGCGAACAAAGTCAAATATTGTATGAAATTTATAATTGTCTGGAGCGCAGTGACACATGCACACAACAAAAGTTTTATATTGTGTATTTTTACCAAATGGTCATTAGCACTCTCATTTTATTATTCTTTACACAGATTGGTTATCTTTTAACACCATGTTCTTTTAGATTCAGACAACTGCCACGGGCACCAACACGAGGATCTATATCTTCCAGATGGCGGTTGTCATGATTATTTCTACCAATGTGTTCATGGTATTGTTAAACTTTGTTTACTTGACTGCAACATGAAACAAATGAATTTTAATACCTAAAAATTAATATTCAATTTAAATGAATCCATTATAATTTCTTTTGTGATGTTTTCAAATATGTATTGTAATTATTTCGTTATAAATGTATTTCACATTTATAAAATAAATTCATTATTCTCAAGGTACTGGCGTTAAAATGCCCTGTCCAGCAGGACTTGCCTTCAGCGAAGAGAGGCAAATTTGTGATTGGCCTTCAACTGTTCCAGCATGTCCAGAATGTGAGTATTTAGCTTATTGTGTACAAAAGTATTCAGTCATCTTTTTAATTAATATTTTCCCTTCCAAGATTCAACTGAGGACACAACAACAAAATTGACAACAACGACAGCAGCATCTTCAGGTGAACTTGACAGAAAATAAATTCGTTTTTTTTTTATCCTTTGAAATGGTCTTACTTTCCCCATTATTTTTTATACCCAATTCTCTTCAATTTTTATCTTTCAACTTGTTTTTTATTTAAACACTTTTCACACCAAAACTACAATAGAAATTTTTTAGTTATAATATAAACATAATTACAAATGCGAAAAAAGAATAAAATTCACTACCTTCAATATCCATTCTATCAGGGCCGACTTGTTAGTCTTTTGGTTGTTTACACTGATATTCAATAAAATATAGTAATGGCGAATAAAGACAATTGCCTCATAACATTGCATAGAAATAAGGTGAGTAGTTGATGCGCCGTCACCCATGCACACAGCAAAAGTTCTATATTGTGTATTTTCAACAAACGATTATTATAGCCCTTTCATTTTATTGTACTTTATCCAAGTCTGTTAATTTTTACCACTTTGTTCTTTCAGATTCAGACAACTGCCACGGACACCAACACGAAGATCTGTATCTTCCAGATGATGGATGTCATGATTATTTCTACCAATGCGTTCATGGTATTGTTAAACTTTGTTCACAAGATTGTATCTAGAAACAAATGATAACAATGCTTCCCACTAATAAAAATTTAATTTAAATGAAATTACCTTGCGTGAGTTTTCGTGTCTGTGTCAAAATATTATGTTATTGAATATTACATATTATTAAAACACGTTTAATTATTTTTAAGGTAATGCAGTCAAAATGCCCTGTCCAGCAGGTCTAGCCTTCAGCGAAGAGAGGCAAATTTGTGATTGGCCTTCTACTGTTCCAGCATGTCCAGAATGTGAGTATTTTGCTTGTTGTCTTTAAAAGTGTGCAATCATATTGATTGATTGATATAATTTAAATATTTTTTTTTTCAAGATTCAACTGAGGAAAAAACAACAAAAATGACAACAACGACAGAAGCAGCAGCAAGTAAGTTCCATGCAGTAAAACTACTTTTTAACCGAAATTACAATTGCACAACACTTTTTAAAAAAGAAAGCAATACTCGAGTTCATGTTTATTTTGACATCGCTTTTTACACGTCTATCGCTCCCAACATTGCATAAAATGTTTAATCAAATCTGTAAGAAAAGGCCGAAAATTATTAGGCATTTTAATAAACTGATGTTGCCTCTTTTGTATTATTTCATGTAACCAGAAACTGTTGCTTAACACCTTGTTTTTTAGATTCAGACAACTGCCACGGACACCAACACGAAGATCTGTATCTTCCAGATGGTGGATGTCATGACTATTTCTACCAATGCGTTCATGGTATTGTTAAACTTTGTTTACTTAACTGAAACAGGAAACAAATGAATCTTACTACCTGGAAATCAGTATTCAATTCAAATAAATCCATTATAATTTATTTTGTGATGCTTCCTAATACGTATTGTAATTATTTAGTTATAAATGCATTACACGTTTATAACATAAATTGATTATTCTCAAGGTACTGGCGTTAAAATGCCCTGTCCAGCAGGACTTGCCTTCAGCGAAGATAGGCAAATTTGTGATTGGCCTTCTACTGTTCCAGCATGTCCAGAATGTGAGTATTCAGCTTATTGTGTACAAAAGTATTCAGTCATCTTTTTAATTGGTATTTTCCTTGCCAAGATTCAACTGAGGAAACAACAACAAAATTGACAACAACGACAGAAGCAGCAGCAAGTAAGTTCCGTGCAGTAAAACTAGTTTTTAACCCAAAATTACAATTGCCCGACATTTAAAAAAAATAAAGCACTACTCGAGTTAATGATTATTTTGACATCGCTTTTTACACGTCTATTGCTCCCAACATTGCATGAAAGATTTAATCAAATCTGTAGGAAAAGGCCGAAACTTATTATGCATTTTAATAAACTGATGTTGCCTCTTTTGTATAATTACATTTAACAAGAAACTCTTGCTTAACACCTTGTTTTTTTTTAGATTCAGACAACTGCCACGGGCACCAACACGAAGATCTTTATCTTCCAGATGGTGGATGTCATGATTATTTCTACCAATGTGTTCATGGTATTGTTGAACTTTGTTTACTTAACTGAAACAGGAAACAAATGAATCTTAGTAACTGAAAATCAGTATTAAATTTAAATAAATCCAATATAATTTATTTTGTGATGTTTTCTAATACGTATTGTAATTATTTAGTTATAAATGTATTACACATTTATAAAATAAATTCATTATTCTCAAGGTACTGGCGTTAAAATGCCCTGTCCAGCAGGACTTGCCTTCAGCGAAGAGAGGCAAATTTGTGATTGGCCTTCAACTGTTCCAGCATGTCCAGAATGTGAGTATTTAGCTTATTGTGTACAAAAGTATTCAGTCATCTTTTTAATTGGTATTTTCCTTGCCAAGATTCAACTGAGGAAACAACAACAAAATTGACAACAACGACAGCAGCATCTTCAGGTGAACTTGACAGAAAAAAAATTCGTTTTGTTTTTTTTATCCTTTGAAATGCTCTTACTCTCTTCATTATTTTTTATACCCAATTCTCTTTAATTTTTATCTTTCAACTTGTTTTTTATTTAAACACTTTTCACACCAAAACTACAATAGAAATTTTTTAGTTATAAATATAAACATAATTACAAATGCGCAAAAAGAATAAAATTCACTACCTTCAATATCCATTCTATCAGGGCCGACTTGTTAGTCTTTTGGTTGTTTACACTGATATTCAATAAAATATAGTAATGGCGAATAAAGACAATTGCCTCATAACATTGCATGGGAATAAGGTGAGTAGTTGATGCGCCGCCACACATGCACATTCACAACAAAAGTTCTATATTGTGTATTTTTAACAAACGATTATTATAGCCCTTTCATTTTATTGTACTTTATCCAAGCCTGTTAATTTTTACCACTTTGTTCTTTTAGATTCAGACAACTGCCACGGACACCAACACGAAGATCTGTATCTTCCAGATGGTGGATGTCATGATTATTTCTACCAATGCGTTCATGGTATTGTTAAACTTTGTTACCAAGATTCTATCTAGAAACAAATGATAACAATGCTTTCCACTAATAAAAATTTAATTCAAACATAATTACTTTGCGTGAGTTTTCGTGTCTGTGTCAAAATATTAAGTTATTGAATATTACATATTATTAAAACACGTTCAATTATGTTTAAGGTAATGCAGTCAAAATGCCCTGTCCAGCTGGACTAGCCTTCAGCGAAGAGAGACAAATTTGTGATTGGCCTTCTACTGTTCCAGCATGTCCAGAATGTGAGTATTTTGCTTGTTGTTTTTAAAAGTGTGCAATCATATTGATTGATTGATATTATTATTTTATTTTTCAAGATTCAACTAAGGAAAAAACAACAAAAATGACAACAACAACAGAAGCAGCAGCAAGTAAGTTTCGTGTAGTAAAACTACTTTTTAGCCCAAAATTACAATTGTCCAACACTTATTTTAAAAAAGAGCAATACTCGAGTTCATGATTATTTTGACATCGCTTTTTACGAGTCTATCGCTCCCAACATTGCATAAAATGTTTGATGAATTCTGTAGAAAAAGGCGGAGAATTATTATGCATTTCAATGAACTGATGTGGCCTCTTTCGTATAATTACATTTAACCAGGAATTGTTATTTAACACCTTGTTTCTTAAATTCAGACAACTGCCACGGACACCAACACGAAGATCTTTATCTTCCAGATGGTGGATGTCATGATTATTTCTACCAATGCGTTCATGGTATTGTTAAACTTTGTTTACTTAACTGAAACAGGAAACAAATGAATCTTAGTAACTGAAAATCAGTGTTGAATTTAAATACATCCATTATAATTTATTTTGTGATGTTTTGTAATACGTATTGTATTATTTAGTTATAAATGTATTACACATTTATAAAATAAATTAATAATTCTCAAGGTACTGGCGTTAAAATGCCCTGTCCAGCAGGACTTGCCTTCAGCGAAGAGAGGCAAATTTGTGATTGGCCTTCAACTGTTCCAGCATGTCCAGAATGTGAGTATTTAGCTTATTGTGTACAAAAGTATTCAGTCATCTTTTTAATTGGTATTTCCCTTGCCAAGATTCAACTGAGGAAACAACAACAAAATTGACAACAACGACAGCAGCATCGTCAGGTGAACTTGACAGAAAAAAAATTTGTTTATTTTTTTTTATTCTTTGAAATGCTCTTACTTTCTTCATTATTTTTTATACTCAATTCTCTTCAATTTTTATCTTTAAACTTGTTTCTTATTTAAACACTTTTCACACCAAAACTACAATAGAACTTTTTTAGTTATAAATATAAACATAATTACAAATGCTCAAAAAGAATAAAATTCAATCCCTTTAATATCCATTCTATCAGGGCCGACTTATTAGACTTTTGATTGTTTACACTGATATTCAATAAAATATAGTAATGGCGAATAAAGACAATTGCCTCATAACATTGCATGGAAATAAGGTTAGTAGTTAATGCGCCGCCACACATGCACATTCACAACAAAAGTTTTATATTGTGTATTTTTAACAAACAATTATTATAGCGCTTTCATTTTATTGTACTTTATCCAAGCCTGTTAATTTTTACCACTTTGTTGTTTTAGATTCAGACAACTGCCACGGACACCAACACGAAGATCTGTATCTTCCAGATGGTGGATGTCATGATTATTTCTACCAATGCGTTCATGGTATTGTTAAACTTTGTTCACAAGATTCTATCTAGAAACAAATGAGAACAATGCTTCCCATTGATAAAAATTTAGTTCAAACATAATTACTTGGCGTGAATTTTTGTGTCTGTGTCAAATTATTATGTTATTTATTATTACATATTATTAAAACACGTTCTATTATTTTTAAGGTAAAGCGGTCAAAATGCCCTGTCCAGCAGGACTTGCTTTCAGCGAAGAGAGGCAAATTTGTGATTGGCCCTCCACTGTTCCAGAATGTCCAGAATGTGAGTATTTTGCTTATTGTATTTAAAAGTGTGCAATCATATTGATTGATTGATATAATTTATTTAATATTTCTTTTTTCAAGATTCAACTGAGGAAAAAACAACAAAATCGACAACAACGACAGAAGCAGCAGCAAGTGAGTTCCGTGCACTAAAACTATTTTTTGACCCGAAATTACAATTGCCCAACACTTTTTTTTTAAAGAAGAAGCAATAATGGAGTTCATGGTTATTTTGACAATGCATTTTACACGTCTATCGCTCCCCACCTTGCATAAAATGTTTAATCAAATCTGTAGGAAAAGGCCCAAAATTTTATGCATTTTAATAAACTGATGTTGCCTTTTTTGTATGTTTACATTTAACCAGAAACTATCGATTAACACTTTGTTTTATTAGATTCAGACAACTGCCACGGACACCAACACGAAGATCTTTATCTTCCAGATGGTGGATGTCATGATTATTTCTACCAATGTGTTCATGGTATTGTTAAACTTTGTTTACTTGACTGTAACAGGGAACAAATGAATTTTAAAGAATAAAAATCAGTTTTTAATTTAAATAAATCCATTATAACTTATTTTGTGATGTTTTCAAATATGTATTGTATTTATTTAGTTATAAATGTATTACACATTTATAAAATAAACCCATTATTCTCAAGGTACTGGCGTTAAAATGCCTTGTCCAGTAGGACTTGCCTTCAGCGAGGAGAGGCAAATTTGTGATTGGCCTTCAACTGTTCCAGCATGTCCAGAATGTAAGTATTTTGCTTGTTGTATTTAAAAGTATGCAATCATATTGATTGATTGATATAATTTAATTATTATTTCTTTTTTAAAGATTCAACTGAGGAAAAAACAACAAAAATGACAACAACGACAGAAGCAGCAGCAAGTAAGTTCCGTGCAGTAAAACTACTTTTTAACCCAAATATACAATTGCCCAACACTTTTTTAAAAAAAAGCAATACTCAAGTTCATGAATATTTTGACAGCGCTTTTTACACGTCTATCGCTCCCAACATTGCATAAAATGTTTAATCAAATCTGTAAGAAGAGGCCGAAAATTATTATGCATTTCAATAAACTGATGTTGCCTCTTCTGTATTATTACATTTAACCAGAAACTGTTGCTTAACACCTTGTTTTTTAGATTCAGACAACTGCCACGGACACCAACACGAAGATCTGTATCTTCCAGATGGTGGATGTCATGATTATTTCTACCAATGCGTTCATGGTATTGATAAACGTTGTTTACTTGACTTTAACAAGAAACAAATGAATTTTGTTAACTAAAAATTAATATTCAATTTAAATAAATCCAATATAACTTATTTTGTGATGTTTTCAAATATGTATTGTAATTATTTAGTTATAAATGTATTACACATTTATAAAAAATAAATTCATTATTCTCAAGGTACTAGCGTTAAAATGCCCTGTCCAGCAGGACTTGCCTTCAGCGAAGAGAGGCAAATTTGTGATTGGCCTTCAACTGTTCCAGCATGTCCAGAATGTGAGTAATTTGCTTAGTGTTCCTAAAAGTGTGTAATCAAATAATTTAATTAATATTTCTTCTTTCAAGATTCATCCGAGGAAAAAACAACAAAAATGACAACAACAACAGCAGCATCAGGTAAGCAAAACAGAATGAACTTACTTTACAACACTAAATTACTATCGCCCGGAACAATATAAAAAACAATACACAAATCTTCGATTCATGATAGTTTATTTAACAATTGATACTGATTTTTGTTTTAGTTAACTAATTGCGTAAATCATATTCTTATTCGAGCGAGTAGGAATTTTGCAGAAATATTAAGCTTCTCAACGTTGAAACATGTTCATACATCAACAGTTTTAAATAACATATTTCATTAAACAGAGTTTCCCAGACTTTTTGGGCCACTGACCCCTATTTGTGAATCTTAGTTTTGACGGACCCTCCATCCTATGCCGTATCAATTTCTGTGCAATACCAACGATAAAAGATAATGTTTCATTTACAACACAACGATACAAACGACATTAATGTGATGGATGAGTTTGCTTTTCACTGCGCAATTTATCGACTCTTGGAGCAAACTGTTACAAGCAAACTCGTAGATCCGACTCTACGGCAAGTCTCGACTTGTATTTTGGCATCATATTGGTGAGAGCTGAAAATGCTGTCTCACAAATGCAGATCATTGCAAAGGCAATCAATATTAATTGCCTTTTCTGATAACAATGGATATTCGTCCGCAACGCTCAAACAAAAAGACACTTTTTTTTATTAAAATCATTAAAATCAATCATTAAAAAACGATCCGACACTTTCCATATCGTTGCGGACCCACTGTGCAGTCATCACCCAGTTTGGGTAACCCTGCAATAAACTATTGTGACCTGGTTTTAATTTAATACACTTGAGTAGAATCTGTTACCAATTTGTTTTTTTAGATTCAGACAACTGCCACGGACACCAACACGAAGATCTATATCTTCCAGATGGTGGATGTCATGATTACTTCTACCAATGCGTTCATGGTATTGTTTAACTTCCTTTACACTATTAAAGCTAGAAAAAATGAAAACTTTGCTTCCTAATAATCAAAATTTAATTCAAATAAAAACTTTGCGTAAGTTTTCTGTCTGCCCCAATGTATTATGTTATTGATTATTACATATTATTAAAATAAGTTGAATTATTCTCAAGGTACTGGCGTTAAAATGCCTTGTCCAGCCGGACTAGCCTTCAGTGAAGACAGGCAAATTTGTGATTGGCCTTCTACTGTTCCAGCATGTCCAGACTGTGAGTATTTTGCTTGTTTTGTTCAAAACCGTGTAATCAATCAATTTAATTATTGTTTTTTTTTTTTCAAGATTCTTCCGAGGAAAAAAAAACGAAAATGACAACAACGACAGCAGCATCAGGTAAGCTAAACAAAGTGAACTTACTTCACAGTACTAAAGTACAATCGCAGTAACAATAGGGAGGAGAGAAACAATTAGTCGATTTGTTATCATTTTTATTATTTTATAGATGATATTGATTTTAGGTATGGATAAAAAAAATTAAACCATATTAATTAAATTATTATTATAATTATTCATGATTAATGTTCTGCATATTTCAAATTTGAACACATTACACACACTTAATGAAGCATTCATCTCAATAGTCAATTACCTTTGTCCGGCTTAAACATTCAAACATTCAATTGATATTAAACACAAATATAATATAGAGATATAAGAGCAATTGCCAATAGACATTGTATAAAAAATTTAATAAACATACTTTATTCAAGTCAGAAATGTTTATTTGCCGTACCTTATTTTAAATAAATTTTAGATAATAATAGTTTAATACCTTGTTTTTTAGATTCAGACAACTGCCATGGACACGAACATGAAATTCTGTATCTCCCAGATGGCGGTTGTCATGATTATTTCTACCAATGCGTTCATGGTATTGATAACTTTGTGTACGCAATTAGATCTAGAACCAAATGAAAACTTTGATTTTAATAATCCTACTAATTGATATTTGTTTTGAATAATTGCAATTTGCCTAATGTGTTATGATAATAATTTGTAATTAGGTTGAATGTGTAATGATGAAATAAATTTTACTGTTATCAAGGTACTGCAGTTAAAATGCCCTGTCCAGCAGGACTAGCCTTCAGCGAAGAGAGGCAAATTTGTGATTGGCCTTCTACTGTTCCAGCATGTCCAGAATGTGAGTAAATATTTAGGCTTGTAAATAAGCTAATTAAAAAAACAAACAACGAATTTAAAATATTTTAACTTTGAATTCAATAATATTATCCAGACTCAAACAATAAAACAACAACAGCAAAAACAACAACAACAACAGAATCTCCATCAGGTAAAACTTACTTTAAAAAATAATTTTTAATAATAATATCATTTTCTGATGTTTTGCAAGTGTTATTATAAGTTTATTGGAATGCTAACAAAAAAAACATGAAGTTATTTAGAATGCATAAATATATAGGATATATTTAAACAAACTAAAATTCCATCATGGTCTAAAATAGTCTATTATTTTACATTTAATATCCAGGCGTTCAATTAAACTTTTTAGCTACTAAAATCGGCGCTCCCGTAGTATGTGTACCAAGATGGCGCACAACCTGATAAGATAACCCTAACCTGGTAACACATACTATGTTCAGGTTTTGCGCCATCTTGATACACATACTACGGGAGCACCCTGAAATGAAAACAATTTTTAATTTTCTTACCTTATTAGTTAATTAAGTTCATTTAAACTGGAAATAAATAAATAAATAAGATACAATAGGCGTTCTCAAACAATGGATAAATCATTTGGCCAGGCTACCAGTTCAGACTGAAGGAGGGAATAATTTGTTACTCTGTTAATTGTTTGATGTTCATGGATTTTGTTGGTGCAGAGAAGCGTAACCGATCACTAATAAGTTAAGCCACCTTGTGATGAAAAAGTAGTGACCTGGCAAACGTGCAGCACGTAATTATCCTCACCAAATTAAAAAGTACAAATCAACGTGCGAAAACAAGCGATTTCCTCATTCGAGGGCTTATACACTCGAAATGGACGAAAAAACTGTTTTCAGATATTCAGAAATACGTATATTTTAGACTTGATTAGAAAATCAGGACAATTCATAAATTGTTTAAAAATAGTGTGTCTGCAAATATATAGACGTGAATAACGTTTTATGTGTCCGTCCCTTGAAATTTCACGACGACTTATTCCATAATCATTATTATTTTTTTAACTGGATTACTTCTCCATTTTTACAAGCTTGGCACTCAAAATGTATTTGTGTTAAAACCCAATATTTAAACTACATTACATTATTTTCACCAGAAAGTAGTGCATCAAATCTTGCTATTTAATCCTTAATTCTATTTTAGACTCTGGAGATAAATCAACAACAACACTTAATACAACTACAATTTCGTCAGGTACTGTTTACCGCATTATTTCTGTAATATTAGTTTAACTTACCGCATTTATTCAAATCTTACATTTTACAGACAAAACAACCACCACACTCACTACAACAACGCAGGGGGCCAGTGACAAAAATACAACGACCGAAAGTGGAACTGATTCAAAAGGTTTATTTTAAAACACTAAATTTTTATTAAAAATTGTTCTCCCTAATTTTAACCAGATAGTATTTCACCGTATTTTATAGACCGCAAGACGCATCGAAAAAGTACGGTTAATAAATTGCATGGATTATTCTTTCATATATAATTTTAAGGAGTATTGCGTTGCCGTCCAAAGCTTATTATTAAAAGAAAATAATCTCAATATTTTTATGGTTATTGTATTCTATACAAAGAAAACGACCAAACAAACAAAATATCGAAAACTCAAAACTGGTCTAGTCTAGTTTATTCTTTCCCCAGAAATCCGTCAAATTTTCAATCTTCTGTGTCCGAATTTAACAGTTGTGCGAATTCGACACCATGCATTACCAGAACTGCCTGGTCACTATCAGCGTCTGCCTCGTTGCAATTATCATTGTTATTAATTGTTTGGTGATGATTCCGGTCTTCCCAAACATCGCATGGTGGTTTATACTGATATTTGTGTCCGATCGTCCGCGATCTATTGACATATAATTTCGTAATTTGTCGGCCATTGTCTTCCTGTTGTAGTAAAAATGCGTTAGCCATCTGTCATCGTCACGTTGAAAACATACTATGTTATCATTAACCTATTTTATTTGGTTCTCCCGTAGTATGTGCACTAAGATGGCGCACAACCTGAACATAGTATGTGTACCCGGTTAGGTTATCAGGTTTTGCGCCATCTTGGTGCACATACTACGGAAGCGTCTTTTATTTTTATCAACATACCCTGTGATTTCAATATTCACAATAAATATTTCCACTTGTATTTACAGGTAAAAGTTACGTTGGATTTGTTGTTGATGTTACTGGGTCCATGAAAAAGGAAATTGATGCAGTGAAGCAGTGGATGACTGATTGTATAGATGGCAAAAGCTCGACTTGTGGCAAAGAACCAAGTGGCGGTTGGATCGTTTCTTCGTTCAACGACCCAGGTAAGTGTTTTCAAATGTTGTTTAGCCTACAAGGGATTCAAGAGCTTTACTGCAGAATAATGACACTAATGTATTTCTGTAATGTTTTGTCAAAACGATCCCAAGACAAACAATGCTGTTCTAGTGGTCAGCAAGACTCATGAGTAATTTCGAATAGTTTTCTTCACTATGCCTACCCAGGCGATTTGGCATAGCGTACATGATTCATCAGCACATTGCCTTACATTTTTTGCTTCTAAAAATTAAAAAAAAAGTTATATACACTTTGTTGCTATATATATATATATATATATTTCACAAACTTACAATTTCAGATGCAGAACTTGAAATTGGACCCACGACCAACATTTCAAGGGCGATCTCCGCCGTTGCTTCACTAACTCCAAAGGGTGGTTGGGATTGCCCTGAGATGGCATTTTTGGGATTGTCGGTAAGAATGCAAAAATGACAATCTGTGTATTTAAAAAATATTTTCCCAAAGAAACCTTGTAAATATTTTAAGAGTTTCGATAGTCACGATACACGCTTGTATAGATTTCTTTCTGTAGCGTTGACTCGTCTGTTTTATATTCATGGAAACTATATATGTTATCATACGTGTCACACCTTATCTCCCAATCAGTCGCTGTTTTTGAAACCAGAGTCTATCCGCACTTTATAACGTACCTCTTATTACACCTAGAATGTTAGGAGATTAATAAAATAAAGCTTGAATTATTGATATACTAACGTGACTACGTAGTTTAAATATGTTTCCAAACGTGTAAGATTATCTTTGTGGAATGTATTATGAGTCTTCTTAAATGGAATTTTTATGTTTTCATTTAGAAAGCAATTGAGGCCGTACCCGAAGACAATGACGGTTGCAAAATGTTCTTCTTCAGTGACGCAACACCAAAAGATGTCCATCGTGCTTTGGGTGTTATCAAGAGTTTTATTAAGAAAAGTAAGTGTGTGGTATTGTTGCAGTTTTTTCGATTTTCAAATTTGTGTATTTTTGAGTTTTGCCGCATTTTTAAAACGCTTAGGACTCATTACATTAACTTATGTTACGAATTACCATAGGGTGCATTTTCATACCTATTTTGACCGGCTGCTGTGGCGAGTGTCATCCAGTCTGTCCTGCCGTCGATGAAGAATATTGCATTGATCATGTGACTTCGACTTATCATTCACGAAGGAGAAGGGATATAGAGATAAGTAAGAAACTACTTGTTGTTGGATTTGTATGCTGTATATCGTTTTTGTCAAACTTTTCATTCATTTAAATTAAAATTTAGGCGAGTCAGCTCCATCGGAATACTCCTATTACACAATGGCAGAAGAAACTGGTGGTAATGTTTATATAACAGATAAACCTGAATCCGCCGACGATTTTTTTGAATATCTATCTGGCACCGTTACATTAGGTAAGTTTTTGTATTGAGATGATCAGGAGAGGTCTAACTCATATGATCAGATATTCAATATTCTGAATGTTTATATCAGAATCAAAATAGAATCAATTCAGAATCAAAATAGAATCATTAAACGTTGCCAATTAAACTTAAGATATACTCAATATTTTCTATACATATATTTTTATATCCCCGCCCTTCCAATAAAAATTGCAGTAAAGGTGTAAGCTATGCCAAACGCGGACTAGTTCCCCGAGTGTTAGTAACTTTAGGGGTTAGTTGTAAAAAACACGCCATATACTTGCAAATAAACCTTTTCAGTGAATCTAGTACACAATTGTATTTACGATGTATAAATATTTCAACGGCTTAGTTAAGTTCACTTAAAGCAATAAAACTTTTGTTATCTTCGTATTCGATTGAAATCGTTGACACAGCTGTAGAATTTTATACTCAACAAAACAAGTGAATCACTGACAATACTGTTCATCAAATACATTTGACAAAGAACAGCATATTGTGACCCTAGTTTTATTGATTGTAAAGATGGGATTCAACATTGCTTGAGATAAAATAATTATTTGCTGTGTCAATAGCATTGAGCATCTCATCCTAAATTATCATATTTTGCAATGCAACCTGGCGTTGGTCCCCGACTTGGCGTACTATTAACATCTTTTTTCACTCTGGGTGAGATTTAGGAGGCCTACTAACAGATAGCTTTAGTCATATACAAGTAATAGTTGAAAATATCGACATATATTTTGAATATCGAAATTTAGATCCAAACACCAACTAAAAAATACTTTCAAGTCGTGTAATACTACACAAGACCATCTTAACTTATTGTATTCCGTGTTCCTAGCTATATTAAAATTCTCTACCATGTGAGAGACAACAATTTTCTATATACGCTTAAATTAAAGCAATAATCGAATATCAAAACATTTTTCTAGGAACCTGTGGAAGCACTAAGACTGCTGGACCCGAAGGTGGATATAAATGTGAAGCTGATGTGAGTTAACTTTTTTTTTGTATGGTTAATATGAAAATGAATTTTAATTCAACGAGGCATATTGCAATATTTTATATGAAAAATAACCAGTAGATTATCATATGTATCATTTTGTAAAACATTGTCTTTTTGATTGATAACTCAAAGATGGCTACGTTTAATAAATATTAAACATAGTCGATTGAATCAATGATATCCCTTATTAAGGTTTCAACGTTTATGAGAAAATTAAAACATATTCGCTATTGGTGCTTTGAAGTCTATTAGAAAGACAAGGAAATATACATCATTAAAAAACAACTCTCTTATTTTGATCTGCATTAAACATGTCCCATTTTTTAGTGTTTTTATTTTCTGTAGTGTGTGGCAAGTAGTTCGTGCTGGGATCGTAGTGTCAGTAAATGCTTCTGCTCTGATGATAAATGTTCGACTGAAACACCTCTGATTGGAGCCTCTGCATGTGGAGGCGCACAACATTTCCCATGTGATGCCGATATACCGAGGCAAATTTTCCCTGACTCAAAACTCTGCAATGGATTCTACATGTGTGAATATGCACGATTACATCACTTCGTTTGTGCACCTGGTAGGCAATCTTAAATTTAGATATATCAAGTAATAGTAATTCAATTTACTGAAATATCAATAATTTCGTGATCAAGTGCTGTTTTATTTGGCATTTCACATGTAATTTCTAAAAATAATAACCAATAATACACAGTAATAATAAAACTAAAAATAATATACAGTGGGCTGTTTTTGTAAAAAAAAAATTTGGCGTTGTTCCTAATGTACCGTAGAATATTCTGAAATTGAGGTTTAAGAATTTCATTAATTCCATTTTATGCCAAGAAATCAATTATTTATTTTCAACGTCATATTGACATAGAAACGGCTTTTGTTAGGTCGGGTACTGTGGAAAATGTTAGAAAGCCACTTAAATTAGACCATGATGCATATTACATCAGCAGTCATAAGCAAAAAACATTGAATAATATCGCCTTAATTTAAGTTCCAGTTAAGTAGCCATATGAAACATCACCTTGCCATTTTTAGCTATGTGTTGCACCCCATCTTTAATGATTTATCTTCTCAATTATCTGTTTAAGAATATAATATCACATTTTTGTTCAATTCTTTTTAAAGGTGCCATATACAGCGCAACATCGACGTCTTATTGTGACCATCCATACAACGTTCCTGAGCCTTGCGGTACGCTCAAACCATCTGATGAAGGAACTATATATTGAAAACCAACTGAATTACTGATCGATTAATAAATACTGGAACAAGACGATTCTCATTATTTTATTAGATAATTTAAATTAATCATGCTGCTTTATGTAATACTTTTTATTTCAAAACCTATTATTTTAGCTTGACACTTCACACGCTGTAACAGATTCCATTTATTGGCGTTCTCATTACGGCATTCATAAAAATAAGTTAGTTATTCTATCAATAAACTTGTCTCCTCGAACAATTCCGAAGTTATGTTCATATCCGTTGTAATTCTCTTCAGTAAATGTTATAGAAAATGTTTACCTTCAAAATTTTCATACATTATTCTCTAAATAACATCTGCATTCGCTCGTTTTATTTTATAATATTTTTATAGCTGGATAAAATTACTGACGAATAAAACATTACTCCTGCAAAATTTGATTTTAGAACTATTGATATCAGGGAAAAAAACGGGAATTCTTGTTAGTCGTTGTATGAATGCGCTGACTATCCAGAGTTTTAGTTCGCAAAACAGGAGGTTGTGAAAGATTTATTGTCTAACTCAAACACACGATCATTCGCTCGTCATCCGCTAGACGTCGCTATCTAGTTTCAGACGGCGCTCCCGAAGTATTGGTGCACAACCTGAACTCTAACCTGGTACAATACTATGTTCAGGATGTGCGCCATTTTGGTGCACATACTTCTGGAAGGGTTCCATTACATTTGAACCCACGACAATTGCACCTGCATACTATTGCACTTATGGAAATAACATTTGCCCGCAAATTAAGCAATTAAATATTGATTTGGTGATCGTAGGCGTAGATAAATATCATTATTTTTACAGCCACTGATTGAGCTAACAGACATAGAAGATTCTGCCCGACTCGACAGAGGTCTAGTGCGCGGATGTACTCGAACTATTCAATTAAATTAAAAATATATAATACTTGATGTAAATATTAATCAGTTCGTGGTTACGCGAGACTCCATATCATTTCCCTTAGATTTTGCGCTAATGAGTCAATATGTGTAAGATGCAAGGATGCTGTAGCGAGAATAAATATTGCTATTCTATGTGATTCAAGAGTCTTGTAAAATATCAACACAGTGTATATCTGTAACAATTAGTCTGAATGAGTTTAGATTTAGAAGATCTTGCTGCACAATTATACAAATTTCTTAGTTACATTAGTAACTATCCCACAAAATTCCGAATCAAAATTTTTTATTTCATATGAATCGATATATTTTTTTTCTATATGTGATTTCCAAAGCTAACCGATGCTGAGAGAGTTTTTTTCAATTTTAATAAATTCCAGCTGCATGGTCATAAAATGTAGTCGTGGCGCCCACGTGGTAAATACGTCTTCTACTTGTAAAATGTAGTCAAATTAACGATTAGAGGATATTAAAATGGATCATGCGCACATATATTGTGGACGTGGCAGATTATGAAACAATGTAGTCCGTCCGACAAATGCATTGATTGGAATTTAGCTGATAATGAAATCATTTTTTACCAAATTTGACCTAAAAATAAACTTTGCTCTCCATTTCTTCATCGAACGTTTTCTAATTTATTCAGTTCTGAAACTTGAATACAGTACAGAATCAGGTTGTTTACTACTGTTTAGTATAAGAAATGATTCGATCTCATCATTCCTTTGTCAACTGATTTGCTATTGGCCAAAAAATTTAAAAAAAAATACATTGCACATATGCACATTAAGCCGTTCGAGTGTCCTGAAATTCTTGGACTGAAGTTTGCCTAAGTCCGACCATCTCTTTCAAACGGTGAGTCCAGGCCAAAGGCTCAGTGTTCTCTAGAATCCAAGATATTTTTTGGCAAATGATTGCCAAACAACTAATGAGTTTCTAAGTCAATGGAAAGTAAGCCACGCTCGTCCTTACCAAGAGGTTTTTGTCAATGCGGATAAAAGGTGAATCTTCTTTTAAATCGCCGCTTCGGTGTCTCCAGCAGCTTTCAAATCTAATAACATTGAAAGCGTATTTTCACATATCTTGTACTTTAAAACTAATCAATTCCTAGTATGTAAACGAAGGTTTATCAGCGCTCACTTAGGGGAAATCATTTAAATGCCAGCCAGTAACAAATAGCTTTACCGAAATTTTTTTTCAATCAAAGTTTAAAATATCATCGATAATGTTACAAAATATTTGTAATTCCTCAATCAATCTGACCAGGCACTCGTGCGACTCAGATGTTCAAATACTTTTCGAAGTGAAAGCTCATATCAATTACGATTCAAAGACTCTGCGATGTAGACATTAAAGAAAGTAGTGTATTATTTTACAGCAGGAACATTAGCGATAAGGCGAGTTCATTTGCCGCACATTACAGATTTCGAACCGTGGTCAAATGAGGCGTGATTGATTTGTAAGCGAACTTCTTGTTTCGAGACCAGAGGATCAAGAATTCATTGTTTTAAACCAGAATGGTAAAACAATTATATCAATGATAATTATATCAATAAGTAAAAATATGTAAATAAAAACATGACAATACCTATAATAAAGATGAGCAGTTATTCAAGCATAAATTCATACGATAGCTGATAGCACATCTATATTATCTTTCGCTGACTGCAAATATTTGCCCCATGGGAAATGAAGAAATGATATTAGACTCAAATGTGGATGGATTTGTATACTGCAATTTAGCAAGCATATAGTATCAACTATCAATCTATATGAATATTTGTGTAGCATATGTTTGATATATTGAATGTTCATGTCTATTATTTAAATCCAGTTTAAAAGTATTTGTTTAATCCCATTGCGCGATTGAAATCCTTTCAAATTGTTTCAACCCTTGGATGTTCGTCGTCGTAGGCTATAGAATAAATAATTCATGCAGCGAGACTAATTTGCATGTCGTGCTGTTGACGAAAGAACCGATCGATTCTCCGGTAAACAATTTCAGATTAAGCTCGTCTGAGCTAAAACGTCTGGCTTTTGAAGTTGCAGATATCGTGTTGGTTTTGGCTCAAAGTAGGCCAGACATGAGGAGTTTCGTGAGATAAGTCAATACGACCAAGATAGCAGATGCGCCTCTTTTTATCTTAAATCTATTGTTCAACCCCATTTTGTCACAGTTGTTTCGTACTAATATGGTCGATTTTGTTGGGGAACATACTTGGCGGAGTATAATCTTTGGTAGCAGATATTCTAATCAAAGGTTCTTACGCCTTTCGGCTCGAGCTATTCCCACGAGACTGTAAAAAGCACACCACGCTGTGAATGTCGATTGATGTGCTACACTCACGATGCATTCATGCGGCAAATAAAAGAAATCGTGCAGGCCCGCCATTAGTGAAGTAATTTCCTATTTTTATCTGTCATAGCCGTCGGGCATAAAAAGTCAAACCTCAACCTACAGACGACCATATTGGAATATATTTACTAGCCTAAGGGTCAGTTCATGTCAGTTCAGCTGCTGCTATATGGAGAGATGTACTATATATAGTACAAAATAGTGTGCACCTATACCCCAGAGAGGAAACGATTTTCCGTTAATTCATAACTGTCAGGTCGCGCTGTATTTGACATGAATTGGAAGGTTTCAGGAACAAGCGTGGCATTCATGACGCTGGCGGAAACATACCGTATTCGATTTAAAGTGCGGTACCGTAATAAAGATTTAAGCTTTGTAATATCATATTTATTCAACCTCATTTGGGAACAACTTTGCAGATACATTTTCCATATGTATTTATTTCTTGATGGGTAGCCCAGTATAGTAAGAGCCCGTTAGATTATTGCTATAGATTATTGCTGTCAATTTCACAATAGACAGGATACAAAATGTAATACTCCTCAGAAACGTATGTCCCGTAAATATTAACTAATTCGTTTTGTTTTCACGTCAGAACTTAGTGAAAATTTTTAGCAAATAGTCAAATATGTTGGGATCAATTGCGCTGGTCGGAGTTTTCGCTGTTGTGTTTTGCGGTGCAAGTAAGTATATTTTATTTTATCATGAGAAGTCTTGTGTATAATTTTTTAAGATAAAAAAAATTGATGGCAACGGATGTAGAAAAAATAATTTTTTCAAAAACATTTTTGTAACCTAAAACTAAGTCAACATCGCTACAAAATTACAAGATATTTTTCGATTTGAACGTCCTTTTTGACATCATCTGTTTCATATAATGTTAACACAAGGAATTAATTTTCAAGCATCCGAACCTATTGCACAAGAGGAAGGAGTTGACTGTTCTCCACCATTTTGGCACGCGAAATTAGGCGACAATTATCCACTGGCAGGAATCTCGAAAAGATCAAGACCCAAGTTTCGTCTCATTGTAAAGAAACTAGACAGTGATGGCAACTTCACCGCGGATGTAAAGCACAATGGTAAATTAAATAATATTGTTTGGTTTGGTATATGATCAAAAATATAAAGGTTTTAATATAACTGTGCTGAATTCTTTGAGGGGGTTATGCATAGGAGGAATTATACTAGAATATATTGAACTGATTATATGACCCTTTGTCTCATTATTTCTAGTTATCAATTACACGGTTCAGTTAGTTTGGCGGGTTATATACCCCATAAAATATACCAATGCCAAATTTTCTGTATTATAGTTTTTTTTTATTGGGTTTATATACCGTAATAATACTCTATTTTGTAATACTTTATTTTGTAGTTATTGTCAAAGCTGTTCGACCAAAAAAAGAAGGGTCCAAGCGTATCCATGGATTCGTATTATCGGTTACTCCCGACGTAGGATATGAAAGTTGCGGAAAGGGTACTTTTAAACTTAAAAATAACAAAAGAGCAACTCCCGCCACAGTTAAATCAGGATGTCATGATATGGAATTGGACGGAAGTACCGATTTGAAAGGTACTCGCGGAATACAATGGATTGCGCCATCGTGCGGCTGCGTAACAATGTCGTAAGTATTTGTCAATACGTAAAATGGTATAAACTCATTATATAGTATCTGGTTTGCCTTGCCTTTTCACAAATTCTACCGTAACCTTTTATTCCAAAGTTGCAAACAAGTTTATGCTGAAATTCATTCTGATAAGCATTACAAGTTCTAAATTTATTTAATATCTATTTAATTTAATCGGTAAATTGATATCAACGGTGCAAATATGAAACGATGGACAAAATTTAAGCCATATAATCTCTTTAAACTTTAAAAATATAATATTGTTTTTTTGTAGAGTGGAAATTAAAGCAAATGACGGTATGCTGTATCAACCTGGACTGCATAATACAGAAACAGATCTCAAATATAAGACACTTATCAAAAAGATGTGCGTCAAACCAACAGAGACATAGAAAACTCCGAGTTATCGCATTTCATGACAGAATTGCCTTGGGGTTTATTTGATTACTCAGTTCTGTTTAGAAGTAGATAATGTTTAGATGTCTCGATATTGTGATTTTTTGTGAAATTCATATTGTCTCAGTTATTTTAAGCTAACACTTAACATACATTGGAAAATCACCATATGCGATATTTGCGTTGCATGTCTGTCTTTGATAAATGCATTTCCTATTACTAAAATCATTTAACCGGAATAAAAAAAATCTGTGAAAACTTTAGTTTTCGAATGTTAATGGTTGATTTTCAGTATTATAAAATAGAACGAAATATCTTGATGTAGGCGCATGTATTGTATACAATAACGTCTCAACCTACCTTTGCCGACTCTAGTAGGCGTTAGCATTTAATTTTAAGAAGGGACTGTGATGAACGCGCCTCGTTGTCGTAATCAGTACTGTGATATCTATTCGATGAGACAAAATTTATTGTTCAAGATAAAATTGTCAAAAAAATGAATAAACTAATCAAAAGAGAGGGTTGAAAAATATAGTTTGACAACTCTATATTTTTCTTCTTTTTATTTAATTTCGAATACAAAACTGCGGAGGTAGTTTAAGCGTCATAAAAAATAATCATAATGATCAACATTGTTCAATTAACATCGTGATTTTTGCCCAAATGATAAATTAACATTTAGATGAATCATTCGAATGCCGTAATTATGACTTGTGTTAGACACGAACTCATAATTAATCATGGACTAGATCAGCAAATGTGGTTTTTATTCAATTTGTTATGATGCATACTCGAGCGCCGAAAAATTCTCACTAGTCTACACATAGCCTGAGATGATATTTTGAAAGATTACAAATGATTAGATATCGTTTTAAATTTTCGGTATATGTTACGTTTGAACATTTTAAGTTTAAATTTTAATGTCAAGTTAGATTTAGAATAATCTGATGCTATTTGTGTAACTTTAAGCAGACGGCAATGATTCAATCATAAATCTTGATTTAATTGAGTAGTGAAGTACCCCAAGGCCATAAATGTCTTGAATTGACGTCAAAATGAATGAGCAAGTATGAAGCTGTAGGCCTATTGACTGACTTGAGCTGCTTTGTAATCGTAATATGAGATGATGATATGACATTAACTTAGTCGTAACAAATTACTTTGGGATATATATTTATTTAAACTTTGAAACATTTCCGGCAGATCTCGAAGCACGCATCAGATAAAAAACGAGCTGGGAAAATTTTTATTTAAGAAAACTTGATGATTCGAAAATGTTTGATTTATGGCTTTTGAATTAACAAAAACCATTAATTGTATTGTTGTATAATTAATTTATGAAAGCGTTATTTCATGGCTTATTTATTGCGACTTGCTTATTACAGATGTGTTGTGGTGTGACTTGGCGAACTGCCTATCCTTCGTTCCAATTTTCTAGTACTGTATGTGACATGCGTCATAAGGATGCTTAAAATATACATATATTATGGACTGTGGCATATTTTTGATAATTTTATCGAAGCATTAGGTACTATTTAATCACGACCTAAGAAGACGTGTTGTTTTTAGGCTGTTGCGTGGATCGAAAATTAATAGGGTATTTATATGGGTAAACAATATTTATAATTATTACATTATTTAAAATAAACTTGGTTGAATCTGTTTGGCAAAAAAACAATTGCAAGTAAAGTCAAGCAAATGAAGTTAGTAGTTTGAGCTTCATCCCATCAACTAGGGTTATGTTTAAGTTTAAATCATCTCTTCTCAATTTATTTTGCTGCTATTTGAACTGAAATTCTCACTTGATTGCGTCAAACTGGTCGAGGAGAATTGGTTATTAAGTGAAACCACAAAGTATGCAACAACATTAGAGGCAAGTGTTATTCAACGATAGTAATAATAAAAGTGTCGTTACAGCCAAATCATTGCCACATACGATTTTATGTAAAACTAAAACAAACAGGTTTTGTGTAAAAACCTCAAATTTGTTATGGCTAATATTAGGTGATAAAAATGGGCGAACATTTGTCAGCTGCCATTGGAATAACGATATTTTCAAACAAGAGAGCAATGCTCAAATATATGTACCCGAAGACAAAAACAAATCAGTACCCACCTTACCTTATAATTTCGAAGTGAAAAACGAATCACATTGAACACAGAAAATTTTGAAATAAATGAAAGTAATAGCCTTTTAGCGAAGAATACAATCTTTAACCACTGAAAATTTTAAAACAATTGATCCTGCAGTAGTCAATGAGAAAGGCGATTTTTTCACAACAACAAGAAGAAAATACCAACAAGAACAAGAACAATAACATTTCGTGTCCAATTAAGCAAAACCCATTGAAGATATTGGTTTATAATCAATTGACGGAAGCGTTCTTTTATGACAATGTGACATGCGTCACAAATATGTCTGAAAAACGGGAAATGAAAGATGATATCAACAAAAGGGCATAGTTCCGCGCTTTTAAAATATCTAATAATATACGTATATATATCAATGTGTACGGCATATTTTTGATAATTTTATTGAAACATTAGCTATTATGAAACTACGACCGAAAAAGACCGGTTAATTTTTAGGCTGTTGCGTGAATCGAAAATAAATGGGATATTCATATGATTGAAACATTATTTATAGGAACTATTTTCTTTAGAATCGTCTCAGTCATTTCACAATTACGAAACGATTGGAATATTTTGAGGAATAATTACTTTGTTTCCTGTTTCAAACGTCCGTCAACGCGTGGGGAAAAAATACCAGCAATGCTCTAATTATCGAACACGTCACGAACTCAAAAGTTCACCAAGACCATTCCTATCAATAAGTAAGCTCGCACTTCATATATATAGTTGATTTTGACGACAGCGTATCATATCCTGACCAAAAAATGATTGTCATTGATTTGAGATCAAACCATTTTTAGTCTTAGAATTTGAGGTTTGTGATGTTTTGAAAATCTGTAACTGTACTCATTTCTTCATTCCGAAAGTGTCATTTTCGGATGCTGAAAATAAATTACGCTCAAATTATGCCAATTAATCAAATTATTTAAAATGAATTTATTATTGCTGTCGATTATTTTGGTGTGATTTAAATAAACTACATTTCAAGTATATAATGAGAAGTGTTTTCACGTATAATTAGTACTCGTGGTAATGACGTTTTATGGTAATTTATGAAGAAAAAGTGTAATTTTGTTTTATATAAACACACTCAAGGTGGCAAAGCAAACTATAACAAAAGTATTTGTACATAAAATTTTCAAAATTAATTCAAGTCTGTGTGCTTTCCTAACTTATTTTATGACTCAATTTAAGCTAGTTGCTGTTAAATATTTGCTGATACTTCATTAAAATATCGACCCCCGTTGCGAATTTAACTGCTATCTCTATTTACACTCATATTTCGAGCACTAATGATTTAAAAGTTGGTTGCGGGGTTGTATTTCACAAGATGTATATTCACGTTCCCTAGTAATAAAAATATCTTCCGTTGAAGTCAAACCTAGTACACATACGATTTTATGGAACGCTAACAAACAAGTTTTGTGTAAAACCTAATATTGGTTATGGCTAATTTCAGGTCGGGAAAATGGGTACATAGGACAGGATTTACATATTTATCCCGGCGAAAGAAGAAAACCGATAAAACGGCTTAATCATATGGAAAACCACGACCTCTCGTCCGGTTACCAGTCTATGTCAGATATGGGATTAGTTAGACAGTTATTTGTTTTCGGAAGCATGGACTTGATTGTGAAGTAAGCCGTCCCGATCATAACTATCCCCGCATGAGATTCGACCCTACGAACCCACGGAAGGTGCCATTTAGATTACGATATTTTCAAATTAAGAAGAGCAAATATCTTGAATAACAGGTTGGCCAGTGAATTTCCTTTCGCTGGTTTCCCATGGTGCATATCATTCTTTTTTCACTCCGAAGCCTCAATTAGTTTGTTCGAACTTTTTGAGTTTTAACACAATATTGTTACTGTAAAATCAACAAATGCAATGTGGCACTATATCTATCGATTATTATTTTATGGCCGATATAGAAATGAACCATGACCTCACAGTATGCATCTATATAGGGGAAAAATGCTCATACCAAATATAACAATAGAAAAATTCGATTTCTTTATTTAATGTGCAATAGTGTTAACTTAATGGCATTTGTTACAAGATAACGTCCAAATTTGAAAATAACCCCGTTCAAGTGTAATTTCATCTTATCAATTGTTCTCTCATTCACACTCGCCCAAGGTGACAAAGCATGCAAGCAATAACGAAGTAATTTGCCCATGAAATCTTTAAAATTGATTTAGGTTTGTGTGCTTTCCTAACGTATTTTATTACTTAACTTATTGCAACTAATCACTTTTAATTCTTTGCAGATACTTTACTAAAATAAAGACCCACGTCGAGAATTTAATCGCTATACCTATTTACACTCACATTTTGAGCACTAATGATATAAACGTTGGTCGCGGGGTTGTGTGGCAAATTGTTTGTTTACGTTCCGTGTTTTACTTAATGTGAAAACAAAATCTCATTTTTTTATGACGTTTTGATAAATCTGGTTTACGAACAAGAAATACAAGTGAAGCCATTGAAGTTGGTGGCTCAAGCCTCATTCCACCTTAATTAAAGTTTTCTCGCAGGTGTGGCGGTATCGTGCTAAGCATTAAGAAAACGCTAGTCACGCACCTCTGGTTACATTGCATGGGTTCGCAGGTTCGAATACCATGCGCAGATAATTTTGTGCAAGAGGATTGCTGGACTCATAAATCCCTCTGCTGGTTCCTCATGGTGCATTTCATTTTTTCGCTGATAAGCCTCAATTAGTTTGTCCGAACTTTTTGAGTTTTAACACGATATTGTTACTGTAAAATGCAACAATTGCAATGTGGCCCTTTATCTATCGATCATTATTTTTATATTCGATATCGAAATGAACTATGACCTCACAATATACATCAATATTCTAATTAAGGAAGAACGAGCTCATACTAAAGGTAACAATAGAAAAATTTGATATCTCTGTTGTGCCATAATGTTAATAGCATTTGTTACAAGGTAAGGTCACAATTTTAATATAATCCCGTTTTAGTGTAATTTCATTTTGTCAAATGTTCCCTCACATATAGACTCGCCCACATATGAAATCTTCAATATTGATTAAAGTCGGTGTCCTTTTCTAACCTATTTTATGACTTAAAACCTAATCAACATTAACTCTTTACAGATATTTCACTAAATTATCGACTGAGAATTTATTTGCTATACCTATTTACATTCATATTTCGGGCACTAATGATTCAGAAGTTGGTTGCGGGGTTGTGTGACGACGAACTGTTTATTCACGTTCCTTGTTTTACCTGGAGTCTTTTATCCATGATCGTGACTTAAGTTTATGATCCAATGTCAATATGAAAATAGAATCTCATTTTGTCTTACGCAAAGTCTTGGCTATTAAATGAAGCTATTGAAGTTGGCAATTTTAGCTTCATTTCACATCTTTGAATTCTGCTCTAATCACTTACTACTCGATATGATTAGAGCTTGTTTATTGTCTATAAAATAAGTTTAGAGTGACCCTTCAAAGTGATCTTTCTAGACTTGAGTTCAAATCGTCCTATTTCAATTTATTTCTTTGTCATTTCAAATATTGAATGACTTGATTGAGAATAGGCTATTTTCACAAAGTATGAAATACCTTAATATTAGTTAAGGAAGTGTTAGGAAAGTGTTATTCAAAATTTGTCATAATAACTGATTTTTGTTACAGCCAAACCTACGTCACATACGATTTCATGGAACGCTAAAACAAAAAATATTAGGGCAAATATTTAGTGATGAAAATGAGCAAATATGATCCCCAGCTTCCCCATATTTCCAAATTAAGAAGTGCAAATATCTTGTGTAACAGGATGACCAATAAATCTTTCCCCTAGTTGCTTATAGTGCATATTATACTTTTTCACTCAACAACATCAATTAGTTTATTTTATCAATTGCAGTTTAATTTACTTTACACAGAATGTTCCTAAATTTGTGAGTTTTGAACAATTCGTGGTCACGAATTAAATATGAAATTTCTGCACTTAAATAAAGAAAGAAACGCGGCACATGTTCTGTCGATCAGTACAGTATTATTATATCCGATTATGATCCGAAAATGAACTAATGAACCTGCTATTATGCAACTACATTCTAAGGAGAACGTGCTCATGCTAAATTTAAAAATTGATTGTTTTCATTGGCTGTATTGCACCATAGCACAGTGGAGAACAGGTAAATACTGATGTAGCCTTTTCCGAATAATATCAGCTACTGTGGAACTTCAATTGCATTCCATTTGTCAATATTTGATCTGGATATTACAAAACTTATTTACCTTATATATTTTGAACAACGTCTTGATAATCCCACGCAGAAACATCACGTACTATTGAGTATTGAACATAAATAGATTATTACCTGGAATGGGTTTCGTCTGAGTAAACACGGTAATAAATTAGATGTTGACTTTTTTCGGACTTGTTATTCCCGATAAGGATATGTGAAATCCCCTTTGTAAGGTAGAAACTTACAGTTAGTACAGGCGAAATATCGATGCAAATCAAGCAAGGTCTATATAACAATATAAGAGGTTTTTGTTGCGGTCGAGTTGGGTCAATTACGGCCCTGTGAAACTGAGTAGTGTGTGCAGGTATATGTCATTTCACACGTATCCAAACTGTTTTGTAAATTATACATGAGTGAAGCAGTTGATCTGAGTTATCATATCAGTCACATTTGAGTTCGATACCAACTAGCAAAATATACAATACATATAATAAGTCAAATTTTATTAAAAAAAAACTTGCTTTTTTGGCTAAATGAATTCTAAAAATATATATTTTCGAAACATCTCTAATTTTGACTAAATTTTATACTCTTTGAACTACACCAAACCATCCAAATTTAAGCAATAAAATTAAATTAGAATTTTGCTTTAATAATATATACACAAAATTACGATAAACAATATAGATATTTACAATTGTACAAATGTTACTTAAAGAAATGTACAAGTTACGACGACGGGTATGACTATTTATACAAATAGGACATATTTGAGTCATAGTTCACAGAATTGACCATGTTTATACATACAGGTGTATGTCCTGCCACAAATCCACCTCAGCCTATTTGTAATATTTATCTATATAATATTTGTTGGGCGTTTAAAAACACAATGCGATCAATTTCTTTTGTTTCTTAAAATACGCGAAAGTAAATCAAAACAATGACTGGAAAGATTTCTAATTCTCCGGGAGGACGAAACGAGGACGAACAAATTAAATTTTTGATTAAGGAATCCTTAAGTGTCGTAACTTGTCTTTAAAGTTGAAATAAATATTAAATGCCGAGTCTTCGAATTTAACGCTGTATCCTATTTAAATATTTGCTTTTGGAAAACTTTGTTAATAGAACTACAAACATCAATAGAAAAAGCAATGTCGCCCATATTTTAGTTTTATATTTTTTATTTTGGAAAATTCACCCATCCGAAAGTTTCGTTTCGAGTATGGTACTTTTTTCAAAGTACAGTTAGTTTCTCATATTGAGATAAAAAAAAATAAACAAAGTCAACGTGCTATCTGTATGTACGATGCATGGATTCTTATTTGGGAATACTTACATCATCGTGACAAAAGTACACAAAGAACGAGGTTTATATAAGAGCCTGTTGGACAAATTAAGCATCAGTCTTCGGCTTGACCCACACTAGTGAATTCTTAAAACAAATCTTCAAAAACATGAGATCACTTCAAGTTTTTCTGATTCTACTGACGTTGAACATCGCTTTTGCTTTTTCAGGAGGTGAGTACATAATTGCATAGTATTTTTATTTCGTGTTGAAATATTAAACTTTTTCGTAAAATATTGTCAATAGTTTAATTATATCTTTTGCCTTGCTTAACAAATGTTGATTGAAGTTATACGAAATCAAATTGCGCAACAGTTAAGATAAATATATCTATACAACAAAAAGCAAATATATGGGAACGAAAGCCAAAACGAAATATTTCACTCACAATTTCTCTCAAAATCTTATCCTCAGAGAAGCTGGAACTGTGAAATAGCTACCGGCACCAATAAACCGACTGTCCTAGCTAAACCAAGTGCTGTGACGATGATAAGCATGCGTCTGGTGCAAACGTTAGTCAAAATACCAAATGATTCTACTCTCAACTGTACTATTAAATCTTTTACAGTATATTACCATTTACAGCAGTGGCTTATAACCGGTGGAACAAGGAGGCCACGAAGCAGTTCAAGGGGGGCCACGACACAAGACTAATAATTTATTATAAAGCGACTTCGTTTGCATACTTTTCATTTAAAAGAAAATTCTCTGTTCACCTCAGTTTTATTACCTCAGTCACTAGGTGTATCAACTTTTTTGTGTGTGCGAATTGTTTGATCAAAATGGAATTTTGAATCTACTAATCCGAATAGTTTGTTGGTAGGTCACCTAACTTGCAGATGGGCAGTTTCGCTAGACTGCGAGATTACGGTTTAACTCTATATCATATTATAACTGCAGAAGCCTATATGTAAATTCCCAATCCCCAAATGCGAAAATTGAACGACAGTCACGTTGGCTTTGGCTTTATTGATGAAATGCTAACAAGTTTGCTTTGAAATCAAACAAAAAAGACTTTTCGAGTTTCTGGTTATCCTTTGCGATTCTTAGTCACAACCTATCTGTGCAGATTTTATAGAATTCATACATAATACAACAACAATCTTTAACCACTGGAAACAAATATCATACACATATTTGCCGTTACAACCACTAAGTCTAAAGTACTAACTCAAATAATAAATTGTTCGAGGTAGTGACGATAAATTGTCTAAACTAAATTCTAAATTAATAACACTTAACAATACATTATGTTGTTAGATAAATGTGCCGATGGAACCTACAAAGAAGGAGAAACATATTCTAATGATGGATGTGTTTCATATTATTATCGATGTGTCAATGGTATGTATTTTCCTAATTTAAAACAAAAATATGGTTTAAAAATCAGGTTGAAATATGGAGTTTTTCGAAATAATTTACAAAAATTTGGTTAGATTTTTGTCAAGCAACATTACAATTTTAGTAAAATATCCAAGTATTAATATTATAACTAATGGTATTTTTTTTTACATTTATTGCAATGTTCAGAAATGTTCAATTTAATTGCATTATTGAATGTTTAGATAGAACATTCTTCCAAACTAATTTTGCATTTATTACCTATAGCAAACTTGTCTTTTTGCCGAAGTCTGGTACTCTAGAAAACATTCAAAAAGGTCCTTCACGATAGTTTAAGACTCGAGTATGCCACCGTTAACCAGACTGTGGCGTGGTCATAACTGAAACAAAAATTGCTGATACATAAATATATTTAGGCATAGCTGTGGAGATGAATTGTCCACCTGGCACGGTATACGATTCTATAATTGCAAGTTGTGATTGGCCTGCTAATGTTGATGCTTGCAAAACGGTGAGTCTTGATAAAATAGGAGACGATGTATTTAACAAGAAGATAAATAAAGTCGCTTGTTTAAGTTTAAGATTTAGCCTAATTACCATAATCGAAATCTTCACAAGGTTTCCTTATGTACGATTACCATATTACAAGGCTACTCAACTATTTTACCGAATATCCGCATACTAAACTTCAAAATTATTTGCGTCCGGTTTTTCCAGAAATTAAATTTCGGCTTCCTTAAACGCGCGCTTCCTCGACCGGCTAATGGTTATTAGCTAATCAAGATTGCTTATTATGGTGTTATAGTTCTTTTCATATATATTCACAACTATAACAGTCATTTTATAAAAGGAAACTTCAAAAGTGGGGCTAATGATCCAAAATAAAAAAAATTAGGTGCGGTCCGATTCAAATACTCGATAGGTACTGATTCGGACCGCGGTCCGCCAGTTGAATAGCCCTGCCATAGTGTATACATCGAATTCGAGTGCATTAATGTATTATTCATTTACTTAATGTTAATAACGAATAATTGATCGTGATTAGAAATATGAACCCGATGCTGTTATTGGCTTTTATCATTTAATTTTTTTTTGACATCAGAGTGAGATAAAAGATTGCAAAGATTCAAATGGAAATCCCGTTGCCACTAGCCCAGGTTATACCAAACCAGGAGATTGCAATGGCGGCATATACTACGTATGCAAAGACGGTTAGTCGTTTCATGTTCTCATCTGAAAAAGTTTTTATTTAATCATAAGTTGTTTCTAGTTTTTGTTTTCTAAAGAAAGAAAATAAACTCGATTTTTATATCATGTCGACAACAACAAAAATGCCACGTTCGTTTACAAGATTGTCACAAATAGCCTACGTATTATATATACTAAAATCAACTAAAAATTGTTTTCATTGTTTTATAAAATTACGCATAAAACACATTAATTAATTGTTTCCTTAAAATACTTTTGCAATGCATAGTATGCGTTTATATTTGTATTTTTTTTTAGGAAAAGAAGAACAACAATCCTGTCCTGATGGATTAATTTACGTTCCCGAAATTCAACTTTGTAATTGGGCAGGTAATGTTCCCGACTGTGACGTTATTCCTTCAACAAGTCCTGAATCAGGTATCATTGCATCACTTTGTTGTTAATCTTTCCAGCGACAAGAACATTTATTAATGAGATATTGTTTTGGTAAACTAGAGGACACTACAACAACAACAACTACCACTACAACAACTACCACAACAACTCCTGTAATTATTATTACCGACAAGACATCAAATACTACTTCTACTACGACAACTACAACAACAACTACAGACAATACACCAACAAGCACCATTACCACCCCAACAACCCCATTACCAACTACTACAACCACCAAAAAACCACAAGGTTGGCAAACATATTGGTAGTTGCATAGCAATTATTGTATTAAATCTTTTTCAGGAAAGAAATTAAGAAAGTAGGACCACGCAAAGTTAAGAGCAAAGAAAACTGGCTTCTAGGCAAAGTAACTGAAGTGCTAAAAACTAATAAAACATAAAAATTAAAGCGTAGAATTTTTCCTATTTTTCATAACTTGTGAATTGTGTTATGCAACTTCAGTTATTTGAAAATCATTACCTCATAGCTGTTATACTGATCACTTTAACCTAAATTGCTGTAAGTCTCGTTTAAATTGGTATCTTATTGCGCATAAACTGGTAAAATGTATTTTCAATAAAGGAAAAAAATATGTCGGTTTCGTGGTTGATGACACCGGATCCATGTCGAACGAAATTAGAGGAGTCACTGAATGGATAAAAGGATGTGTGGATGGAACAAGTGATTCGTGTGGAGATTCCCCAACTGGGGGTTGGATTGTTACATCTTTTAATGATCCTAGTAAGATTATTCACTTTTTCTAGATAAACAATAAATTATTTAAAAAATATTATTCTTTCGAAAAGAAGGAATAACTGTTTGTTTTTGTTTGAAATATTTTCAGGCACTGGAATAGTCGTTGGTCCCACATTGGACACTGATATCATAATTACCGCAGTAGATAATTATTATCCACATGGCGGAGGCGATTGCCCGGAAAAAGCCTTCACTGGACTTCAAGTAAAATCTTTCTTCTCTTATTTTTAGCGTTTATATCAATTTTTTAATTTTTAATAAAAAGAATCAATTTTAGATATAATCCAAAATCATCACAATCTTTATCAGCAAACTTTTGAATGTTTCGGGCTATTTTTGCTATTACTTTTTCCCAAAGCAAGTTTTTTAAAATAATTTTATTTCAATAATGACATGGAAATTTCGCAAGTAAAAAAGTTATAATCACTATTTTTTGATATTACACTTTTATGAATTTGAAAATTGAAAAATGGCACATCCAATCTTACTTTACTCGCAAAAATCACCTAAATATTTTGTTTTGTGGAAGTTGTATATAATACAGCATGGTGTAACTCAATAATATGTAAAAAATGATGAGAAAACCAGCACAATACCAATATTCATTTATAGAACGCAGTGAATGTAGTTCCAAGCATGCACAGCGGATGCAAAATGTACCTCTTCACCGATGCAACAGCAATTGATCATTTGATGTCAGATGATGTTACAAATCAGTTTAAATCGAAAAGTAAGTTTTAAGGACGAAAAGGCTGATTTTATTAACAAATTAAAAGCAGACGTACAACGTTAATGAAATTAAAAATACGAATAAAAGCAACATTTGTAAATCATGCTGAATTTTGAGTTCGTTAGATTTGTATTTGACACGAGATTACTGGCAAAGATATCTATTATTTGTATTGAAGTGTAGACGAATGAAAATTTATGGTTGCCGGGAACAATTTGTGGAATACGTGAACACCGTAGTTGGGAGGTCAAATCTCAAATTCACTTGCGGGTATTTTGTACGTAAGATAATAGAAATTAGAAGAAACTCAGTCCTCATACTAAACTGTTCACAAGCTTTGCTTAACATGGAGAGACATTATTCCACTGCTGGTGATTGCTAGGAGTAACAACAGTATATATTGTATGACGTAATAACCAATAGGAATGCAGACACGCGATGTGATTTGATAATTTTATTAAAAACCATTGTATTCAGATTGTGCATTGATCCCGATTTTAACTGGATGTTGTGGAACTTGTCCCGACGCTTGCGAGAGTACGGATCCGGATTATTGCATAAACCACGTGACCGATACGACAAAGAGCAGTTCAGCAAGGATTGCGCGTTCGACATCAGGTAACTACGAACTTCAAATATCAGATTTCTGACATACCTGTATGTTTCTTAATTACACTCCAGGCCATGTTTAACTAAATTTTAAATAACTATTTTAAGCTGTGCAATGCATAGAAACTGGTAGGCGTGTGTATTTTGGACCCAACCTTGGCAACATCACATGTATACCACCTCGCTCAAGGTGTAATAATTTGCGTCAATGCCTGGAATACCAACTGGAAAGATTTCAGAGGTCTAATGATAGTAGCTTTGTACTTATCAATGTACAGTTTTTTTTTCGAAGTGAAGTTTTGAAAACACCGTATATAAGAAATTGTAATGATATTTTACTTTCAAATTATTTGATATCATTTATAATTTGATTGAAATATTTATTAATTCCAATTAAATAGATTTCACAACCAGCATAATTCACTAAAAATGATGACATGTTGATTTTTGTACGTTTTACAATGTCCAAATTTTTAGATAAGAGTTTAAAAATTATACTTGTTTAACAGATGACGTTAAGACGCTGTTTTATAGAATGTCGGAACAAACTGGAGGAAATATTTACGTTACTAACAAGCCAAGTTCACCGGATGATATGTTAGATTTTCTCGAAGAAGAAGTGACTCTTGGTAATTAATATTTAATTGGTAATAAACTGTTGATTTCTAATATTATTTAAATAAATGTAAACTATTTTATTTTAAGGATTTTGCGGTTCGGATGATATTGCAGGACCATTACCTGATGGATACAAGTGTGAGGAAGACGTAAGTTTATTGCAGATATGGGGAAAAATTCTTATTTTCCAACTGTGTATAGAGGTTTATTATCTCATTACTGTCTGATTTGTAGGATCAATACCCGAGGGGTCAGGACGTTGGTTTACTAACAATTTGACAAATGTTATGCATAATGGTTGGTAGATCTACTTAAGGCACGGCCCACCCTTCCACTCGACCAAAATATACCAATATTGTGTATAATATGAATCATTTTAGGATGTTAGTCTCAAATGCTTTTACTATTCCATGCTACCTTAAATTCTGTCACTACTTCTACTTCATTTGTTTTTTTAACCTCATTTGAAAAGGTGAACTCGCTTTAATTTTTCAATGACATCAAAAAAGTAACCCTCGAAAAAAATGAGTCTTTTAACACTCAAGGTTTCTTGTGAAAAAAAAATACATTACTTGCATTTTAGAAGCTACAGCTTATTTTATCGGCGCCAACGGCTGATGTTACACCATGAATTGATCTCCTACACAAGATAGTTATAGCCAACGCACTAACAGTAATATTAAATTGCAGTGTTTGGCAATGAAGATGTGCTGGGATAAAAGTGTCAGCAAGTGTTATTGTAAACCAGGCGAAATATGTATCAATGATCCAATGCCGATGGGATATTCCAGTTGTGCCGGAGAACAAAAGATCGAGTGCGATCCCGATGTTGTGCATCAAACCATACCTGACCAGAAAGATTGTTCTGGTTACTATCAATGCAATTCGGGAATCCTGTACCATTTCAACTGTGCTAAAGGTAATTTTGAGTGTTTCATCAAATATTTATTATGGTAATTTGTTGATAATTAAACATATATATAAATATAGAATTCATTTTTAATGTGTTTTTCATTGCTATGTATTGACCTTAAATGATAGAGCAAATGGATGATTGAATGAGTTAGCAAATAAATGTATTTGGGGTATTTTTGTTGTTTTCATATAAAAAATATATATCCAATAAATACCAAGCCTTCACGTGTATCTAAAATTAATCTTTTTCAAAACAGGGTAGCAGGGTATTGTTTTAAGCTACTCAATTTCGACAAGGCTATGTACTCCTATAGCAAACACTTATGATAACGAAACTGTAACGTTATGAAGGATTACAGCTTTACTCCTATTGAATATCTTAGTACACATCTATTTGTAGAACGCAATGTAATTCGTTGAATAACATACCAATTGAAAGCATGTTTTTTCTGTCTAGGAACGATCTTCAGTGCTGCCTCACCATCCAATTGTGATCACCCTACAAACGTTCCACCACCCTGTGGCAGTATGATCACATCCAGTGATGTTATTGTATGAATTTTGAAACTATAATACGATAGTTACAATGTGCTTTTTGCAATTAATTTGAATTTAGTTATGTTAACAAATATGTGAAAATATAAAAAGCAATTAATTCAAAAGGCTACATCACAATTATTATACGGTATTTTTAGCCATCTTTTATTTCCTAATTTCCGGTTAACGTGTGGTCATGTATTTGATTGTAACACTGTCTTTTACCAATTATAGGTATCAGATATTTTGCGGTGTATTCATAACCTATACTCGCAAACTGAGGCTAACAATATCGTTGACTTATTGTCTGTGATGTAGTTTTTATTTACATATATCTCTTCAAATATAATTCTTTACATTTTAGTAATCTTTTTTTTTTATTACTGTACCTCTTACTCAAACGTGTAATTTTCTGGATGACAAATAAAATATACATCAATATTAAATATCGTGGTATGTGATTAACTGTATCACTAGTGTTATTCCTTCAGTACTTCAGAGTTCACTTAAAACAAATATTCGATCTCATACTGTTAGGGATATGTTCAAAAACAATTGTTTTAAATCAATTTTCTTTTTGCCTGTTTTGTTCAAAATGGCTATACTATTTGATTTTTTTGTATTAAATAGGTTGAAGAATAATGAATGTAAAAATTTGCCAAGCGCTTCTAATTTGCAACAAATCGTTCAAAACGCCGCAAATATCGATAGAGGCTCATGCACACCTTCTCAAGCTGTAGTTCAGTGGTTGGCGCAATGAGACGCAACCGACAAGCCATTACGTAAACTAGGGGTTCTCAAACTCTTTGTCTTACGAGCCTATGATGAGGTTAACTATTATTCACGGAGCCCCACAATGAATTTTTTTTTTTAAATAAATACGTTTTGGGGTAAATTAAAATCACTTTACTTCATTTAAATGCTAAACGTTTTTTAATATGGGTGATACAAAATAGGAATAAATCTAAATTTCACAGATAAATAACATATATTAAGGCTGTGAATTTGACACTCGACAAACATATTATCAAAGTAGTGTCGGAATGAGGCATCCAGACGATAATTTGAATATGACATCATTTATTGGAACCTAAAGACAGTGGCGCAGGCGAGGGGATTCTCTTCTTCTGATATTTTTGGAAGACTGAAAAAGTTGCGAAAGACGTAAGCGATTACACGTTGTTAAAATCGCCGGTTGTTTTTGTCAGCGTGTTATTCATACCGTAAACATCTTTACGTCGGTGTTTGTTCTTCCTGAATCACAAATTATTATTGCCATACCTAGGCATGTATTGTTCCACAAGTACTTTGGAAATGATATCACTGACATCGAAACACTGTCAATTGTGCGCGCGTTGTACATTTTTATCCATCTGAAACCACCGACGGATCTTCGTGCGACTTTTTCCCTGTATGTGACGGTATATAAGACAATTGAGTACACCAATCAATTTTTATTGCCATGAAATAAATATTAATCCTTGTCCACATCTGGGAATTTTCCATACGGTGATCTCTTAAAACAAATTTGAGTGACAGGACTGCAATAGGTAGTAGCCAGTCAGCTTAAGCACAAATTTTCGCTGAATACGAATCAAAACAAGATATAATCTGACGCTACGCCTACACATTTTCATGTTTGTTGATTGCCGTAGTAATTTTGTGTATAATGCATCTATATTGTCGTAAGTCGACGCAACACAGGTTACTTATAACACAATTGAACTATTGAACAAGACATTCTAAATATGTCCGCGTGGGTTCTGGATTGAATACTTTGCGCAATTGCGAATTTTACTCATTGAGATGTTAACGCTGACCTTGAAATTTTTGTAATGACTATATCTGATATATTGCTTGAAAATAATCTGAAGTGCTGAAAGAACAACTATTTATTTTAATACTATTTATCGTCGGCAGTTTAGCGCGTATTTATGTCTACAGATTGTCGCAGCATTTCAGTTGACGCAAAGGCGCGTAACGATGAAAACAATTAAATTGATACCACACGTGCATTGAAATATTTTACCCAACAGAAATCTCGTTATCCGATGAAAATTCATTTTTTTATGAGGTGACCTACTCGCGAAGACTGTTGTGCGGGAATTTCCGAACCCCCTCTCTTTTAGTAATCCTGGCTGCGCCCCTGCATATATTTAATGTCATATTTGAATTTTCGACGCTACCGTTGTCAAATTTATTATTGCCGTTATTGGTCCTTTGGTCAGTTACAAAACGAGCTAAGTCAGGATAGCTCGCGGATCCCCTATGTGTTCTCAGCCCTGGGGCTCCGTACGGATAACTTTGAGAACCTATGACGTAAACGACCATGCTGCGATGAAACCCCCTTTCGAAAATTGAAATGCGATGGAATAAATGAGTTTGTATAATCTTGAAAAACTCTATCACTTCAACCTTAAAAACTAAGTAAGCTAAGCATAAATAACCCGAACAGTATTAACCGTAATAATGCATTCATTTTATGAGATAAAGGTCAATACATGAACTCGAAATTCATATTATGGCGTCATAACAGATTAGTTGTGACGTCTTTGCATCAGAGGACCCTTACAATTACCATAGGCTAGGCTAGGGTGTCTTATCGTTTATATCAGTAGATTACCACCGATATAAGCATATTCTTCATTATCGCAACTCCCCTTGTTTTGCCGAAGGGCTGCACTTGATATAATTGCTTTTGTAGTAGTCTCGTGAGCTGATTTTCATGATTTTTCTTACTCAAAACGTCATTCTTATATCTCGGCTAAACATTTCGGGTAAAATCTTATGACTTAGGTGGAGATACAAACGTAACGATAAATGTACGCAATAGAAGTAAAAGTCAAAATAAAAAATTTCACTCACATTTTTGAAATTATAATTCAACGATCTGCAACGTTTTTGCGTAGTTTCGCGGCGATGCAATGGGTATTTCAATAAAAAATTAAAAATAATAAAAAAAAATTTGATTTAAAACAAGCCCTTGTTTTAAAACACGTTTTTTCTAGAATTGATAAAAAACAAAACCATACATACTGTAGATCCATGCACCAAAGCATTAAGTTGCGAGAATACTATATTTTACAAGTGGTACCATTACTACAATGGGTCTTTATAGTCGTCAATACGTTACCTCTCTTCGTGCAGGATAACTTTAATTAGCGTACTGTTCGCACCTTGGCCAAAATTGAATTCGAGCTAAAATCGGTAATACAACATATTTCTATTTTTTTTTATCATTAGTTTCTTTAATTATTACATAAACAGATGAAGGGATAAAATTGCTTGATTAGAAAGTATGTAAACATCTCAAACTGACGGTACAAGTTAGTGTTAGATGTTTCGTTTTGTTCTGGTGAATAATAAAGCATTGGCAGTTTAAAATGTATTTTAACACACATAAATATATGCACAAACAAAAAACTCCGAAATAATCATAATGCATAACCAGTTGAGGTGGAAGATATGCAAAGATCAATTATAATTCATAAGTACTTAGTGCCTCGAATTTATGAGAATAATTAATTAGATAATATAAAATGAAATTTCATCAACTGAATCAACACAAAAATTTCATAAAAAGATTTTGAATAATGTTGACTTAGTTTGTATGCAAAAACTTATTCCTCTTACACGACTAAAATCGTATTCAAATCTTTAAAGCAACTCAGTTACGTTTCACATGAGATAAAGCATAGACTGAACAAATATTAAACGGCGCGATAATGCTTGGAATTGCGAAGCTGAGCAACATAATTTTATGTGATATTCTAATAATTTCAGCGACATTACCAAATTAAACAAGGTAAATGTAACACATACTTGTCGCTGATCATAACAGTTTGCTTCGAAGCTTTTTACCTAAAATCCCGAACTCAAATGAATTCCGACTGGCCAAGATCACACAAGTTTGGATGTCTGATAAAATATAACGTATAGAATTGCTAATAAAGAAATTGAAGTAATTTGAGACTATAACATATATCCGCGTGAGTCTCATTCAATATAGGAACGTAGTCTATAATTCATAACCAACGTTATTTCGCGTCTAAAACCTGATTTTTTTCAATGTACGTCACGTAAAATTTCCCTAATTCCTATACTTTGAAAGCGTGTAAATAAAACCTCAATTCATCTTCAAGTGTGATCGGGCAATGCGAATTTTTTTATATTAAAAAGACCAGTAAAATGTCCACACAAATTTAAAAACACCCGCCAAAACTTGTTCTTTCAGCTTTATCTAGTCGTAGGTAGATATCTAAAAAGTTTGATTATTATTGTCTAGTATTGAACAAAGGTATAATATGAAATGAACAAAAACTCAAATCCCTAACTAAAATAAAATAGCAAATATTATTCGAATTAGAAGTACCATGAGAAACGTTTAATTTTCACTTGAATAGTAAGTAGTGTTGCCTGGGGCGTTGGTCTTGCTTAACAGGGTTTGATTTCACCGATTAGCCTAGCCGATTAGGCTTGCGGTTGTGCAATATGATGGTTGTTGAATAGGTAGATAGAGGATAACTTCGAACAAAAATCCCAAATTGATGGCAAGAAACGAAATTTGGATTAGCTTTGTATTTTTTTTGACAACAGGATGTTATATTTTTCTACACAGTAAGCTGACGTCACAAGTGATAAAAGAGATAAGAGTTCAAAACATGAGCGATACAATGAAACGAAAGTTTGCAGATGATAATTTAGCACATAATCCTAAATTAACTATGAAACAAAATGAAATGCTACAACAGATTTTAACTCGAGCAAAGAACAAGACGAAAGTGAGTAAATGATAATGACTTCGAGTCATACATGATGCAATCACATCCTATCATGGTGATAGAAATGTATTCGCGATAGTTCCGAGTACGCTTCGATGTACAGGTTCTCGAGTTCTTAACACAAATACTTTTAATGAATTGCAATATCTCCAATTATCACCTACTCATTGAAATTCATTTTTTTACATTACAAAAAATAATAGATTCTGAGTTAAACTATCAATTACTCAAATAACCAATGAGAGATAAGTCCTGCAAGAGCACGATGCCTTACAAGTCAATTTTAAGTAGTAATATTTTAAGAAGTAATACTCAGTCATCACTCTGTTGGGTATATACATTGCACTTCTATCGCGTCATGTTACTTTACTCTAGTATTGTTTTATCACGAGTATACGTTTTTCAGTATATTCTTGAATGGCACGGGAGAAAACATGTAATGGATTACAAAAATTTGCCTCCCGAGATTTGTGGAAAATGCATAATCACGCAAAATAGGAGCATGGTAAAAAAATCTTGATTTTTAATTATTGTATGTAAATTGCTAACGTCAGAATATTAGATTTTGTGCATATTCTCAATGGTTGCTAAATAGTTTCTCAGTTTAAATGTGGTAAATTGAATATTCATTTTTTCAATGCCGTGTTTGATAGCAATTCGTAAATAGGCAATATCAATTTGATAAAAGTTATGATATATGTTATCAACACGATGGAATGGTTGGTGCACTGAAATGATATCTGCTTTCAGTCTTTGTCTATAAGTTACCTGGCGCACTGAATGGTAGAGGCATTTCAAATGTCCGATTGCAGATTTACTCTATTTGATATTTTCCGGATTTAGGCTGCCGTTTCAAACAGCATAGCATATAGTTCTTATTCGAGGGAATAAATGTTCAATAATAATAAAACCAAAATACAAAAATAATTGCAAAAAATTACTACCTATACGTCAGCGAAATTTGGATATTCTGTGTCTCGTATGAGAAAGGCACAGTAAAACAGAAAGTTCGAGTAAATGAGATTGTTGTTATAAATTTTAAAACTTTAAATGTATAGTAAAAAAAAGTTTGCAACAACTTAATATCAAAAAACTCAAATCACTTTTATGGGCAGCGATCAAGAGGGATTGCAGGCTGTTCTAATCAGGCCTAAACCAACTATCCATAGCATATTTAAAGCTTTCGTGTCCTTGGTGATATAGTTTAGTTTCATATTGATCGTATTACAAATGGTCATTATATTTCAGATATACCACCCGGACACAGGCGCAGTTATCTTCTTTTATAATCATTTCAATTCTTCGGACAATCCCATTATTAGGTAAGTCTAAAAGAGTTTATAAAATAAGCAGTATACCATAATATACTGGTCTGATTACCCAAAACAAATCAGCGAAATGTAGGTTTGTGCAATAAAGAAACTACGTTTGTTCGCGTGAAATCCCGTTCATCAATTTATATAGTATGCTTAGCGTAGCGAATATTCCTAAACTCCATTAAATTTACCAGACGGACTGATCAGCTACACGTTTGGTACACTGCAGAGTCACCAGCATCAATATACACAATGCGAAATATGTATTTGAAAAAGGAAAACAGATATCGTTTTAATATAACACAGACATATAGGTGAGTGTGTAAAGTATTTTTTTGATTGAATTCGACACAATTGTGTTCTTTAAAGCTGTAACTCATAAAGAGGCAAAAGTGGGATTTTTGACTTGAAGGAATTATTACGAGAAAACCATGTTTTTATTTGTTTTATTTTAGTTTATTTGCTACCTCGCAATTTACCACACCTACTTGGTTTCCACGTCCTTTAATATGCACTTCATCCAATTTTAATTTTTTCATAATAGATCCATCTCTCAACCTAATTTTTGTTAAGTTAAGTTATAACAATATGTTAAAGGTTTACATGTATAAGATCGTGACAATTACCGAAAATATTTGCATTTGCTCGTTCTATGGTATCAATAGCATTTATAGTTTTTGGTATATAGCCTCATTTATATTCTGGGGGAGATTTCTTCACTTCAAAGAGTGTTTCATAACATTTTATTGAGCGAATAATAACGAAAAATTCTTTTCAGGAGAGATTCGGGCATTTACCATCCATACGGATCATTGAATCAAATTTTGAAAGACAAAATGGATAGAAAAGAACACGAAAATATTTCAAAATTATTAGTTAATAAAACTGATGTTGCAGTTGCCGTTGTATCAAACTGCGACAGCACTCCGGGCGCTGCAGTACGAAAAGAGCTGATCGAGAAAATGATAGAATTTGGATTGGAAGTGGATACTTTTGGAAAATGTTTTGATAATATTAAAACAGAGAAGCACCATGATTTCGAAAGTTCTCTTCAAAAATATAAATTTTATCTGGCTTTTGAAAACGCATATCACTGTCGAGATTATATTACAGAAAAGTTCTTCATAAATGGTTTAAGAGCCGGTATACTTCCAATAGTATGGGGAGCAAAGAAAGACGACTATGAAGCCGTAGCACCTACAGATTCATTCATATTTGTAGAGGACTTTCCTTCAATTAAAAGCTTTGTAGAATACATAAAGTTTTTGGATTCAAATGACAACGAGTATTTAAAATATTTCAAGTAAGTGGGTTTCTGAACCACGTTTTATATTCATTTTCAATCCTAACCACGATTAGAGACAGTTAGATCACAACGGTAAGCCTTATCTCCTATTTTGCGGTTTAGGTTCTAAATTTAAACCATATGAACTACGTCGTCCATTCTAAACACAATCAATTGATAAGTCATATTTAATCGGGTAATTATCTACAGATTCAGCAACTCAGTCAGTTCGAATATGATAGTTTCATTTATCCTTGGTCATAGCAAGAAGTAATATACTACGAAAATTAAATGATTTCCTAAAAGAAACGTATGTTCTGATATACAAAATGAATACTTTTCATTTAAAAAAACTTTTAGATGGATTGAAAGGGGAGTATTGTCACTGCCAATGCACGGAAGGCAAACTAGATTATGTCAGTTATGTCGTCAAATTCACGGAATTAATGTTGAAGATATTTATGATCCTTCGTACAACGCAACAAACCCCGAACGACCGGTGTTCACCGAAAAAATTGCACGACGGGAAGTTCGTGATCTTCGGACATGGTTTTACGAAACCGAAAATAAAGAATGTTTTCAACATCGAAAGACAAGCATCAAACGAATGTTGAATTTCACTGATTTTTAAAACTCGATTACTACGCAGAAACTAGCTCAAACCTCAATCAAGAGCATGCAAGAGGTTCCTCGAGTATCTCAAGTGATTCAAAAAGCGAAACGGTATCTATTTGCACTCAACAAATAGCATAGAAAATAGCACTCATTTGCACATTCACCATTACTATTATACTACTTCAAACAAGAGAGCAACGCTTGAATGTATGGACACGAAATGCTAATAATTACAGCAAAGACCCAAGCCTAACATTTTTTTCAGAGCCATTTTCCCAAGCGCCCACGTTTTTTTAGACAAATATTGTGTTCATTTCATATATCTTGATACCGGAACAGCCTTGAAATCGGAGAAGTGTGCCTGCCCATGCCATGTTTAGTTAAGAAATACCGACTTGAAATTTCCATCGGAGATGAGTTATTTGATTAACGACAAAGGTGCTCACGTATCCTTGTCTATTTTTTCGTTTATTCGTGTTTTCTAGAATGTATTTTATTGACTTTCTTAGTTTCTTCTTTCTTAGTCGAACGTAACTTTGAAAAAATACAGAAGTAACAGCATTTAATGACTTTTTTAGTTAATGAGAATTTGGCATTGTTTTTGTTCTTTAGTTGCGAAAGAAGGCGACTTTTGCTCCCACAAAGAGACAAACAATTATTACTCTTCGTATCCAATGATATAGGTAATAAGGTATGTGTCAAATAGGATTGAATTATTCAAAAAAAAAAAATTTGAAACAGTAGAAACAAATAATTCTCAATAAGTACTTCATGAAGAAAGTATTTTTATTTTTGCTCAGCTTTTTATATTCTTATACAATTGACCGCCGGGGGCTTCTGAACTCTAATGTTCTATTCATTTAAAACATTTGTCAGAAGCATTTTGCTGTACTTGCTATATTGCAACAACGTTACAACCCGGACGATAAAGCAAAAATGAAATGAAAAATCTTTGACATCATTCAATTGTATATATACAATTCACCAGAAAAGACTTTCTAGAAAGTTGTGTTTTAAAATCACTGTATCGTTTTCATGAGGAATTGTATTTTTTTTGGTTATATATTTTATGTTTCCGCAATTTTACGAGCCCTTGTTCTACTTATTATTCTTTACATTCAAGATTAAAACAAATTTTATTTGTCTATTTTTGATACCTTATACTTCGTTCGCAATGGAAGTTGTATAAGGTCGTCCGAATACCTACTAATGTTGTTCGATAACATATCTTCAATGGCGGTGGTATGCCCACAATCTATTAAATATCTAAAACGCACTCTTAATCGCGACGCATCTTGTACACCACTAAAGTAAACTTATATTATACCACAGCATAAATTTAGGTTGTTATAATATTTATATTGTTGAAAATTCAGCAGCTCGACTGCGTTGTGTTTGGGCCAGGCACGGGTGTACCAACAATTGCATTTGACACGACTAACAGCCAACCGCATTTCTAATTTTGTATTTCTCAACCTTTTTTGACCGCGGGCCATTTCCGAAGCGAATACATTTGCGGCGGATTCACGCAACCAGAAGTAAGTTAACGTTGCTCCTATATAGATTTTTTATTTAGGTCATTTCGAAAAGGAAATAATGTCAAAGCAAGGCCCCGCACTCACTCAGAATCCAATCACTAGAAGAGACTCATCCCTGTTCGTCTCATGGCGGCACTACACTTTGACTTTTTTCAAAGAGCTATGGTTTAGAACTTTTAAGCACAATACACACCCAAGTAATTTTAATCTTCATGTACTTGTTCGTGTAATTTTCACGTACACAGGGTGTCTCAAAAATAAGTAGACACTTTTAATTTTGATTTTCTTTCCAGGTACTCATCATGGAGCTTTCATTTCTTCAGGAGATATAGTAAGAATGAGTAGTAAAAGTGAGCTATTGTTTGTACTTACTTTTGAGACACCCTGTATACATATATATTTATTTGAAAAATAAAAACATTTGTAACGAAATTAGTAGAAACACATTGAATTTGAATTGGAGCCAAATCACATATATATATCGTTACCTCAGGACGATTTTTTAAAATTAACCAAGTATTATTGTATAATTTAGCTTTTTTTTCGGAATGCGTGGTTTTATTTTACATCGTAAAAACGGTAAGTAACACCGAGCTATGAAATTCCATAGGTGTTTTTAAGTATATGTGCGCTTCACTCTATCAAATATGCAAGAAAAACAATATTGAGTATCAGAATAAGACTATTACAACTTCAGAGAAAAATATAGGTAATATATATCGATAAAATTATAAAAAAAAAAGTAAAAAGTTGTGACAATGTGGTCAAAATAAAAAATGTTTATAAATATAAATCGCATTACGTACTTTTGAAAGTGAATGTCAATATGCCGGAAAATTAAAGCATAATAAGCCACAGAAATGACTACTAAAAAGCTGATGGACACTGATGTATATATATATATATATAAAGTTTGAAGGTCCAGAAATGCTTTCTTGTTAAATAATGCACCGATTTCATATTGTCGACTATTTTTTCCAACATAAATATATCAGTACTACCCGGAATTCAAATCCGTAACTGCTATACTTGGTTATCTAAATATGAGCGGTTGATGGAATAGGACCTTATGGCGAGGGACATCGATGCCGTGTAACGTACAGTATAATCACGATTATTGTGACGTTAGATTCATACAATTCATGCACTCTCGTCAGTTTCTGTTGAAGAACCCGGAACTTTTTTATTATTATGCCCGCATAATACTGTTAGGATGCGTCTGTGACTACCAAAAGTCATCAACATACAAAATACATTTATTAGGATGCTGACGTCATACAACGTCACACCAACTGAAATTGGAAGACCGATTGGTACAGTGACGTAATTAACGACGAGCATGGAAGTGACATCTGATGCTACTGCCACGCATGTACTGATCACAGAACGACGAATCATTTTTTCAACTTTGCTTAGATGTTGTCCATTAGGTGTGCAGAAGCGAAACAAAGGTATCGTATTTTCTGGATGATCTGATGAATCATGTTTTGCTGCGAAGTCGCTTTTTGAAGTTGTATTTTTTGTTATTGGGTAAATAAACAAACCTAGTAGAGCAAATTGAAAGAGAAATAACGAGTCAGATACAAGAGCATAATATACTTCATAATTTACCCCTTCTTTTATTATGCAACCATGAGGCCCGGCTTTATACATCATCGGTGCTGTGATGATGCATGTTAGCACAGCTGCTACAATGCATAGCAAAATCATGGAAATCCAGCTTAAATAATTCGCACAATTTCCCGTTAATTTTCTTATTTTGGGGTTGGTGTAGATCGTTCGCTGTCTTAGCCATAAAAATACATAGACTGTTCCCAAACACATTGTGTATGAAATTCCGGTAATGTCTATAATTGCCTCACATAACTCCGAAGAATCACTTCTTCGTGGTACTTCAATTACCACTTGTGCCCACGCAAACCGAACTACAATGGACGTAACAGATACTACACAGAAGACATATAAATTTCGACCGTTAAGCCATGGTGTTCCACCCTTTCTCTCAAATTTTTTAGCTTTGTATCCATACATAATCATAGACACCAGTATCCATATTGTAACAACGAGGAGAATGCCTTCGATAATTTGGCAAACTGTCAACCATATCTCGACTTCATAATGTTCCACTACTGTTTGTGCACTTGAGTTTAATTTTGTTAAATTAGTCAAAGCCGTAGTATTCATTTTCGTATTATTCACTGCTGAATACAAACAATAATTTAGTACCGTTTTAAAACTAATAGTATTGGCTGCAACTGCTTCAAGAATCGTGCCATTAGAATTCTCCATCACGTTGGGCAATTTTATTAGAAATATTATTACGCGCTCGGGAAAGAGTTTTCCTGTTAATGATATTAAAAGTGAAAAAGGTAATTGTAGACAATCGCTAATTGAAATAGGAAAACCAGATATAATTGTCAGACTCAAAAAGATTAATCGTACTGTAAGTTCCCCAGACAATGCTTCCAACAATCGCCACTAATCGCACGCCAAGATTTCGAATCAAACGATCGCCCATCTATATAGACGAAATAAGAAGTTACTTTTTTGCCACTATTGGTGGCGTTGTATGAAGACTTCAATAGACATGCTTACAGTCGAATTGATAGCGCCAATTTTACTATGGCGTGAGATTTTCAAAATTTCTTCTGATTAGTACTATTAACATTTCTCTACGATCACTTTGCCCATAAAATATGCTCTTATTTGGCCGATGAGCACTTCCATCCACTGATTTTATAAAACTCTAACGATGGTTTTAACTTAGCATCATATTTCATTCTAACAGTATTGTATATATGACAATTACGAATTACCTGGTACCTTGTATAACTTTCAGTTTGTCCTACCAAGCTCAAATTCTTTTTATGACCCTGGTTATTATAACTCAACTTGTCTGTGCAGCAAAAATTTCTTGAGATTGTTCACTAAGCTGGCAACCCTACTGCTCTATTGAAGACAATTTCCAATGACTGAATGCGGAGTTTAAACTTTTATTCCCGCAATATACTTCTTAAATAATAACAGGAAGTTACGTCACCTGGCTGAATTTAAAAGAAATAATTACCGAAGTACAAAATCCGCAACCGCTTACTCACACCATTATTATGTGCGTTCCGCACGTAACTTAATGAGGTCCAATGATCAATTAAAATTACTAACAATACACTCCGCATGATGGGTTTTGTACGCAAGTTCCCGGAAGGTTGAGACGCTAACATCAGATTATCCTTGATTCCTTATTCTCCGTGCTTCTGAGTTAATGGTTTTAGAGAGTATTTTTTGTTATTTTAAAACCTCTGGTTGTGTACAAGCTGGATTGTCAATAATGCAGCTACAGTCACTTGTTCAACACTTTTCCCTTTATGCCAACTCATTCCAACACTCGCCACTGTCTTTCTGATTGTATTGATTTCCATACAGTATTTTAAACGTGAATAATATCAGGTAGTTTCATTTCAAATTCAGACATTTTTTAGTACAGGTGTTCAAAGTCTACAATGAATATAGACATTTATATCCATATTGAAAGGTTTAACAAATGAACTTCAAACAGTATAAGCAACAGTATAAACGTGTTTGAAAAATCGGCTCAAGCTATATATAACAAGGTTGCCACTCCACCATCGCTCTTGTTGTTGAAAAAAAAATTAATTAATAATATAAATCAAATTGATGCTGTGAATTCAGCACCTTACACGATTTTCGTAAGCTGTGCAAAGAGTTAGAACAAACGTCTTTACTATAAATGTTTCACTAACTTGATTTTACGTATCATGTTTCTGAACATCTGTTTCTGACAAAAGAGACATTTGTTTGTAAGTTTTTGAAAAGCAACTAACCTTCAGTAAATCATATCGCAACTGAAAATTTCTAGCGCGTTCAGTATCTGGTCATTGCTAAGGGGACGTAAAACATACTACTGCAATATATACTTATGGCCGACAAAATGTCGAACTTTAGCACAGAAGGAGATGTGAATATAATTGGAGAACTATACTGATATTTCCGGTCAATTATTTCACGTTCACTTCGGTCGAAATAAGTATGCTCTGATTCCGATTCATCTAGATTCTAGACAACTGACCTACCGCCTATGTCTATTCTTGATATCCCATTGTTTCAATCTTATTTATTTATTTTCTTACGTTTATTTGCAATATCAAGATCAGAAATCATTCATACAAAGAGATCGCTCTAAAGCATCGAGTAATAATTACATGCAATATTACATCAACAAAAAATGGTAAGTAATTTTTCATGTTGCATGTAGATTATTAATGTAATGTCATCAATAAATCATAACCTATATGTGAAATATGTAGTCAACTATTTGGGATATATTTGAAATCTAATAAGTGAATATTCGTTAAAAAATGAGAGAGAAAAATCACAACACTATCTCTGGGAGACCTGTACAACGATGTGTCGATTTCATGTACAATTTCAATGGAAGAAAAAGGGTTCATGATACAATAGGATACCAATACTTCATTAATAATTACTGTAGTGTTCAAGTGTACGATTTTTTAAACTGTTATTTAGCTTTAACACTGCGACGTAAAGATGAAAAACTATGATTAGCTAAATACGAACGAGAGAACGAAAGAAAAACGCAAAAGAAAAAAACGACAAAAATGCTTCTTTGGTTGATTATGCTGGCTCTGTAAATCTTTGTTTCTTTTTGGTAATTCCCCGCATCGTTATTATTACGCTTTAGCAACAAATTTAAGGAAGCTGAAATAAAATAACCATAATATTAAATATCTATAAATATGTTTTATATATGATTATTTGCGATTATAATATGATAAACTTCGAAATTCATTTATTTGACATAATTATGTAGAAGCTAAATGAAGAATAACAAGATGTTAAACTAGAGATAAAACACGCCATGACATCTTATTTTCATTCACTTTACAATACTAATACATTTATCAACCCATCAATTGGTTCGTAAAAGAAAAGAAAAAACATAATTAGACCACATTAGGAATTTGATATACTTCATCAAGCTATTCCACAACACCCACCGCGGATGTCACTAGTTACATATCATATACATGACAACAATGCGTGTCCCTTAGAGACTATACAACGTACTAAGCTGAATATTTTAAAATTCAACTAATAGTTGATCTTATAAAAACATAATTACAATGTTATGATTAGTTTACCTCTATGTCATCTTCGTCACCGTACAGATATGATGGATCAAATCTCCCAGTCGCTGGGCGACTTACTCTGGGAGTTTGGTAGCTCACATTCATAATGGACTTGGGTCCTGTGCGGCCATCAGGAGTTACATAGCTAATTTCGAAAGTTGCAGAGTGACCTGCAAAAACGCAATTTAAAAATGCTTATTTTCGTACTGAAACAAACTTTGAATGCGAAGGTATATTCTTCAACGTTCAAAAATAAAAACCCAAGTGACACAGAACGTTGAATGATAGAATGCTGGCAACACTTGCGGTAATATTAAAGTTATTGTGATTCAATAATTCTTGATTGCTAACGGTATTCTGTATATACAAATTTATTCAAATGATCAACGGCCAATCTTTGAAATCAAAGAATATTTTGCCTGATCAGAGTTTAGAAAAATAGTAGCAATACGAAACGATGCTATGGTAATTTAGCCCAACAAAGGCATTCCTAATTTGCATGGTTTAGTGTGGAAAAACGTTTTCAGTTAACTTATCCGCATGAAATAAAGTAATCTTGTCTATCGTTACCATTTGTATTAAATTAAATTAAGACACAAAGAGATTCTGTAGGGTAAAAACAAAAAGTGTTATAAATATCCTTCCCAAATACAGCAAACATTACGTGTAAAGTTTCAAATATATAGTTACAATGAAGAAGAATTACCTTGCGAGATACTTGGCACGTGAATAGACGGCTCATACACAATCTTTGTTTCTGATTCCGACAATTCGGTATATTCATATTTGACAGTGTAGTGCAATATTGGCTGAAGAAACAAATTTTATGGTAACTTCTAGATCTGATCTTCAATTTACAACCATATACCTTCATTTATTCTCCCACTGTAAACTTATAAATATTAGTTTGTAACAATTGTGGTCGTTGTGAAATCAACAGACAGATTGTATGGAAACATTGGCCAGATAATACAATTTGTCCAGACACAAAAATCCACTAGTAACGCAATACTTGACTAGAAATACGGCGGGAACAATATTTCAAACCATCCATTTTTTAACATAAAACTGCTTCACCATTATTTGAAATTAAGTTTTCTGTTTCCCTCCCTGCTTTAAATCAAAAATTTTTGTTACTTACCACTGTTGGCGGGTTCCATCTAATAACAAATCCAGTTTCATCTGGAATTCTCTGGATTTCCTGAAGGGGCAAAAGTTGTTGTCTGATAACGCTCCTTTGTGGAGTATTCACATTTACTTTCATTTCGCTTTTTGCATCACCTGTTTAATAAAAAAATTTTAAACAATATACAATGAACTACTAGAACAAATCAGGTAGAAAGGATAAACGATTCTATGATGCCAAGATTTTGGCTTCATTTTTTGGTATGCTAAGTCACCCATTATACACAGAAGAAACAAACATAACGCACAGTCATTTCATTGATTATTTTTAATTTTTGCGCTTAACTCAACAAAAGTTACGGTACGATGAAAATATCTTACACGACCCTACTGATATCTCTAGTACGATCTACCCCATAGATTACCAGAATGTATAAATAATCAATATACACACCTTTGTAAGCGATAACTATAACATTATATGCGGTTCCTGGTTCAAGGTACTCGATCAGTGCAGTTGTACTTTGGTCTCCAGGAATTAATCTAACACCATCACTTGTATATGCAATATCTGTACTTTTCTTGTATTTTACTACATACTCTATAATTTATAACAACAAAAAAAAACTTTAGAGAAAAAAAAATAGGAACGACAACGGCTTAGTGAAAGAATGTATATATCTGAATGATTCTCTCTCATTGGGATGCAAACAATATTTTTTATTATGAAAATATTTGAAAAACATCTTTTGGAGAATATTTAATATAAAATTACGATTGAGAAACAAGTTAAATTATAGACATTAGTATGGTAAATCGAGCAAATAGTTTCGAGTAAACCCTCTTTAAAATTTGTGACAATATCACAACAATTACGCAGCGTAATAATGCTTCATTATGTGAGTCAAGTCACATCATATCGTTAATACATGTACACAAATGCACAGTTTTATCATTTCGAAAAATTAAGTTATCAAAATTTGAGTGATAATGGGAAGATCGAAAAATACGATAATCAATCTATTACTTACTGTCAACCCTTGTCACAGGAATAAGTTCGATCTCAATTTCATTTGGTCTTCTCTTTAAATAAAATTTTCGAACCCTGAAATAAATGTTCAATTAAGTAAATGTACAAAGTTAAAACTAGCGCTCAATTGAAATTCAATGAATCCCAATTTTCGAATAATTCTATTTGAAAAGAATGTTATAATTGTTTATATCATTAGGATATCAAGTTATACTTTATACAACATCTCTTTTTAATATATTTTGACAGTATCTTCAAGTTAGTTACCCGTTATCTTCAAAGGGTAACTTTACATCAATAATATCAATCATTCATAAACTTACAATCGCTGTCCGGTAGCATAAGTATTTTCTCTTCTGTGTGTTATTTGTTGTCCAGTTAAAGTCGTACTTGGATCAGCAGGAATTCTTATTTGGATGGGAGAACTACTCATGTTATTTTTAACACCATATATGTAAATAATGTAATCGATGCCGGGTGGGAGGTTTCGCAATTGGTAACTGAAAAAGAATATCATAATATATTTGAAAATGTTCTCAAAGAAACTTTTCACAACGTCTATTGGTTAGGTTGAATCCCACTCAGCTGTCATCCCATATTGAAAAACTTAAAATATATCTGGGACCACCACCTCGAACTAGGAGTCGAACAAAAGAAACCATAGAAATGACAGTTGTCTACCTTGTAGTATATGGACTTATATTGTCTTCTTCAAACAGAATTTCGCTGCTACCCAACCTCCTGACTTCAATTCTCCAGTGGTCAACATTGGTTGGATCACCAGTCCAAGTAACAGTCCATGTTCCACTTTGTTCAACTCTAGAGATTTGACTTTCTGCTTTCTGAATGGAAGAATGAAAAATGTCGTGATAATTAGGTCTCGATTACAAAACTGACTAGAAAATTTTTCCCCTCATTATAATTTTCTTGAATCGAGATTTAAAATTTTCAGATTTTTGAATTTGTATTTACATAATCAAAAAAATCTTTCACTATTATTTTTTAATATAAACAAAAAAAGAAACTTGCCAATATCCACAGCTGTAATTTAACTGGATCAGATAGTTTGTCTCCAATCATCGTCTGAATAGAGAACTCGTATCGCACATCTGCATGAACAACAAAGCAATAAAAACCATCATAGGCCCTTACAGCGTGAGAAAAGACAACAGTGCTTTGAATATTTAATAACAAAGTCACGATTATAATATATTATCGAAAAAGAAAGAAATAGGATAGGATTTACATGTTTACCCCGAGGGAGAGGAAAGGGATAGGACGGCTTAACCATATGGCGAACCACGGCCTCTCGTCCATTACCATTCCATGTAGGGTATGGGATTAGCCAGTTACCGTATTTGTTTTCGAAAGCATGGACTTGATGGTGGAAAGAAGTCGTAACCGACCAGCGCTTACATAAACCACCCTACGGCAGCGAGGAGTCCAGTAATCCTCTCATTGAATTCGAAACCTGCGAGCCCTCTGGAATCTTGTTTATTCATAAGACTATAGGCTGTGATACGAGGTTGGAGATTTTGAGTTAAAATATTAATACTGGATGTTGACAAACAGAAGTAGTCATCATTATTAAAATTCCTCACCCGGCTGCACATTATTGATAGTAAAGTCAGACTGATCAGGTAGTAGAACTGTGGGTTGTATTGGATCTGGTCCGGGTGGTGACACTTGTCTGACCTGCACGAGATAACCTGTGACGTACTCAGGAAGAAGAGGCCATCGGATTACTATCACCTTCGGAGAAGTCTGCTGAAAGTAGATTCTGGAAGGATATAAAATAAAAAAGATTACGCTAGGAGATGAAAATTATAGTAAATTCAAAAGCTATAGCTAGACTTGCAAAATAATCTTGTTTCACATAATATGTCAAAATGTATTATGTTGTAAAGCCTTCTGATTTTTCCTTACTTCCTTACTGGAGGGCATCATGCATTTATTTCTCTGACCAAAATAACCACTCACAAAACTAAAATGATGTCATTTGAAACAATTAGAATGGGTTGAATAGGGGCATTGTTAGAAAATGATTATTTAAACTTCACTACCAAATACCAGGTAACAAGAAGCAGACTATTTTTAATATATTTTTATCGAACATTGCGTACAATAGCAATAAGGCCATGTATTGAAGGAATGCATAATGTTTTTAGAATATAAATAAAGTAATAATAACTCTGCGTAAAAAAACCATACTTGCGAACAGTGGGAATGAGCATACGCAGTGGGAAAGTGAAAGCTCTGCTGATTTCTTCATCTCGGACAGATTGAATCATAATATTGTATGTTTCACCAGGAATCAAATCAGTCAGTGTGTACGTTGTTTCATCAGCTGGTATATTGACCACATACTCAGGAGCAGAATCATCTGTCGTTACTGAATAAATATTAAAAAATATTGCATCTGAATAAGAAAATTGTATTCGCCTTTCTCCCGCATCATAGATTATAAGAAAGATTATATCTCCCACTGTGGCATTAAGGAGAGAAATGGAGAAAGGATTGAGTCAGTTGATCATTCACTTTTCATTATTAACTTTGTGGTTGCCATGCTGACTATGTTGATGTCCAAAAAATTTTCACAGGATGTAATCATTTTAAATTCCCATTATTTTAAATTTTAGTAGCTGTTCATTGGTCAATTGTTTAGCAGTGCATAAGAGTTGGAAAAATTGTTATATCAAATCGAAAACTATATACAAAATAGTGTTTATAAGGTGCTACATAAGTCTCATCATATAGAGTTAAAACTTTTTTATTCATAATTTAGTGTAGTTGAAAATCTCCATTTTGAAAAAAATCAAATATCTAAGTTTTAAAACTTGAATTTTGAATTAATGCTGCTCTACTCAGAGAGTAAAGATATCGGTGTGGATTAAACCTAAAACATACCCAGTCTATATGTTATCCTGTAGCCAGTAATGTACATTGGTGGTGGAGTCCAGGATAAGTCGACACTGTGTCCAAACATATTATACCATTCTACTTTTGGTGGAGGAGATGGTCCTGTTACCTTTCCTGTCATAGAGATTTGAGTTTTCAATACTAGATGTGTTATTTACTTAGATAAGCAGAAAATATCAAATACATCAATTACATCCTACTTTTTGATTTTCATGTATTGATACATTATGACCGGCACATAATTATAGTTCAATATTTAATTATTCTTGAGAATAGTGGTAATAACATGCCACATTTCTTTTATTTGTTTTAACCACAGTCTGATATGAGTCCAAACAAATATTTGATGAGCATATTTAAGATTTTAGAATCCATCCTTCAACTTTTTAAAGTGAGTTTTTTACCTTTCCGAGTAGTTTTAAAACCTTTTCATAGAAATATTAACAGCAATTTGACTCAGTAAAGCAGCAACTACTCGAATTATGAAATTTAACATGGTCAAATTTGGCATTGTAAATAATAATGACTAAATAGAAAATTATCATAAACAAGCAGAAAATTGTTAATGAAAAAATTGACATCAAAGAAACACAAAGCACACATCAAACATTTGATACTGTATTTTACGGACAATAAGGCACTTCAAAATCTTTTTTTCTAAAATCAATCATGCACCATACAGCCGGTGTGGCTAATGTATGGATCAGGTAGTGCTTCATGCTTTTGGTATTGCTTTAAAAACTGTTGCGCCTTATATTCGATGCGCCTTAAGTATGAAAAAAAAAAAAATCTAAGCAATTTATTGGCATTGCACCTTACAATCTGGTGCGCCTTATGGCCCGTAAAATATGGTAGAATAATTTTTGTTAACTTCACTATTTTTACTGCTTACTTCGCACAGTAACTGTGTAAATCTTTGTCAGCACACCATCCACTGTGGCATAAATGTTAATTGTGTAAATATGACCAGGCGGAAGACGTGGCAACACGATCGAACGTTTCCCTGGCTTAAGATCAACCTGCAAATAGAAAATCCTTTAAAATATACAAAGATTGCTATATATATGAGTGAAATTATTCCTTTTGAAGTAAATTTTCATGATGTATGTATACAATGCATCACTTAACTAATGTGCATGTACAAATAGTGGTTTTTCACTCACTGCCAATACCATATCACAGAAACTACACCAATATTTAAAATTGTCAATATATCCGATGTCAATGTGATCTAATATATCAAAACATCTTGTATGAGATAATACCAATGAGCATATCGGTAACATTGGTCAAATTTCGACAAAATTAATGATAGAACTGATTTAATATATCGTTGATTGCGACACGTTAAATGGCAAAAAGTCCTTACTCGCTGTAAAGTGCCTCCAGGTGATTCTTCATATTCAATAGTATAATCAGTAGCTCCAGGAAATTCATTCCATTGTAAAACAAGATTTCCAGATCTTCCAAGTTCTCTCATCCAGACCTCGTTAACCCCAAAATGTCTTTCAGTAACAGGAATTCCGTGCCTAATTAGAAAGATACGGTAATAAAATTCTAGGAAACATTTTATCTATGTTACTCAAAATAAGAAAAACTTATTATTTCAAATCACTGAAAGGTACCAAGGTACTTAATGCACTTAGCAAAGGTGTGTATGTAATATTGCCAATCGTGTACTATTCCCTGGACATTTTCTTGTACCTGGTAAAAGCAGGAATTACAAAATCGGTAGCTATGTCTCCTGTGCGATGTTCGCCATCATTTTGTATATATTTTGCATACAGCCGATATGATACACCAGGTTGCAGACCTGATAAAAGAAAAGATTTAAATGTGTAATGCAGCATTTCTCAAACTATGTACTACAGTAGACTGTTGTTCCGCGAGCTTCTTTGGAGTGTTCCACGAGACAATAATCATAATTGTGACTAAATTGGTCGCCATGGCAATCTTTGCTGTACTCTGGATTTTAAATATGTCTACCAACTAGCGGCAAACAGGCAGACACGTCTTGCTATCCAAACAGGCTGACAGACTTTGTTACAGTCTGGGAAGCATGGCGCTTTTGTTAACCGTTCTATATCATTGACCGTCAGCCTACCTTCTTGATTGTCAAGTTTACATCAAACCCTTTAATTTTACCACAGGCTGCCATGTTTAGAAACCACCCTTCTAAACGAATTGTCAGCTTGAAAATGGAAACCTCAAAAGAATCTGTGATAAGCCGGTTGTGCAAGTTTATGCACAAAGTAAATCTTTTGTAAGATTTTTTTAATATCAATTCTACCGTTTATTTTTGTGGTGGAGAGATAAAAGCATAGGTGTTCCGGGAAAAGTTCAAAAAACGCTGGTGTGGGGGATTGTAACATTGTGGTAAGTGCTGGTTTGATAAGAATAAATCAAAACTAACCTCGAATATTCATGGGGGCATTAGTCGGAACGTATGTCACTATTTTTCTTGCAGTAGGATCATTGATTGGAACCAATTCCACTCGGAATCTGTTGACTCGAGATGTCTCTGTTGTAGTCACTGGGTTCCATCGTAGTGTTACCGTATTAGATCCACCAACACGACGAGCGGGAATTTCAACTGGCTGAATCCAATTTACGTACTCACGATCTGAATAAAACAGTATAATAAGAATATGAGATAAAATAGGAGTAAGATTCAATTAATGACAATGTCTTGTATCATTAGGCATGTTGATTGACGCGTATTGCAAAGTGGGTATTGTTGCAAAAATCGCTTTCCTTCGCAACTAATGAACCAATTGATTCCATATTATCAATACTTCTAATTTAAAAAAATTGAAAAAAATACTGAATGTTTCAGTAAACGTGTTGAGCTACGAATGTAACATAGATAATATAAGATCATAGATGGCCCGAGCTACATTGAGATAGTCTGATGTTAAACGTAGTCTGAAATTTTGTAGACTACATCCGTTTTGGGTTTTTCCAATCAGAACAGCTGCCTACTCCAATGCGGTTACTTAAGAACACCTCATTGGAACCGTCTTGAACTCTAAAATGTTAGGTTGACTCACCAGTAATTATTGTGGTATCTGGCCCACCTCCATTTTCAGTACCAGGCAAATAAGCGTACTCATCTTCTGGGAGTGTAACAGATGTTTTACTCCCAGGAATGAAGATCTGTCAAAATTACAAGAACACTCTCAATAAAGGAAGAATATTCTGCCTGAATTTGGTGATCATACAATGTTGAGTGTCATCAACCTATACTTCAGATAAACATAGTGTAGCGTTAAAACGCTAATACGGTGATCTACTTGCAAATGGCAATTAATGTATAATTTCCTTGTAAATTACAAATCAATATATATTATAGTTGCAGTATCTAAATTTGAATATGAAATATGAATAGTAAATTATAAATATTCTGTGATAAAAGTGTTAGAATAATTGCTGACATTGCCTGCTTTTATACAGCCATGTTGAAAGCAAATTACTAATTGTCTAATAAAAGTTCCTAAATTTCAACTTTATACCTCTTGAGTATCAATTTCAGTGACAGTTACTGGATTTTCATCTTCTTCTGATGGCTTGAACCTCAGAATATATCCGTCAGGTTTATCTGGTGACTTTGACACTGTGAATTGCATAAAAAAAAATGTGGTTTCCATTTGAATATTTTTCTCTGTAAGGGGCATTTTGGGCTGCCAAATAAATTGATTGATTTTTGAGGCAGTGTACTGTCAGTCACGTTTGGTGTGATCCGTGTTCTCAGAGTTGTTCATATGTCTCAGCTCTCAAACCTACATGAAAAATTTTGATGAATGTGCCAAGAAATGTGTAGAGTTTGTTATAAAAAAAAGTGAGCCATAGTTATAGTCATAAAGATAATTGGTAACTGTGGTGGAATAGTGTTAGGTATTGATACTCACATTGTACATTATAAATCGGTATGGTCTGATCGTTTTCATCGTCAACTGTGTATATCGTAATAATATAGCCTGGTCGACTGGTAGGTTCTGGTATACTGGTCCAACTGGTGTCACCAGGTATAGTTATCTAGATACATTATCCAAAAATAAATCATTAAGTATTGTATTAAACAAGTAGTAAATTCATTAAAATAGCTGATATTTCGGCATTTATATTTGTATGTATGTATGTTTATTTGCCTCAAAAATATAACAGTATTTTATATTCATTGATTGGCCAAGGTGATGATGTAGTGAAAACTATTGGTACAAGTACATTGGTTCAGATTTAAGTACTGTGATTGTTCACACACAATTGTATCGCATGAAGAATTCAAAGAGGTCTCCTCACTCTCATTCAGAAACGCATTGATAAGTGTAGCATACTTCTCAGTCAAGGTTCATTATATTGGGATGCATTGCTAGCCTAGAAAAAAGTTTGTTTCTGACAAACTCATCTTCTTGATATGTGAGAATACCTCTTGGTATTATTTGAAGTAAAGTGTAAAAGTGTTTCTTGAATTTTTGACTCACATTTGTCCCGGGTGAGGTTCTGTCATTTGGTTTCCATTCTAGTATGTAATGATCAACAGGTATTTCTGCAGGTGTCCAGTTAATTATAACTTGACCATCGAAAGTGGGAAGAGCATCTACCCCGGCACTGCGAATATCTTCATCCACCGTTCCTCCAGTCGGTTGTGGGACAGGGGTTGTGGTGGTGGCTACAGACGAAAATGGGAAAATATATACCTCTCATTTACAAATATAAACAATACGTGAATATTGAACAACTGCGGATAGTAATGATATCATGAACTCAGTATATTGCAAAATATAAAAGGGTTGAAAAATTACAAATAAATCAAATCAAATTACAAATAAAATTCAACGTGAAAATTTGGAGCATTCTTCGGGTATAAAAGATTGTGTTACAGCAAAGGCTTGTTCAAAAAATGTAGTGAGATGGATGATCATGTGGTTCAAGCTTTTTTTGTCTCACCAAAGAAAAAATGTAGAGTGAGGTTTCCGTCTTGGAGAACTCAACAAAGCTATTCCTATATGATTTTACATTCTGTTTTTTTAAAAACCCGTGTTTATTTGAAATGAATGAATACGTCACAATGAATGTTGTCCTGTTTTTATTGGTAAATATGAAAATGCCTCACCCTTGATGTTTCCACCTTCATTTGGTTCATTTGGCTGTGTGGTTCGTGGAAGTGGTCTGATTGGTCTCGTTAATAAAGGTGTTATTCTTGATGGAATTGGTCTCGTTAATATCGGTGTTATTCTTGATGGAATTGGTCTCGTTAATATAGGTGTTATTCTTGATGGAATTGGTCTCCTTGTTGTTGAAGAAGTTATATTAACTTCAACTGGTTCATAAGGTTCGACAGGTGCAGGCGTTGGTTCAGTTGGTACCACAATGACTTGTCTTCGAGTGGTGAATCTAGATATCTGTGTCGGTCTGGTTGAAGGTCTTGTGCGATGGGTTCGTCTGGTAGTGGTTTCAGGTATGGTGAGTGTACCAGTTATGAATTCCGTTGTTGTTGTGCTTGAACGAGTTTTTGTTGGTTTGTTTGCAGCTTGCAGTGTGACAATATATTCTTGGTTTGGTTGGAGGCCTATTAAACATGTAAATTATAATATTGATATATAATCATAGGCTGATCCACGTAAGGGCACGCATCTACCGCGGGTCGTCACGGTTATACCCAACATGGAATGGTATCCGGACGGAAGTCCGTGGTTCGCTATATGATAAAGCCTTCATAACAAATTTTCTTTCCTACCGTATAAATATTAAATTCCTTACCTTCATATAATATATAAGTGAAAAAATATGATAAAAAAAGATTTTTTTTTAGTCGGCTATATACACCTAATGGTGAATGAGTGCTCAAAACTATTAATGCATCATACTATTCAATTAAAAATATTTTCTTGACGCTACAATTAAAGCTTCGACATACCTGTAACAACGTGTGATGTCTTATCGGCAGGGACTTCTACTCTCACAGTTTGGGTGGGATCCACAGAAAATTTGGGTTTCAGTTCCAATATGTAATGAGTAACAGGTCTATGCTGGTTTCGAGGTTGTGCCCAGTTAATTATTGTTGCATCATTGCCAAACGGTTCAATGCTTGTTATTGTGGGTTTGAAGAGAAGACGGTATGGATGAAGTGCTGAAGCACAAACAAATAAATATGAAATTAATGATACCTAAAATAAAAGTTAAAGATAGAAAGATAAATATAGGTTTACAACAAGACGTCCAACAGTATTTGAAAATATTACTACATTGCAAAGGCCAGATAGTTCATTTGCAACTCGCTATCACAATGATCTTGATTACCCTACTCGAATGTGGAATGATCATGATAGGGGAAAGATTGGACTTCTAGCCTTCTTGGAGTTGTCCACTTACCTCTGTTTGGCTAAAATTTTGTATACCATTCACACGCCTGTTATGCTAAAGAGGGAGAGGAAAGCACGAAACAATTAAAATATATCCAAACGTCTATTCGTAATTGCTTCTGTTATGCATTGTGTTTCTTAATCTGAGTTAACCTTGACAGTCCATGCAAATTAAATAATTTGATTATTTTTCTTTATTTTTCATGAAGACAACCTGGGACGCGTGATAATTTCAAACTCCTCAATCATGTAAAAATAGGAAAATTATTTGAAAGTAAAAAAAAAACATTAAGCACAATTAGTTAAACTGAAAGTACTTCTTGGTAATTCATCTTCGGTAGTAGACACAGGTAGTACAAAGATTTCATCTGAATCAGTAACTGCCTCAACGTGTACATTATATGATGTGTCTGGTTCGAGAGAAGATACCGTAACTGTCTGAGTATCATCGGGTAGTATTATCTGGTATGAAACAAATAAAATTGTATCAATACACAATCCTTTGTTTCATTTTATTCTATCAATTTTGTCACATGAAGACGTTTTTTTCATTAGATGATCACACTTCACCTCCTGCGAAGGTATAACCCAGAGGTGGGCAAGAGTTTGGGCCACGGGGCAAAAAATTTGTTCACCTAGACTGGCGTGCCATGAGAGTGTGACGTAAAAAGCTATCTTATGAACAATATTTACAGTGTTACAAAATTAAAAAAGAAAAACAATTAGCCTCATGGAAAAACTAAATTTAATCGCAATCTCAACAAATTCGTTGAGCTATTTTATAGCTTAAAATCGAAATTTGGTTTTAGTTTGGTTGTGGCAGCATCAGGTGGGCCAAATTAAATTCCCAATGAGCCCGATTTGGCCTGCAGGCTGTAGTTTGCCCATGCCAAATCTAATCGAACAGATGCATATATGTAAAGAACTTCTGAATTTGTAAGTGCTGACATTAAGAGTGTTTGAACCTGCATATACTCATAGAAGTTAAAACTTCAATCAAGAATCAAGTAGTTAGATATGTTTTTGAGTACAAATCTAGGCTTTATGTACAGTATTTATAACACCAAATAATATTTAAAATCAAATTATCAAACCTCCTTAATATCATCAGGTCGGGTAGGATTCTCAAATACAATTCTGTACCGTCCATTTTCGTCTTCAGTAAAGAATGGTTCCCACATTATAGTCATCTGTCCAATATCTGACGTAGTTATGGTATCGGTGTCATCATCTGTTAATTTTATTAGTAATTCGGTTATCGGTTTTCTAATCCTGTTTAAAAATATAAATCAATAAATATTTAAATTACAGCGAAGATGAAAGTCTAGAATGAATATGGAAAGTCATTTTCTCAAATAACCAATTATCTAAGCACCAGTCATTTTGCTTCCTTCAATGTTCAGCTAATTAATTACCAAAATCTGTGGGTATTGAGACTGTTGTGGTAGGCGCAGAAGGCCTTCTTGTTGTATTGGTTGTACTTGGAGTCAAAGTTGATGTTCTACTGGTGCTTCTAAGTGGCTCAGGTATGCCTGTTGTGGTTGTTCTATCTGGTCTGATAGATGGCCTCGTTCTTATTGAAATGGTTCGAGCAGGAGTTGTTGTGAAGGCAGGATTTGAAATGGATGTGTCGTCGGTAGGTACTGGCTCCACATAATCATCTGTAACTGCGGGAGAGTCGATTGGCGTGAGATAAGAAGCAGTGACAGCATCAGAAGTTGTCTTTGAAGGCAAGTTTGCTGACTGAACGCGTATGCGGTACAAGGTATCTGGAGCGAGTCCTGAAATATAATTGATTATATCAGATAATTTAATTAGTATATGCAACCAATACTACTACTGTGCGTTATGTATGTATGCGGTGGATAGATTTTGAAACTTCTGACTCTGCTATGTTAGCATCGCAGGGGAAAAACTTCGGGTTCTAATTCCATGCCCACCACTTCATCCAGGGTACAAAATAGGGTAAACAATATCCCCTCACCCAGCTTTGGACGCTTGTTTAGAACAAAAGCAGTATAAAAAAAAAACTTATGAAAATACTCACCAGTCACTGTATGCGATCTTTCCGTTTTTGGAACCAGCACAGTCAAAGGTCGTGTGTGTAGGTTGTCAACTGGGATATAGCTCACTGCATAATGAGTGAGAGGAATGCGACCTTGTCTTGGTGGATTCCAGAAAACAGTTGCTGCATAACCTTGGCCATCAACTCCGGCAATGGTGGGTGGGTTGAGACCTCCAGTCACTCTTGTTTCTGAATAAATTGCGCAAATTTGAGAATCCCAATGTACAACACAATAAAAATATTATTAACATTTTTCAGAGAAAATTGATATATAAAAAGAATAATGAAATAAAACTCACCTGGTAGTTTGGGTACATTGATTAATTGTATATCTTGCACAGGAATATTTTGTCCATCAGCAGTCGTTGCTTGAACGGTGAAAATATACTCTATTCCAGGTTCCAGCATTCCTAAAGTAGCCGATTCTGCATCTTTTCCAGGAACATATGCCTGAATTGACAAAATAGTAATTCTAGTACATTTTAGCATTTAAATTACAATATTATTCACCTTTTATGTATGAACTACCCAATGAATTTATTTTTAATTGAGTTTAATAATGAATATAACATGGAACTAAAGCATTAAAATTTGAATGCATCAAATTTTACATATTGTAATGTTGAAGAGCATGTAGGGAGATAAATAAGACTTCAATATTTGGGAGTTCAATGGTTATAAACCGCGTTTTGGTGCTTCAGCACTACAAGAAAAGAGCACACGTTATTCCTGTTTGATATTAAGCTTTGAAGTATTGTGTGAAGAAGGAAATTTGATACAGATCCATTTCCATGCTAAATAAGACACATCAATTTTAAAGACACAAAACAATCCTTGATATTGATTTGTCTTCTATAAAAAAAGACAAGCAATCCTAACATGTCTAACCATGAACAAATAAGTTGGCTCATAAACATACCATTTCGGGTTCTCCAATACAACATTTTCGATCAAAGATAATTGTATAACCAATAACTTTCTCTAATTGTTCTGGTTCTATGTCTGTGATCCATTGTACGGTCACCTGACCAGTTGGGGTAGAACCCGTTACAGCAGATTCATCTAAAAAAGAAAGTGATGTTACTTCACATTTTCATGAAACTTTGGTTTCGAATAAATTGATTTTTCATCCATACCAGGAACATAATCAGAGGTTCCATAATTAACATTCTGAACGACAACTGGTTCTTGACCATTCCTCATTCCAATCACCGTTATGACATATTCGTCATCTGGTCTTAATCCACTCAGCTGAGTACTAGTGTATGTACCAGGAACCACAACCTGGAAAGAGAAGGAAAGTGATGTTAAAGTAATTGAATGTGTTCACTTTCATAATGCTCTCATACAGTCATTAGAAACTGTATTTAGAATCCCTATCAAACAAACTCAAATAAATTATATGTCTTGATCTAAGAGAAAGACTTTTAAAGCAAGAATTCCATAGGCCTACACAGTATTTGCAGTATTCAAAATCGGCTATATTTACATATTAATTCTGGTGATCTCGCAATAACTCCTAATTGGATACCAACTTGTGATTCCAATTTTTAGCAACCAAAGACGGAAGAAGTTGTCAGAAGTTTATTACATTCAATTATGTACTTCAATTTGCTGTTTTTGGTAAATTGCATTTAAAGTTCTGCCCGATTGTAAATCGCGTTCTTCTGTGTTTGTTTTGTTTTTTTGGTGAGCGGGCACGTACATTGTACGCTTTTTAACTTTTTTTTAAGTTATGCCCGTCTCCCGAGTATCTCTGCATTTTGTTTTGTCTGTTTACTTTTTGTATTGTTTATGTCAGAGAACCAAAATAAATAATTGATTGATTGAAAGTTGTAATAACAGTGAAAGCATTTCAAGGAGAGAAAGGGGGAGTGTTGTAATTCAAACTATAGGGCTTTTAATAATTGTCACTCACAAATATTCGCACACTATCGTGGGCGATTAGCCCGTCTTATCGGCTCTTCTATCCCCTGTGATAAACATGTGAATCAAATTCCTATCTTCAATGCATAAAATATCGAGGAGAGATGGCATGATGTTAGTGCACAACCGACTTTCTGTATTCAGCTAACCATTCCCAGTTATGAAATATTTTCGAAAATCTATTTCTTACTTGGTATGGTTCTTCTGAGTCAGGTTTCAAATAAGATATTCCATATTCTGTAACATCTGGTCCCAGTGTTTCCCAAATGATGGATATTTTACCATCTGCTGGTACAGTTACTGGGTCTTTAGTCAGTGGCATGTAATTGTCTGGAAAATGCCAAAATTAATTGTTTCAGGATAAAACTGTCATACTGAATAATGCATTAAATACAAAATATCGTTTCACATACCATGGTATAATGATGTGAAGCAAACTCAAAATCAAATTTTCATCATCCTACCATTATATGGAATACGAAAACACTTGTGAAGAAGACCAAATGAATTTCAGAATAATTTATAAAATAATTTTTGAACCGTTGAGTATTAGATGGAAGTTATTTTTTTAATATGTAAACTAACATTAGGATTGTTTCAGAAATATACAATTTTAAAACCACAACAACAATTATTATTTCAGAATGTGAATGGTTCTCATCCCCGTGCAATAGTACCGTAATTTCGTGGAATCGCAATCACCTCTTAGTGATATTCCAATGGCAATACAGATATTAAATTGGAGTCAATTATTGAAATATGACACCAGACCAACGTGGGGCTATGCCACATCAGTCACAATGATGTTCTAATATATATCCGAAGTCAGTCTATACTATGCTGTTCATTTTGGCATCAAAAATACTAGAATCCCAGATCTCAAATACCCCCGTGTCGCCTGATGTTTAACCCAAACTAAGTCGATCAAATGTGGAAGAAAATTTGTATGATGTGACAAAACAAAACTAGTGGATCATTGTGTCTGTGAGCCACAATTACAAGGCTTTCTCCAGAAAAAAGGTGGAAAGTGTAACATTCGGTACATTAAAATTTATATCGGTTACCTGGTGATAAGATACTGACTATCTCGTGGTCAATGATTGGAACTGGTATAATCTCTCCATTGTCAAGCAATCCCTTGACCCAAATAATGTATTCTGCGGTTGGTTCGACTGATGAAAGTATGGTTTGCCCAACTCCTGATGGGACTGTGATCTATATAGTTAAGCAATGGGGGTTTTAGTGAAACTGCAGTTAAAATATCAAATTTTGAAATAATTCAATATATACCGTAAATGGTTTTCCAAATCTGATCTCGTGATTCAAATTTTCATGATGTTTTATTACTAGAAATAATCCTTTTCAAAAATGACCATTTGACTCACAATATTAGTCTTATCATCTCCTCGAATTCGATACAAAATCTGGTATGATACAACAGGTTCATCTGGTTGTTGCTCCCAATTGATAACAAATTCTGGTTGTCCTGGAATTAAAGAAATAGATTCTTCTGGTCGAAATTCTTGTGGTGGTGTAGTTGTGCTATCGCTGACTTCTGGTGTTTTCATAGTGATGGTTGTAGGCACTGATTCAAAGTTTCCTGGTCCTACTGTGATAACTTGAATCGTGTAAGTCGTGTCTGGTTCCGCATCTTAAGAATAAAAAAAGGCATTGTTGTCAGAGCGCTGGACTTCAGCGTGGCAGGTTAAATCTCGAATTCATACCTCCAAGTCATAAGTCTAATTAAATTGTAATGTACTTTGTAATTGATCTGGGTACACTTTGCAGACCTGAAAAGTTCCCAGTAATAGTAGCTAGTTATGTATCAGTATTTCTTTAACTGAGCCTTGTTAAGAATAAAGATATAAATCGCTTCATGAAAATAAATGCAGTAGCTGTATTCTGCAAAGAATATTATACTGTCATTGCAGATCAGCATTCCACAGTTTAAACAGTGGTTGCTAACTGATATATTCACAGTTAGATTACACACAATTCATGTATGTTATAAAATACCGAACCAAAAATTAAGTCTCCATATTTTGTTTTTAAAACAGTTACGTAAAAGAAAATTTGAAATATGACCGATTATTTTACCTCACTGACTTACCGGTAATTGATATACGATAGTTGTAGTTAGGGATTTTACATGAAACTATTGCAAGTACAAATACATTGTACAATAAAGTGATTTTAAATATACAACAAAAAAATATTTATAAATTACAAATAAAAAACTCTGAGAATATTTCATTTTATGTAGATTTTGATAAAAGTGTTTGCATACCTGGAATTAGAATGCTTGGTTGCTCAGTCTCAAAGAAAAGTTCTTCAGCGTTTGGATTGTCTTGAGGTTCTACATTTACCAAGTATGCAATAACTTCGCCAGCTGGTCGATCCCAGGTAATTTCAAATTGTCTGGGTAAAACACCGGCTGTTGTCACTCGTTGTGGTTGTTCGGGAACTGAAATTAATTTGTATTATATACTTATATATATATGTGGGTAAATTAATTTTTATATTTGTATAATGATGAAAATTTGAAATCATTACAATTACAACATTACAATCATTTTGAATTTGATAATATGATTTGGGAATTTTGAATCACCTAATATAGTGTTAAGGTTTTTACTAGACACTAATGTCAGCGTAATACGACAAAGTGGATTTGGCCATTAAAACATGTATCCTTGTTTTTCAAAGACTTGGTATTAATATATTTTGTACTAACTAATTAACTTAAATCAACTGTAACTCACGAGTGTTTGCTATTTCTGATGCAGGCTCACTCTCTCTGTCGTTTATAAAAGAACGAACATAAACATCGTAGGATGTACCAGGATTCAAATCTAAAATAAAAGTGAACAGAGATATAATTTTATGTTATGGAATCTCGTACAATTTTGGAAAAGTCATTCAAATTTCAAATAAGCGATAATACTCTCAAACTGTGGGTATTCCAATCTGAAGCAAGCAGGCATTGGGTTTTGGAGTTGTTTAAAATAAAAATTGAAACATTGTGTATCACCGCAGGTGTCCCGTCTATGATTTTGAATCAGGGATGAGTCTGGATTAATCAAACGCACAGGCACGCCGGCCTACCACTTTTCGACAAACCCTGTGCTCAGCTAAGTCATGGACAATGTGCATTGCCATGTGGCAGGACTGTGTAGGTCGCATATGCTGCTGCTGTAATGTGGTTAGTCATTGTACTTTCATGTCCCCATAAGTGAGCATTGCTCTCTTGTCTTTGTGACATACCTGTTACTGTGTAGGTATATGTATCTGGTGCTACGTCTTCATTGACAATCACATTTCCATCTACGTCAACAACTTGAACATTGTACTTAGTGATATAATCATGATTTTGGGGAGCGTACCATTGTATTACAATATCTTCTGAAGTAGATTCCGGGATGCTTACATAATCTGGCATTGGCACTGTTCTAAGAGCATCTATAAAAGATTTTTGAATTTGAATGTAACCAACAAACTGAACTAATGAAAGATATCTTTTTCAATAATTGCCAAGTTGTGGAAGAACAAAGTTAGATTATGCACAGATGAGATTAAAAAGTATTGAAAGTAGCTGAATTATAAGATATGGTAAATCAAGTCTACAAGTCATTCTAACTGACTATGGATAAATAGAGTTACCAGTAACAGTCGCGATTTACTCTATACAATTTTCTGTGAGCCTGATGGCTTAGTGGTCAGAGCGTTGGTATTTAAATTATTGCCAGAACAAGTGAAATATTCTGGTTTGAATTTCATGCCCATCACCACAACGAGAATGTCATAAATTGGGCAAGCATTGCCAAACTTTTTCGACTTCTTACATGTACATAGTGAAAAGCTGGAATTCGAGTACCAAAAGTAGTCTTACTGCGAGTTTGGTTATTGCATTGTTACAGGCCATTCAAAATGAAAACATATTTCGAATAAGAAATGAAAAAATAATATTTTTGGAATGAAACATAGGGACAATAAAATTCACTAATATAATAATACAGAATATGATTTCCACAAATGTACAAATTGAAATAAAAACGCTGATAATTTTTTAACAACTATGATTGCAAAATTTCGAATATTAATAATTTACCTGTTGTAATTGATTGAGTTGCTGGTTGACCTGGTCTTCTGTTGATATGTGGTGTGACTTTTACTATGTAATTGGTGTTTGGTTTGAGGCCTATAAAACATTATAAGACATACTAAAAATAATAAACATAACTAATAAAATCACTAATAAGAGAATTTTCTCATACCGAGATCACTCACACTCACACAACTAAACCAAACAAGAAATGTCAATAGCTACTGATTTTTATTTAATCATGGTGCAGCGTCATCAAATGTCACTTTTAAATTTTGTCAATAAAGATCAATAAATATCAAATTCAATGAGATCAAAAGTACACAAGGTTTTGAATTCTCCAAACAGAAAATTCTTGAAAACTTATTCTACGTCAACGTCAGATGACAATGTATTGAAGAGAATAGTTCCTCTGTTAAGATTTTGTAATCACAAAAAAAAAGCGTACCTGGAAAAGTCACCCTGTTTTGTGTCTTTGGTACATCAAGGGCCTTTACTGGAACTGCACTGTCGTCTGTATACACTTCAACTCTGTAACCAGTCAGGTAATCAACCTGCGATGGGGGATTCCATTGAACTACTACAGAAGTGTCAGTGACACTCGGCAAAGTTATTGAGTCTGGAAGACCTGGAATTTCTGTAATAAAATACACAATACTTTTATTAAAAAAATAGGACCAATTTCAAATTGTTCATAAGGAATCACAGCATTGAGTATTAAAGATTTTGGGGTTCAAATCCAATCTCTACCTCCTTTCATAGATTGTAACAAATGAGTACGGTACGCAATACCAGACAGAAAACTTCCAGTGCCACCTAAGAGTGGAAAATGACAGTGTGAACACATCGCGATAAATAAGAACAAAGTATGTGTGAATGAGAACACACACCGAACCTGTTTGAATTCGTCTTGTAACGCTGTTGTGGTTGTTCGGCTGATCTCCTGGTTTTAAAATAGACTGCAGAATGATATCATACTCTGTGTTTGGTAAAAGTTGAGGAATTGTAACTTGAGTTTGATCACCCGAAACTGCTAAAGACTGAAAATAAAGATGATATGTAATAAGTAAATGGATGTTGACATAAATTTAGTTCTACTTTTTCAGGGTGGCAATAACAGATCTCAGTAAATGGATATTGACATGGATTTATTTCGACATTTTCAGGGTAGCAATAACACATAACATCTTCATTTAAGTCCATGTATTTGAAACATTGAAAACAGCACACCATTACCCAATACTCTATCCGAACTGATAACCGGAATGCATTTCACCGCATGATTAATTCATCTTATCCCATTGTTACTCTTACTAACTGATCTCATTTATAAGAAAAAGCTGAATTTAAATGTAGAACACTTACGTCTTCTGATGGTGTGCCAGTTCGCTTCTGCCATCTTATAATGTAATTCTTTATACTCGTTGCCGGTTTGTCCCACGTTATCGTATATGAACCATCTGAGGCCGCTTCCATCCTGATGTTGCCTGGTTTGACATCCCGGGGTTTTGTTCTTATTCTTTCAACAACTGGTCTGGATGAAATGTTCTTGTCTTTATTGACCGCTACCACTCGAACCTCGTATTCCGTGCCTGGTTGTAGACCTGCATTACAAAGTAAATTTTACCTAAGTTGAGTGATTGTTGGGTACAAAGATTACATTGCTCTTGAACCGAATAATGTTTTTGTCATGTTTTACATTTCTGCTTCTCTAGACATCTGTAGACAAGCAATCACTTGAACAATTAAAGATATTGCTTTTTTGGAAAGATCGAGCCATGGCCTAGAAAAATTTAAAATTTATTATACCATGGGTGAGATAGTATGCTTGGGGTTTGTACCCAATTTCTTTGACCAATGATTCCGAAACATACACTCCTATTTGAATAAATCAATAAGTGTTCACATGTCTTATAAATAAGAGATTTTACTGACAAACCAACCAGCAACAGTCTTTTTCAAAAACAAAAATTAGGCAATCTATCAAAGGCGATCAATCTATCACGATAAGATCATTTTTTTTTCTCGAGAGAGAGAATATACCTAAAACAAGTGCACTTGCATTAGCTGAGAAATATTGGATACACAAAAGGACCACTGAAATGCTGCAAAAAATATGGTGGTGTATTATTTGTCAGCAAATGCCCATCGACGCAAGTCTTGAGCTGTTCAAGTCAACCCAATCATTAAATCGGTTATGAATTGGGAATTTCACATTATTAAAAAAAAATTGGGCATGAAACTTCTTTGTTGATGGTCGAATAAAAGGTACAGTAAACATATGAGAGAACGCAGCGATCGATAGGACAGTTGAAACTTTTTCTTAGAGGGACAAGAAAAACACAGTTCGTTAAAAGTGTTCGTGAATTCCAATTGGGGAATTTGAGACCTTTTCATGCTTCATGCTGTACCTGTTGCTGTAATAGAGTTTCTTCCAGGCCTAACAGGTAAAGTTATAACGCCGTCAGATCCATCAGTTGGTACAAGTTCTACAACATATTCAGTTACTTCACCAACAGGATGTTGCCATTGAATAGTGATATTTTCTTCACCTGGCTCCCCAATGTCAACACGATCAGGTCGATCAAGAGCTAAAAAAGATGATATTGGATAATGCCAAAATGCTGGCGCAAGATTGAGGGATAGGTGTTTCCTAAGAGTTTGGCTGCTTACTAAAAAAAATTTAATGTGATTTCTATAATGTATTGTATCATCAGATAGACAAGAAAAGTATTTGATAAATATTGGTTATAACATTCATTACGGTAATAGGTTTTCCATACAGAGATTCCCTATTGACATTTATGGAGTAATAGAGAAGCCCAGATATACACTAGTCAATGGCCTGACCTGGGTCAGACAAAACGTTCAGGAAATATATGTGTTAGTATGAATCAAGTTTCTTGAAACACATAGGTATTATAAATTTGCATTTCCATAGCCTAGAATGCATTGATCTATATAATTTAGTTCTGCCTAAACTAAACACTCACGAGTTGTAACTGTAACTTTTCCTGGTTGGCTTGTTTTTGGACCACTGACAGCTTTGACTTCGACGATGTATTCAGTAGCTGGCATAAGATGGTTGATTGTGACTCCACCATCTCGAGAGGGTACTCTAAGAATGCGAGGCTCGCCATATATCTCTTCATCTCCAATGCGAATTACGCTGTAGTATTTCACCTGGTAGACAAAATATTAGTTAGTATTGGGACTTGGGAGCAAAGGAATGTAAAACAGTAAGCATAATAAATAGCAAGATAGAGAGAAATAAAACGAAAAAAAAAACATTAGAAATAGGAGAGAATAAAAAAACTAGACGAAAAAGAAAAACTTTGTATTAAAGAAGAAAGATGCAATTGAGACAAAAGGCTCACTCGGTTATTAGACTCTTTTGACAGGAATACTGACTAAATCATTTATAATTTTTTTGTAATTCACTTCACACACTTGCTTCGAGAAAGTTTCTGAACTCCTAATGTAATCTATGTTTCGAATGATGCAATTTTTTCATATTTAGAGAGTTGGAGTTAGATAGTCATTTTCCACTATGACTGTTATCATTTTCGAGTGAAGAATTGAGACCTTCTACCACCTTAAACCTATTAATGTTAAACCATGATCGAACCTCATACTCAGGCACTGTGTCGTCAATATCCCATCTTACACGAACTGAGGTTGAATCTGGCCTGTCACGATTAGTAAGTGGTTCCGCTTCAGTGTCTTCAGGAGTTTTCAAGGCTAAATGAGCAGTAAATTGATTATAACTAGACCATGTTTCAGTTTATTCACCTTAAATGTGCTCTTGCCTCAATGAATCTAAATTATATTATCTAAAGACAAATTGCTTCTTTGACCTCAATGACTTTTTATAATTTTGACTTGAGCAAATTCTTTCACTTTCAGATTGGGTGCCTGTTATCTTTTTGGGGCCAAAGTGGTTAGAGAGTGCAACATTGTTGGCAATGCAGATTAAAAATCGATCTCATGTTAAAAAAAAAACAGGCCCGCCACCTCGCCTAAGATATAAATAATTGAGTAGGCCATGAAATGTGGCATGGCGCATTGTGCTAAGTAAGCGTTAGGAAGACGCTCGCCACAGCACCTTTGGTTACGCGAAATGAGTTTGCGAGTTCGAATCCTGTGGGGAATAGTTATATTCGAGAGAATTACTAGACTCCTCTTCACCGCAGAGTGTTTGACGTAACCAGTGGTCGGTCACGGCTTCCTCCACCATCGAGTTCATGCATTTGGAACAAATAACTGTCAAACTAATCCCATCCCATTGACTGGTAACAAGACGAAGGGCTGTGGTTTCCCAAATGATTAAGTCGAGTTATGGGCTTTGCTCGCCCCGGGATATATATGTAAATCGTATCCAATGCATCAAGGAAAGAGTATTATGTTCACATATAAGTGGCTGCTCATACAGAGCCTTGTTCAGAGTGTAGGCATAAAAATGTAGGATGGAAGTTAGATATAAGACTACTTAAGTCATTTTGCCAGTTTAGTGATAACTTGCAATACTATTATCAATACATACGCGTTACAACTTTAATTGTTGTTGGCTGGCTGGCAACGTCATTCAATATTGAGGTTACTTCTATGGTATATTCTGTATCAGGTTGCAAGTCATATATCACTGTTCCGGTTTGATCTCCATCAACAAGGAGAATCTCCGGATTTCCTCCTACAGGATAATAAGTCACCTGAAAAATTACGTAAATATTTTAAATACCGTATTTGCTGGCTAATAAGTGCTTTTCTGGACCCAATTTTTCGGCCTGATTTTTTTTTGGGGGGGGGGGGGCGTCTTATTCGGCAGGTAGCCTATGTCTATTTTATTTTTCTGTGGTTTGCTTATTTTTCACAGGAGTTTTCTCAAACATGATTTGTGTTAACCTTATATTCGTTTGATATATTTTATCATGTACTCGATGACGCCAAAGGGTCTGCCAATCATGATATTTAATTGACTTCGTACTGGCAGCTGTTATTTGTCATATTCTTTTTTAAAAACTCCATTGTAATCATAACTGGCTGGTGGCACACCCTATATACGCCCGCCCCATTATGGGTACTTTAAAAAGAAAACGCGGCCATCGAGATGACGTGTTTATGACCCATGGACAGAGAACGACATAGACAAGAAAACACAGCTGTTAACAAACCCACAGAGGTACAGTGTAGTAACTTATCACACCGTGTTCAAAGGTTATTTCAACGTTCGGGTTAATAGGTTGTTCAAAATGATTGCTGCTTTTTAATCTAATTCTTTATTGTTAAGAATACTTAATTCTGTGAGTATGATTCTACCAACCAAACATGATCTGGTTCTAACCATATAAAACTATAGAATATTCAAAATGATCGCCGCCTTTTAACTTAAAATTACCGCTTTATTGTTAAGAATAGTTAATTCTGTGAGTATGATTCTACCAAATAAGCATGATCTGGTTCTAACCATATAAAATTATTAGCGCATATTAGTGTTTAACTGATCAACAGAGAAGCAATTTTTCCACCCTGTCGACGTTATTGGAGGGCTGTATGAAAAAACCCTCTTTTTAGTGCGTAAAATAGACATCGTCTTATTTGCCGAGAAATACGGTATCTCCAAAATAATAACTTAATCAGTTGTAGTTTCCTATGGAGTCAGTTAATATATATACCATATTATTACTTATCAGATAATAAGATAAACTATTGATTAATTTGATGATTTAATTTTAGGTCGAATTTTTAATGATTTTATCATTCTACAAGCTAAAAGGTTTATACATGCATTCAGTCCAAATTACACCAAGATTATATTCATATTTTGTCTTTATGCAATTATACATTACTTAAAATTATGTATTTTTCATATGCGTTGAAAGGTTAATATATTCATATTTTGTCTTTATGCAATTATACATTCCTTAAAATTATGTATTTTTCATATGCGTTGAAAGGTTAATATATACAACGGTTTCAAATTGTAACAAATTTTGACCTCAGTCCACGATACAAAAATACAGAATAAAAAATATTTAACTAACTTCGTAATTATCAGCATTTGGAACTCTATGCCAAGTAACTTCAATACTTCCATCTTCACCTGGGACAAGACTTTCATCAACTCCTTGTGGAGATGGAACCGCTGAAAACAATACAAAAATAAGTAAATATGGGTAAACTTAAAAAGATTTAAAATAGAAAATATGAAAATTGGCGTTGGGGTCTTTTGACCAACTGATTTACCCGTAGTGACAAATCCTTCCAGAGGTAAACTAAGTTCTTCTCCTCGTTTAGCGAGAACTTGCACAAAATAAGTGGTGCCTGGAGTCAAATCTATAAAATAAAGTTCAAATAAAATTTAGTCAATATTAGATGATGACAGTTTCTTTTTACTGTTTTTCTGTTTTGCAAAGATGGTAATATACTGGTTTTAAATAGTTAGGTTAACAAAGGCTCCATGACTATATAGACTACCAAATAGGACGTCCAGTTCAGGAATTTTGATATAATATCCAAAGATTTTTGCTCCCACACTATAAAAACTGACATTTAGACACACAAGGGGCGATTAGCTTTAAAATTATTTTGGTGGAAATGCAATTATGTCTGAACTAACTGAAGTTTGAATATATGATCTCTAATCAGTCAGCAAATTATTCGAAAAATACTTTTCAAAAGCATGACAATAATATATATAAAAATTATTCAACATAAAAAAGTACTTCGAAGAGACACAAAAGTGTCCGCTGTTTCAGTTTCAGTTGGTTCCCATGTCAAGTCTTCTGGATTCGTCACACGAATGACGTAGCGTGGACGACCACGTGTTCGTGATGGAGACCAAACAACAATAAATTCATCTTCACTCACATCAGTAAATTGTATGTCGGTTGGTGGCTTAACACCTGATGTTAATATTAAAAATATTAAAGAGAAATATTTTAGCAATATATGAATTATTATATCAAAGTCTACTTATCAAGGACTGTACACGTATAGAAATAGAAATGATATGGCTTTAGAAGAGCGGGATTGTTTCCAGTTTGACATGGCTTCCACATCCCTGATGGAGAAGTGGGGTCGTAGTTTGACATGTAACTGACTGTCACTATTTCAGAAGTCACATATAATTTTTGAGATGAGTCTCATTTCTTTTTGAATAGGAATGTGTAAGCACTTCAAAGCATCCAGCATCAAAATAAAACCATACTCAAGTAGTGAGATTGGTGACAACGTTTTCATCAGTGTCTACAGCGTTGGTTGATACAACAACTGTAGTCTATTTACAGCAACTAGAATAGTGTTCTGATATGATTTGAAGCGATCAAACAAACGTCTAGTATACAATTATAACACCAATTAAAAGTTAATTTTGACAATTTTTCAAATAAATTTCATAGCCGACTCTGACACTAAACTGACTGAGAAACCCACCAATGCTTTCAGTAAGTCTAGATGCTGGACTCTTGTGGTCTTGTTTTACAGCTGTTACAGTAATCTCGTATTCGCCTGGTTCTACACCTGTGATGTCATAATATGGTGAAGACACACGTTTTGTGACAGAGTTTCTTCGATCATGGATTGGATTGTAAGTAATCTAAACAAAAAATACAATAAAATAACAAAATGCCAAAAGTGCATCCATACAAAATTCCATGTGAAATGTCCTTCACCTCATAATAGTCAATGTGATCAACTGGCGACCAGACAACTCGTACTCTGTCGCTGGATGGTCTTGTTTCTAGATTTTCCGGAGAACCAACTGGACCTTCGAAATAAGAAAATGCAAATATGAAAATTGGTGGTAATGTATGTAATGAATCTGTTACATTATTTAGTTTAAATATATATATACCAATTCGAAAAAAGTGCAGCTTTTTATATCAAAATACAATGAAATTTTTTGGAACAAATTCCTTCTAAAATGTGATTCATATGATAAAAAGCCAAGCATTTTATCAGGTTAATATTGGTTTTATATATGCTTCAAATATATATATACCTTCACGAAGGTTTCAACCATTTTTTTTCATTGACCTTTTTATCATTATCACCAAGTTTACTTAAGAAATAATATTTCTAATATATATAAGTTCCAAAGTGGGTAAGACTTGCAATCTTCCTCAACCTTGAGAAATTGTACAAAATCTTGATATTCCTTCCACCCCAGGTTGAACCATTCGTGAAATCATGTAAACACAATATAAGCTCTGTGAATTATATATAATTTAGACTGACTAAATACCTGTCGTCAATTCTAATGTTTTCGGTGGACCTTTGGCCCCATTATAAATAGTTGTGACTTTGACAACATATTCTGTTTCAGGTTCTAAGTCATATAACTTCACATTGTTTGTTTCTCCTGCGACATGGAGCGTTTGCGGATTTCCTCCAATAGGATAATAGGTGACCTATGAAAGTAGAAATTCAAAATGTATTTTTGCGTCATGGTTCCGATGAAATGAGAAGGTATGTTGTTCTTTCAGTAATCATTTTCTGTTTTCAATTCCTAGTAAATGTTGAGGTGAATCATATTTGATTTTAATAAATTTTAGAATAATGTTTTATTAATAAATCTGTATATCAAATCCAAATACCCAGCTGGTGTAACATCGGATAGCTACCAAACAGCCATGCCTAATAGTCCTGTACGGAATTTTAAATCAAGCCCAACTATGTCATGAAGGTTTGAGGAAACCTATACTGGGACAAAAAGACTGCTTTGCCCAAATCTGGAATGTAACCAGATTTAAACGACTTATGTTAAGACTTGTTCAAGAATAAGTGACAAATACTTCATGAAATTGTATACAATAAACTGGGATTTTCCACAAAAGATCGAATTGATAGTAAATTGATTCCTACAACAAATATAATTAACCCTAATGACCGGTATAAGAAATACTTTAACTTACTATATAGCTGTCAGCATCTGGTACTTCTTGCCAAATGACGTCAACAGGTTGATTTCCATGTACTTTTGGCGCATCTACTCTTCTGACAACTGGTATTTCTGAAATTTTTATCAAAATATTACCTAACATAGTTTAAACTTCCATGAAGTTGAATAATAATATTATTCTCAGTAATTTATTTCATCATAAGAAATATTATATAGAACATAGATAAATATTTCGGGGTATTTATATTGGCAGGTTCTGTAACTTGTACATTTCAAAAAATTGTTTTCAGTGGTATGTTTTGATCGAGAGAGAATTTGCTCAAAGCAAAGTCAATCACACATTCTCAGACGTTTTATATAAAAATTTATAAAGTGTGTTGATGACATGAGTGAGTGTGTGTGTGTGTGTTAAGTGTGTGTTGATGACATGTGACCTAATTAAAATATACCTATAAACTGAATAAGAATAACGTACATGCCTATCCATTATAGAGGGAGAATTTGAGTTCAAATAATTTTTCGGCATACATTTATAATTATATATATTCAAGCATTGATTTGGTTTACAATTATTTTTACCTGTTGTAAAACTGCTTGAAACTGGGGAACTTTTCTGATCAATAAACACCGAAACAACCTCAACATTATACCGGGTTCCTGGCTTCAAATCTGAAATGAAAAATAAAATATAAACCAATTATTTCTCTGCGTTTCTGTTGTTATCAAGCTTTTACTTTTGAAATAAAAGTCATTAGTAAGACCAAATGTGGATAAAATTATACCATCCCTATTCTTTGGTTGGTCCAACTTCCCAACAAATCCTTTGTTATAAAATAACTTTATGTATGCTTACCAGAAAACGAATACCATCTGTTTTCAGTTGTACCAGTTATTGGAGTACCAGTGGTATCATAAGCTGGTACCAGTTTAACTTCATATGAAAAACGCTGTCGTGTTCTCGGAGGTCTCCATTCAATAACAGCAGAATCTTCAGTTATGTCACTGAAACGTACATTACTAGGCGAATCGATACCTGTGATGAATAATATTATTGGAAGTTCTTTGATATCGTTTGAAATATTACTTAAGTTATTATTTACCTGAAATTTCAGCAAACATTTGAACAAAATTAAATATTGTTTGTATTTATATTTGTAAACATTTTGGGTAAAGTGAACTGTTTGCATAGATAGACATGAAAGCTTTCCACCATGTTTAATTATAATCAAAAAAATAGAATAATGACATTACTATATACTTGCTTATATTACCACAAGACGTTTGTCAACTGTAATAAAATATTGTTGATATTGAGCAATTACCAATTCGTTCTCGAGCAGTGGCAGTTGGACTTCTTTGGTCATCTTTCACAGCGACAATTTCAATTTCATATTGTCCGGGTCCAACATTTGGAAGATCGTAATATTCTGATCCCGAGGGTAGCTGTACCGTAACTGGCCTTGAAGCATCATCTACCGGGTGGTATGTTAACTGCAAAATAATGTAGACACTTTCTATGGATTTTATTGTTGTTTTTCATGTTAAGCATTAAAATATATAGCAAATGCGGTTGCATTTCGACTTGTTTGCTGTTAACAATTATATATTATGAAACTTATCCGACATCAAATGTGAAAATTAATGACTGAAGAAATAAATATGAGAATAAAAAAAAATTATTGGTAAATATTGATTTGAAACTTCTATTGAGTGCATATGTGTGTACCAACGTACACTTGTTTAATTTTTGTGTTTTATGTATAATTTTTTTGTAATGACATAGAATGGAGTTGGAGCATTCCTTTCTGTATAATTAAAAAAAACTATAAATTCCAACAACTAGAATGGAGCAACTCAACTGTAAACTGAATTACTTATACACAGATGTTTTTATATATTAGTTTTACACTGCATAGCATTGATTTATAATATGTCATGTTATCTTTATCCCGGAAACTTAAATCCGCTAACTTATCATTGTTAAGATAACCGTATAGTCTACCTCATAATTATCCGCACCATCGACTGGAGACCATTCAATTCGAATGACGCCATTTATAACTCTTGACTGCACATTTCTTGGTTGATCCACAGGTGCTGTAAAATGTAGTGCAACATGTCATCATAACCGCAATAATAAGATCCAGTCTATTATGGAAATATGACTGAAAAATCTAGAGAAAGGTTCTTGGTTTTTAATTAAAATGATCCTATATGTGTAGAAAAAATTGCTGAATTATTAGGAAAATACCTGTTGTTACGACTGCTGAAATTGGCTCACTCTTTTGATCACCGTATCGTGTTATGACTTCAATGCGATATTCTGTATTTGGTCGCAGCCCTGAACAATTGTAAAAAGGACTTAATTCAAGAATTCAATCGGGCCCGTTACTGAATGAAGCACATAGCCACATTTCAATATTTGTTGATAATCTTAATGCTTATTAGTAATACAAAGATAAAGTTAATCACCATTCGAAATCATTGTTACGAATAACGATGCCATGCTTTATTTTTTTTTTGAATACAACCATTAAAACTTTATTTACGGTTTTTGAACATGTTTGCAAGGCTTTAGATTTTTTTTTCACGATTTTCGTACATAGAATCAAAATTTGAATGAAAATCGTACTTCGGAATGTATATGTTGTCTGATTTGTCCTTTTTTCAGATGGTAGCTCAAGCGGTGTAAAAACAGAGTTGAGCAAGGCAATGACGTCATATTTTGGAGTATAGCCCAAGTTTGAAGGAGGTTGCCATATTGCTGTTACCTCATCATTTGTAATGCCAGTCAATCGAAGACTTGTTGGAGGTTTTACAGCTAACAAATAAAAATATATTTGTAAGAATATACCCATACTACTACAAGCTGTGTATAGATTGGCCTATAGAAAATTAAAAAAATGCAACGTTTCTAACGGTGCCACGTTCTTATCCTATAAAATCTAATAATATTTTTGTCCCTTTTTTCTCCTCCAGATCAAATCTGAAGTTGAGATAGTTTTTTCGTCTTCTATGACATATCTTGGGCTGAGTATTGTTTTGACCTATGTCGAAGCAAATATTTGCAAATATTTGTTTGGCATGAAAAAGATAAAATTTTCGAAGATTTCGAAAATGGAGTCCCTAGAGTCCCTATCCCTAAACCTATCAAATTATTGCGATTCTATGATCAAATCCTGGAACTAAATAGCAAACTCTCCATCAATGTTAATATTCGATTAACTTACGCATATGTGCAGTTATATCGATAGTAGGACTGAGGTAGTCCTCCTTGACCGATTGGATACTTATGACATAATGGCCTGGTTCAACATTAGGAAGTCTTAAAGTAGTTGTTGGGCTTTCAACTGTCTCTGTGTGTGATTTGCTTTCATCGCCTTCGGGATGAATTGTAATCTTTAAAAACAATTTTATAATAAAATTATGTATATAAAATAATTTCTAGCATCCGATTCAAAAATAAAATTGCTTACAGAATACATGGAAAAAAATAAACATAATATCATGAAGCAAATATGGTTCATATCACGAATTTGAAAAACATGTTTGCCTTTCTGTTGATCGTGGAGGTTTTTCATTATATATCAAATTATAATGATACAAACTATAACATATTCTCTGTCTGAGTTCTGAGACGAGCCAAACTATTCGGATTTTTCAAAATCACTATTCTGAATTATGGCATTCAATTCTGTGAAACCGACGGCTTGTTTCATTTCAACAGAAATCAAGCGTATATAAGATATTGTCAACTAAGCAGAATTATTACAACTACATTGAAGGAAGACTTTATTTTTACAATTTATACACTGAATTATACATTTAAAAAATAAATAGACTTTTTGATTAATTTAAAATGAAGAAAAATAGAAAAATGTTTAACAAGGCTTGTATATTGTAAATACCTCATAAGCTTCTGCATCTTGCACAGGTGACCATTGTACAATAAAATCATTGCCAGAAACAGAAACTCTTGCTTTAGATGGTGTTGATACAGTCTCTGCAAAAGAAATGAAATACATTTACTGGTATAAGATTTAAAAAAATTGGTTGGGTCTGAGTTGCAGAGAAAATAGATTTTTCGCATAGAGAACAACAGATTCAGATTCAGATATTTATTTTCACCGTGCAAGAATAAATGTAAAGCAATAAACGCACACAAAAATAAAAAACTAACAAAAATGAAAAAAACATTGATTCATAGCAATAGATGATGGGTCGCGATAGACTCGGTGAGTCATCTAGTCAGTGACACCTCAGTTAAGCAGAAAATATAGCAAAAAAACATAATCATGAAGAGAACAACAAGACATGAGAACCATAGACATGAGAAGAACCATTATGATTCATTTCGTATAGATGGCGTACTACCGACATTGGAAGTGAAGCGACCGAGTGATTGGAAAATGCCTCGCTGAGTGCAAACACAGCAAGATTTTGCTGACTAATATGATAGGACAGAATATGAAAAATAAGGCTGCTGCCCAGCAACGAGGCTCGTTATGGAAGCAGTCAACAGACAGTAAAATTACTGACGTAATGAATAACCAACCGGTATGTATTTTACTAATGTCACAACAATTTAGCAAATTATCTCAGTGTCCAATAAATGTGTATGAAAATGCATGGAATAAGAATTACGTCAACTGGCAAAATACCTAAACAAAAAAATTTTGTTATACCGTTTCTTGTCGTTATTGTGGTGGCAACAGGAGCACTCATTTCACTTCCTTGCTTGGTTTGAACCTGAATAGTATATTCTGTATCCGGTTGAAGATCAGTTATTTCAACTCGGTTTGTAGTAACGTCAATTTCCTTCAACGTATGAGTTGTAAGAGGATAGTACAAGACTTTGTAACCTAAAATTGAAAATAAAATAGTAATAATATTATTTAGCTTCGATAGTGACCCAAATATTCTTCATCAATTATCATATACACTACCAGTGATTGTAATTTTTTTGTAATGTACTATCCATTTTAATACATTTCTTGTAATTTTCGATTTCAATATTTTTTGCTCATTCAATAAACTTTGTAATAGTCAGGTTTACGAACAAGAAATTGTGTATCTTTAGAAGAGCGAAATGTCACATTTGGTATTCACAAGAAATCTCTCACACAGACTTGACACAATATCAGACACATTATTTCAATATCTTAGCACATTTATGATAAAAAAATTTTAAATTTTCAATAAATTCAGTTAATACCATTTTACACTTTTGTGAAGAAGTTCATTGCTAACTTAAATGTTTACAAAGGTTGGTGAATGAATTCCTTGATCATGAAGCAAACCTGTGATTAACATACAACTGTAACGTAATAAGCTTTATGACAATTCAACCATGAGGTCTCGTCACGATCTATCACGAGCATTCTATAATATTCATATTTTCCGCTTGGGAAATTTACATTGTGGAACATTTTAGTCATGAATCGAAAATACAAATGTACCTGTTGTTAACGTCGAAATTGGTTCTGTCCACATCAACGCAACAGAATCATAACTCAAGGCAGTTACATCCAAATCTCCAGGCTGGTTAGGCTTGGTCTAAACACATCCAAGTTTATAACAAAACAAATTAGTCTAGTTGCCATAGAGTGAAGGTTCAAAGCATTTCGCTATTATCTCCATGTGTATAGAATGACTATTGTAATCACTCATGAAACTACATTACGGGTATTGTTATCTTTATTGGACTATATGCTTGTAATATGACGTTATATTTAGCTGTTTGGTAATATTTTGACAAATTTGTCGTTTGTGAAGGCCATCGCCCTTGGTTTATTGATGAGTGAAACTAATTTCTTCATATGTATATATTTACAAAATCAGGGATTATATTATGGATAAAATTGGCAGACTCGGAAGATCCAAATGGTATATTTTCTAACTTGTATCTATCATGTTACTTATTGATACATACTGTTGTGTATATAACAGCTGGTCTACTTTTTCTTCCTCCCGAAAGGGCCTCAACTGTGGTCCGGTGTCGTTTTCCAGTTTCAAGTCCCGTTATTTCAATTGAACTTGTTCCTCTTGGTACCTCAAGTCTCTGTTGTCGAAACAAAAAATAAAAGCAAAATGTATTTTATAGAACATCTAGTATAGTATTTCATGAAAGATAAATCAAAACTGAATAAATTAGTAGTATTGCATAAAACTGTTAAAAAAGCATAAATCAAACCACAGGATCGGTTCTAGTACTGCCTATTTAAGCAAATGAATCGAACCACAAAGAACCAAAGTCAATGCGATTCTCCACTTACAAAATAGTAGATGGGAACAAAATTGATCAGTTTTTTGATGACTTATAATAATAAAGTGCTTCATTTACATACAGTCGCAAGTTTGATTTTTAGACATGATTTTTTACCTGTCTACGCCCAGCACCACCAATAGGTGTAACAGTAACTCTGTGCTCTGCATCTTGCTCAGTCCATTTCAATACAAATGATGTTGACGTTTTGGTTTCATCTGGTACTCTGACTATTGGCTGATGAAGAATGACCCCTGAATAAACAAAATAAAAAATAAAAAATATAGTAGCTCAGAGTTTGTAAAATTAAAGTTTTCAAAACATGATGATCTAAATCGGTTGGACCTGGCTATGCTGGCAAGATATTGATTGTCTTTAAGTACAATAGACAGCGCAATTACTGCAAAATTCTTGTGCAAATTTTTCATACATCAAACCAAATTGTCACCCGAGTATAAATGAACTTAACTTGATCATCTTTTCTACTTTATGATACACTACACTAAAATAGTTTACTATTAAAACAAATTCATGGCTATAGTAAAATAAACATATATGTTTTGAAATAAATATGCAATAAAAAAAAAATTCTTATTAGTTGCTCAGTTCTTATTAGCATAATCCCTTTTAACGAAATAGAAAGTATGTTTGTAAGCTTTGGTAATATCATAGTCTAGTGTTAGACTAAGATATAACGAAAGCTTACAAATATACTTGCTATTCTGTGAAAAGAGATTATGCTCTTCCTAATTATCTTTATAATACTATCTTGTTTAAACATCTTGAAACATATGGCAAATGAAACATAAGTATCTGTGGTAGGAAGTAAACGAGTGAAAAAGCCTTACAGTTTTGTACACAATACCCTATATATATCTACATTACATTATATTGATGTTTAAAAAAGAACAGGATGCATCAGCTTTCCCAGAATTCAGTAAACCAATGACAATAAAGTCAAGATTAAAGTTAAAACTAAATGGTACTAATGGTACTACCTACTGGTACTATACCACTATTTTTATCATAATTGAAATGTATGTGTATTTTTGTTTCTAACAGATGGACAAAGTATTTCAGGTGTGGTTTTTTTAAATTATAAATTAACAAAAAAACATGGTAAAAAATTTTCAGCTTGATCATCTAAAAAGGGACTCACTTCTCTCAGATGCTGGACGTGTCCTTTGTCTTCCTGCAAGAGGGGCACTTTTCTCTCCACTTTCTAATTTGGAAGATATCAAAAGGACATAGGTAGTGTCAGATTTAAGACCTCTCAAAGTGACGCTGGTGTAACCCTCTGCAGTGACTTGATACCAATCTGCTCCACTCTCTTCTGGTCGATACTTTACTTCGAAATCTGTGTAAAAACTCAAATTAAATCGAAATGTACAAATAATTGGTGGAAGACCAACTCATTTAAAATTAATCAACAAAAATCACCGTCTATACATGAAATACAGTTCATTAATTTTTTAATGAGTGTATCACCGGTAAGTAAATTTTGTCTAACCTGTTATATCATCGCGAGGACTATCCCATGAAATTGTGAATCTTGATCTCATAACATTTGTGAATTTCATGTTTGTTGGCATCGGTACCTAAAAATGTTATTTCTATAGTTAAATTTCATAATGATTTTTACACATTCAATAGCGACTTACTGCCGGTATTTAGACTTAAAAATAAGTCATCAATAGGCTTGATTATCATGTACTAGAGCCGATGCCACTATATAGTTGATCAAGACTATATTTATAATTTACTCGATTAAAACGAGCTATTTCTTTTGTATCACAGTTACCTCGTCAGTGGTTCGATCGGACGGTTGAGGTTCCCGTTCTAAAGACAATTTATCCTCTCTAGTTGGCTCAGGTTCATCTGGAGGAACTTGTTCTACATCTCCTATAGAATTATAAAAATAAAATTGTAATAAAATTGTACAGAAAACATAAGCTTTTACGATGAAACTGTTGACTAAAATGAACTACGCTTAAAATACATACATCTGATCACCTTTTTACAAACTATCGAGTAATATCATTAATACATCTAGTGATGACTGAAATCAATCCATAACAATTTGAAAAAATAAAATATTTCAACCTCTCCCAAATTTAAAGTGGAATTTCAAATTAGACTAAAGTGAAATAGTGATCGAGAAAGTAATTTTATTAGTCATTAAAACTCAAGTCTAATAATAATATATATTTATTTTTCTACATTAATTCGGGAATGGTACCATGCGAAAACCTTATGTACGAACAGCTGATTTATATTATAGTGCTAGAGTCAAACTGGATATTATCATATGTTTTGGGAGAGAGTATATATATATATACAATGCAGACAAGTGGACATCTAGCTTTGAGATTCAGATTCATGGTAGAATTGGGGGTTTAACATACCACCTCGTGATAACCCACCTATTCTATCTACTCAAGGAAATATTTCTTACCTAGTCGAACCAGAGTAACGACGGGAAAGCTTGAAATACCTCTCCGAACTGTATATACTTGAATTTCATATGTTTGATATGCAGGCATTCCTGTGACTTCTATTTTAGAATCTACAATATCGAACCTCTCATATTCTTGTTGATTGGCAGCATTCAAAATGACAACTCTGAATTATAATGACATATTACCCAAGTGATTAGGTTTTTGAATGATGGGAATTATGATAGCCGACAGGTAGGATAGAATATAGTAGGTTGTTGGGCCAGTAAATCGTTCTATATGCATGGACTTGCATGATGGTAAAAGAAACCGTGTTCAAGCAATAAACCGTTCCATCACACAAAGTCCTGCATTTCTGTTGTAAAAAATCATCTTACAAAGGATAGTGATATTGAAACTCATTTAGGGTAATTGAATGGGTGATTTGATACGCTTGAATATATATATGAATTTAGACATTGTTATTTCCTGAGAAAGATTTGTGCTTTATATTTCTAGGCGTCGCTATTTTGTTATTAAAAAGTCTGGAATCTTTCCCTGTCTTGAGTTGAACAATTGACTAAATTTTCAGGATTCGAACTGCTGAAAAATTTGAAACTAATCAAAAGCATCTAGCCCATCATTGATGTGCATGTCATTCAAATTATACTTGTAGTTGTCAAAGTAAACATCAGGAGTGGGTTCCCATCTAGCTCTCAGTGATGTAGGACTAAGTGCCTCGGCTTGCAAGTTTGATACCGGTGATGGATAAGGCAAAGGAGATCTGAAAATAAAAAAAATTGGATTAGTGTATCAGACGATAGAACTAGCTTGTTGCAAGGAACAATCAGATAATAGCAATTCAACAATTACAGGTCGTTTCCTATTCAGTATATGGGGAATTCCTTAGAATTGGTTTGTTTTCTTCAGTGCATACCGATATGTATAAAAGAATTAATATAATGTCCTGCAACCACTCATCAAATCACAATACAAACTTTATTACCTGTCATCTCCGGGTTTGTTTGTCGGTGTCGCGATCGGTGGGTTTGTCCCAGTATCTTCAATTTCGATGACATCTGTTGAAAAGTTGAGCATGGGTAGACTTGTCATACTATTTTCTGTTTACTTTGTTCTATACCTCGACCTCTGTTTATTGGGCATAACCAATATTATTCAATCCCACATTATAATGTAAAAATGGAAGGAAAAAAACAGAACAATAATAAAAACGGCTTGAGATTTTTAAAGAGAAGCTGTCAATTATCATTCGTGAAATTGTTTTAATTTTTTTTTTTTCAAATATGATTAGAGCACAGGTGGCAAATATTCTTAAGTGACTTGCAAACTTTTACCGTTGCTGAGATTGAACTTATGCTTGCTTGCTCACAAACTAATTTTATTATGATGTTTCACTCACTTCCAGAAAGCAAATATACATACAAATCGATTACGTCTTGAAAAACAGAATCTTATCGCTTCAACATAACCTTCTTAAATTATAAATAGCCTGGGTTAGGTTGTACGCGTATGCAATTCTAAAAGCTTCAAATAGTGACGCTATTCAATTGGCCTTGCTGGGCAGTCACATCAGCCTTAACCAAAGACACCAGGTTATAAATGAAAGAGTCAATTCAACTCTTGTTGAATGTTCAGATAACTATTCGCCTCATAACAACATACTTACCGATTTCTGTGTAGTTAAACACCACCGGGGTAGGAATGTTATTTTTCAATGTGCTAATCTTGAATGAGGCAGTTTCTCCCGGGGCCATCGGTAAACGAATCCTTCTTGAAGTTGTGTCAGGTGACATTGGCGGTTGATCGTTCCATGTATGTGTGTTCTACAATACGTTAATATTCATTAATAGTCAAGACATGCTTCTGATTAAATAAGAAGTGGGCGGAGGGAAAAGAGCAGAAAGTTGTGGCAAACATTTACACTGTAGTTCATAAAAATTAAATTATTTTTTCAATATAAAACAGTTGTTCCCAAAGTTGATTGACCGGGAGTCAATTTAGAATCAGAAGGATATTCGCGGGCCTGGGGGGAGCGCTCACACTGACGCGACCCATAAGTAACCCTTGTACCGGTACTTATAATTAAGATACCGGTGTAATTGAATGGTTACGAATATACACGTGCTTAAACTGTGATAATGACGTAACAATTGGCGGCATTTAGAACGTAAAGTATAAAAACATAAAGTGGTTAACTATTTCACTCAAGTGCGGCGGGCCATATTAAATCGTTACGCGGGCCGTAATTGTCCCGCGGGCCAACGAAAAGTGAATTTAGAATAAAATATACTTACAGGGTTTCTTATAGAAAACAATATTCCGTCAATATCTTCTGGATTTTGCCAACTTATGATCAACTCTTGACCATCAGGTAATCGGTGAACTCTAACATCACTAACTTTGTCTGCCTGTAAAAAAAAAGAACAATTATATAATAATTTAGTTGAATTCGTAAACTACATGGACAAAACATATAGCGTTGTGGATTCAGTGAAAAAGATACAAGAAATTTTATCTTTTAATGCTTGGGTAAACAGGTTAACAAAAACTAGCTAATCGGTCATTCAATCAGTTATATATATTGAATATATTCTCATATAAATGTAATACTTACAAAACGTATGAAGGCACCAACTAAAGAATCATCTGAAACTCTATCGTTAATTTTCGATTTGATTTCAACCTGATATTCTGTTCCTTTCACAAGACCGGTCAAAGTTGCTTCCGTAGTAGATGTTTCTAATTCCTGAACAAAACGAAATATTGATCCGCGATTAATTATCAATATCTGATTCGGTTTGTTATTAAATCTTATTAATTTCACAGTGCTTAGTAACTGGTGTGTTGGTATTCCTATTAACATCGAATTCTAAAAATCCCAGTGCAATCACGTATTCTGTCAACAGACCAGACGCTATTAAAGTAGGTTTCACATCTCTTTCAACCTAATGGGAAGAAAATACACTAGTGACCTTATGGATGGTATTGCCTGGGCACAGTAGTCAAGTGATAAGTTGAATACTACACGGGCCTTAAATTTCCAAAATCCAGACATGTCTGAATAAAAATAAAAATCATCTCACCTTTTCAGGTCCATATCTACGAGATGTTGGCCAGTAACGAACGGCATATCCGGTGATGTCTTCGGGATATGGATGCTGCCACGTTACAACCACGTCTCTCTCATTTACAAACCGAAACGCAAATTTATAAGGAGGTGCAATGCTGTCGGGATATTTTGCAACCTGTATATATACATATTTGTAAAAATCAAGTTTAACATCAATAACAGATCATAAAAAACGGTCATGGTTATTATGTACTTACGATTTCCATCAAGTCTGATCCGGTGCCGCTTGGGGCTGTTACGGCGCACTTATACCTTCCGAAGTCTTCTGGATATTGTATGTTTTGAATTGTCAGTTCAGTGATGGATGGACTACTGAGTCGGCCTCTGAACTGTAGATTGCTAGGATTTGGAGTTGTCTGAATAAGATAAATTATTCTCCGTTAACTGTACAAAAGAATTACATTTATTTTGTATAGGAAATTTCCCAATATCAATATCGGACAAGGCAAATTTGCATTCACTCAAATATGAATCAAATTATATAGATAAAGACGATAGCGATAACTATGTTTTCAGTTGTGGGTTAGTCATATCGTTGTGCGAGCTCTGGTAATATTAGCAGTCAACTCAGCTCATCGACTTATCCAGAGTCTCATGACTGATCATGTAAATTATACCAAAAGAGAGAGATTACAATTTCCAATTATTTATTGCGGGTTCGATCTGGAAGATGAATGAAAAATGACCAAAGTATATGGAATCGTAACGAAACTAGATTTTTGTCCAATACGACACAATAATTTTGGAAATGACTACCCGTGTAATGCCAAATATATGCTTATCACAGCCACGGATTGACAAACCGTATAGTTAAATTTATCCGAAATTCCACATTACCTGATTTCTACGAGATGTAGAAACGGATGTGAGTATTATTTGTTCTCTGCCATCAGATCTCACTTTGTACCATCGTACTCGGTATGGTCTTCCAGAAACTTTTGCTTTGCATTCCAAAGTCACACTATCAGGATAGGGAGCAGAAAGTGCAATAACTTCAACTAGATATAAAATTAGCTTCATTAATTTTTAAGTTGCATATTAAAATATATTAATTAAACCAGTTCAAGTGAAATATATCTGATATATCTTGGGATTTTCAATGAATAGGTGGATGCCAGTCCAGCAGTACCAGTCCAGCAATCCGACTGTATATAATCCTCATCTGCAGGATATAATCAGTAAATATCAATGGACGGTGCGCTACCGAGAATGTTTTCAACGAGTGAACTCAATAAAACTGTCTACTATGAAACCCATCGACTGCAATGCACAAACTCAGTAGAAGCTAGCTGGCACTCACATGCATGGCAACATAACGATTATTTTTATATAATCCATGTTCAACTCGCTAAAGAAAATTTACATTTTACCTGTTTTTATAAGTTGGTAGGCAGGTGCACTGAGGACTCCATTCCGCACACTATTGACGGTAAACCTGTATGTCACACCGGGACGAAGCAGGTTTACTTGTTGCAGGTTTTGAGCAGAATCAGGGTATTGTTTTGAATAAGGGAAATCTTCGTTCAGCGATTGAACAGTAACGCTGAATATGACAAAATATGGGGTTTGTAACCAATGTAAAGACCGTGCTATGTTCTAGGACAGGGCTTCTCAACTATTTTAACAAAAGATCCGCATACAAAAATATTTGGCTCCGGTCTTTCCAGAAATTATATTTTGGCATCCTTCAACACGCATTTTCTCAGCTGACTAATGATTATTAGCTAATCATGATTGTTTATTATGGCTTTATAGTTTGTTTTTTTTGTATATATTTAAATCTATAAAAGTGTTTTTTTGAAAGGAAACTTTAAAAGTGGGGCTAATGATCAAAAATAAAGAATTAGGCTCGGCCCGAATCGAATACCCGGAAGGTCCGGATTCGGACCGCGGTCCGCCAGTTGAGTATGCCTGTTCTGGGATAAAAAGAGTTCGTTGTGATTATTTAGTACAATCTTACCGATATTTATCTGAAGACGTCCATCCAGGTGGTGCATCCCAGTATACAGTGACTCTGTCATTTTCGACGTTTTTAAATTTGACTTGAGTTGGAGGATTGGGGGCTGCGGGAGTCTGAAAAATTCGAAAAACCATACATGTTAACAATATGGCAACAAATTTATATTAAAAAGAATTTTGAATATACATTGACCATGAATGGAACCTACTGGTTTGGAACTCTCCATAACTCAAAAAAAAATCAAAAATGGTGTAATTTAATGTAAACGTACCGTCTTTGTAAATTGACCAGCAAGATGTGGCGAAAGATTTGAACCTTTCGAAGACTGAATCCAAACTTGGTATTGTTTGCCATCAATTAGTTCAGGTAACACTATTTGATTCAACCTGGTTACCCTTGTCTAAAAATAAAGATAGAGACTTCCACATTGACAAACATGCTGAGATTAACGAAATCTGTCAGCAATGATTATATTTCCAAACGTTGTTAGAGAGTATACGGCACATCAAAATGTGATTATCCCCTGCCATTCATAGCTCACCTTATCGCCAATTTACAGGTTATCTTGCTCAATATATAGATAAAATACTAATAATAATATTAATCTTTTTTATGGTCATCTAAATACAATTCAATTTTTTTTTCTTTTTGCAACTGCGATTCGAAACAAATCGAGACAAACTTGAAATAAATCTTATTGATGACAAATAAAATATTCTGTTGTAACCTCAAAATGATTGCTCGAAATTCTAATTCCTTTTTTATTCTAAAAGTTAGTTTTTTACTAATGAACTTATATGATAGATTATAAGAAATGAATCCCATATTTTACAAACCAAAATTGATACTTGATTGAATACTTACAACTATAGTATCATCTGTAGGTTGACTGACATCCCAATATTGCACTTTATAACCAGTGATGTCACCAGAAGAAGGACGATCCCAACTTACGCGGGCTTGGGTTTTAGACAACATTTCAGCCTGGAAGTTGGTTGGTGCCGGAAGTAATTCAACCTAAATGAAATCACTTAGCATTTTCAACTTATGGTGTTTCGTGTCATATTGATTTGAGAAACTGTGCACAGAACGCGGGTTTTGAATAAAAATTAAAAGTTAGAAACCTAAAATAATTAAATAAAGATCGATTCAAAGTTGACAAATGAAATTCCTTGCTGTTGGAGATGCGAAATATGTATTTAGAAATAAGACCATCATGCATATAATTAATATCGCCCCTTCTGATAACGAAATGTTATTCTCGAACATTTTTACATACATATACCCAACATATTATTAATACTCATTCAGCACTCAGAAGAAGGTCCTGTACAAACGCCTCTGATATACAAGGAGCTATTTATATTGTACAGACAGGAATCTTTCTTGTTTGGCATAGCCTATACCCAATATATTGCGAAGATATTGGAGATATTATATTAAATTCATTCAAAGAGTGAATGTTGATAAATCAGTACTTGCTTAAATAATGATTCAATGCCTTACCAGTTGCTCAAATAAGCCCTCTAATGGTTCTGAGTATCTTCTGCTATCGGAAGCTCTGATTTCAACCTTGTATTCATTTCCCTCCACCAAATCATCCAAAACCACCTGCGGTGTTGAAACTTCTCTTCTCTGCAATATAAGTTTTGTATGGGTAGTATCAAATAAGAACATAATATTATTAATAATCATGATAATATTTTAATGCAGTATCTCATAGTTTTCTCGAAACATGGACCTGGATGACCTGGTCATGTAAGGTTCTAATAATTGAGATATTTACGATATGGTTTGGCATACTTAGGTTATTAGATTAGTAACTTATTACAGTCAAAGTTAGTTGATGATCATAAAGTTCAAATAATTGTTATTCAGTATATGTTAAAAGTATTAGAATTCATACTGCGGATTCGGTGATCATTCATGAATAACCTATGTCCTATACCATCAATAAAAATTCATCAAGTACGCAAGTAAAATCTAACATTACCTCTTGTGCACCAAACTGACGATTAGTAGGATAATATATAACTACATAGCCAGTGATTCCTCGAACTCTGGGTGCTTGCCAAGTCAAGACTGTAGTGGTTGGTCCCGTGATATCTGCTCTGAACCTTGTCGGAGCTGGAAGTTCTTCGACCTGAAAAAGCATGCGCTATATTGCAGTAGCAATCCATGAAATAGAAAATATAGAAAAAATAGGTCATTAGTTTCAACCCAATGGTTTCATAGTCAATTTTATTTTTTCCAACTAGCAAAAAAATAACATACAAAATCAAGAAATAAACCAAATTTAACACACATCTTTACTGGGGAAGGGAAGCCGCGGGGAACCAAATTTGAACCACCCAAGATTCTCCATCTTAATTTAATTTGGAAGCTCGGAAGTTAAGTTTTAAGAATAAAATGTACAGGTTTGAAAATCCCATCCTACCGGATAACTCGTAGGGTATTCCCTGATTAACCGGGTAGACAGAGGTCTGAAATGCTGATACGTGTAAGCGGCTAGAGATAGCCTGATTGCGAACACTCAGTAATAAGTAGTTTATATATAACCATAGTTTAAATAGGCGCAAACATGCAAATAGCAATGAATTATAAATAGGCCATATTACAGAGTGAAACCACGCGGGAAATCAGTGGTGGTTATCGAGCAGCGGCACCTATAAAATAACTCTGACACTATATTATAAAGAAAAAAAAGTCGGATCAAGTATAAGCAAATTGAAAAAGAAAATGCATACAATATCTCGAGGCTATAATTTCAACCCATATATTCTGTGAATTAGATTTTACTATCCTTGGCAGACTAAGAGCAACATCACCTAGCTGGTCTGTATTTTATTCTTTTCATCAATACATTCCTATACATGATTATAAAGTTATTTACGTGCTACAGCAAACCTTCAAACCTATTTCGTGACTTTGCAGCCCATGGAATCTTCTGAGGCTTTTACAAACAAATATGTTATGCTCTATTATATTTGGACTTAATACAAAATGGCCTAAACGAAAAGCAATGCTAATTCATCCACAATATGGATTTTGCTCCCGGTAAGCAATAAATATCGATGACGGTTATGAATCCGAAATGTAAGGTGACATAAAAAATATTAAACAACCAAGTAGTACCTCAGCAGAATCAAGATTCACGCTTCCCGTTCCGACTTTTTGAGTATATGGTGTGTCATACTTAACAGTACATTCATATATTCCAGCATCAGTTTGCTGGAAGTTTTTAATGCGGAGTTGTCTCTCGGTGGTCATTGAAATTCTATTTCGCGAAGATCTTGGTGGCATTTGCTATAATAAAAATAGATTGTATTCCAGAAAGCCTTGAAAAAATTGAAAAAGTAAACAATATTATGCTTATTTTTCTACCTAAATGCCTGTATTAAATTTTTGCATGGTAATTCAATTTGCGGTACTACGAAATTCAATAACTCGCGCTTTTTTTTTACAATGCTTCATTCAACATAGTACTTTTAAACATCATGACAAAACATGACTAAATCAAAGGAAAGTTAGGTATTTATATAATATACCTGGTTATACACGTACACACTCCTATTTCCATTAACTTTCTTCCATGCAATGACAGGTTTGTATTCCTCAAAACTTGGGTATACGCAATGAATATAAGTTGTGCTTCCGATGTCTACTGGTTTAGATGGTCCATACACTGTGACGTCAATACGATCTGAAAATGTAAATAGGCGTAAAATGATTTACGTTTACAAATGAATCGAAATTCGAAAATTCAAAGACATCACATATGATGCATTTCAATTTTTCTTTATTCATCATACTGCGTGAGGTAAAAAATGAGTTTTAATTTTACGCCCAATATCGAGTTGAAACGAAATTATTCCTAAAAATACTAGTTTGGTGACTCTTCATCAGCCAATTTTTTTTTTTATATCATTATCGTAATTTATATATAACGCCGTTTATAAATAATATGTTTTGCATCGACAATTATTTCTCTAGTTTATGCAAATCAATCCATGACAACAAAGCTATAGGGTAAGTGATTAACCCCAAGTAGTTATTGTTTTTCAACAATGGAGACGGAATTGAAAACAAAAATAGTAATTACCATATTGTTTGTCAGCCCTCGAGGGTGGACGAGTAGTAGTCGGTGTTGTTGCTGCAGTGGTTGGTGAAGTTGACGGAAGGACATCATAAACAATGTCTTGATTGACTTCACCAGGTCTGAAATAGTAATGATTACAACTAAAGGTTTAAGATTCCCCAAGAAAAAAAAATATATATTCAACAGTTGGCAACATTTAATTTGTATATTCGGGAACAGATCGGGTTTGATCGGATTCGGGTTCGAAGACCTGAGAATGAGAAAATTGGAACTCAACTGTGGTGCTAAAGGATTCCAGAGTCTTGCTGCACAACAACACGCATATATTTACACACCAACATACATATATTTCTGTAACGTGTCGCCTGACCGAAGTCGGATAATATTAAACAAACACAATTTTGTATGAAATACTTCAAATGTCTCATGACACAATGAAATGTTTAAATTTCAAAGACAAACGCGAATTATACAGACGTTGTACTTCTATGCTTACCGAGTGTAAGGAGTGATTGCTATTTCATAAACGCTACCAGGCTCGAGATCATTGAATGTATGTTGACTAGATCCACGCGGAATTTCAACTGTCACGAAATCATCTTCATTGTATACGTCCCTACAAACAAAGCAGGCAAATACATTGAAATAATGTGTATTCGACTCAGTATTTCATTTGAATAAATTTCAATTTTCACAGGGATATCTCCTTGATTTATTAATGGCGGACTGATAAACCTGCAAATTCTAGTCCAGTGTTGCTGATATGTATATTCACGATATACCATGGGTTTGTAGAAATATTATATGGCAATAATATCTGTAAAAATGAATTCAAATAACTAAATTTGAATCAATGCGGCAGCAATCAAACCTGAAAAGTTTCCGAGCTGTAGAAATAAGTATTCCGCGGACAAAAGCCCAGAAAGGTCATTGGATGTGAAGAAGCTTGCTGTATTACCTTTTACACCAAAGGAGATAATAACTTGAAGATCGGATATTATGAGCTACTTTACTGTCCTAAGCAACTGCATATTATTATTTCACATTAACTGAAAGTGAAAAGTGTTGAGAAATAATTACCTATATTTAGCATTGTAATGGTCGATAAACATTCGATTTGGCCTCCAACGCACTGTTACTCTTGTGTCGTCATAAGGAACTTGAATTAGTCTCTGAAAAATGTTACATTAAATATATATACCGTATATTCAAATATAGTAAAAATAAGCAACACACTTGACGGAATCTTAACAATATTTACGGTATAACTAGCATTACACATACCATTGGTGATGGAGTGATCCTGATGTCAGTATAAGATACAATGCACTCGTATGTGCCTACATCAGATAGTGTTGCATCTCTGATGAGAAGACTATCTGGGGTTGGACTCGACAATCTATCTCTGAACTGGGCAACATTTCTCTGGAAAAGAAGAATGCACGAAAAAATGAATAATTATGGTAAACATCATCTGATTTTGTTTTATGATCATCTTCTTTACCTCAGTTTTTCGATTATTCGCAACATCATAAGTATAGATTTCTTGTCTTCGACCACTATCTTGTACAGCGACCCATTGAATCATGTCAGCTCTTCCGTACGTTTCTTCCTGGATTCCGCAACGGAGAAGTATTGATGGCTCTACAAAAGTTACAAATGGCGTCTCGCATGACAAGGTAAGAGAGTTCTATAGTCTCGATGTACAAAAGGAATGATAACTTACCGTTGTCAATTTGGTCACAATTTCTGCCTTCGTAACCACGGTTGCATTCGCAATGATAATTTCTTCCGAGAACTGTACATTTACCATGCAAGCAAGGGGTGGTATCACATGGGCTGCGAGTGTCAACTAGAGAAAGATAAGATACAAATAATGAAGCATACATTGCCAATAACGTTACTCTACGATGTAACATATTAACCAAAAATTTAAAACCAAAACAACGTACAAGTTTGGCATCTGGAACCTCCGTATCCTTGTTTACATCTGCAGTTATAGCCGGTTCTTGAGCTAATGCAAACACCATTATGCTGGCATGGATTTGGATTACAAAGAGTTCGTTCTAAAGAATATATGAGTCCTAGATTTAGGAAGTGTCCCATATCATTATTGTCTCAACCAAGACTCGGAGCAAGAGATTGAATACATTTGGAAAGTCAGGAGAAATTGGAAAGTATTTGGTTCCTCATGGCAAACTCATTTTTGTAAACTCGATGGCTTCTTGGCAGGCCAAGCCCGAAACGTAAATCAACAGCTATTCACTTGGGCTACGTCCAAACAAACATCGAGCGCATAGGGCCAAACGTAGATTTAAATATTGAATTCTAGCTTTATCTGAACTTATTATATTATAATATCATATTATTTATATATTGGATTAAAACAAATAACTAAAAACAAACACTTTTTCTGCTCTATGGCTTTATACAGAACTTTACTTTACTTGCGAAATAATCGTTTCCTACAAAAATTTTAATTTTAATGAAAGTATACACTACTCAACCTCGTTCACAGTTATCTCCAGAAAATCCCCTTCTGCATTGACAGAGATACCGATCAAACTGAGAATGGCAGGTTCCGCCATTTTGACATGGATCAGAATCACACAGATTAATCGCTGAAACAATTTTAGATGTAAATAGTAATTTATTGCATCGGCATCAACATTATGAAACATACAAAGTAACTAGCTATATTTAAGAGCATTGCACATAATATCCCCTGGTTTCAAAGGTGCAAATCCGGAATTTATTTGTCTGCATCACACTTTTTTGCGTATTCCACTCGGGGCAACCCACTGCATCACTAAAACTCAATTGATACTATTGGAAAATATGCTTTTCAAAAACCTTAAATAAAAGTATTTGGTTAATTTCGGGTATTGCTATTTATGGACAAAACTTCAGGTTAGGGTCAGTAAAGTTTAGTCCAACTATGTCATCGCCCCTACAAAATACCAGATAAAATTTTCCAAGCCTTGTCACAATGAAACAAGCGCTGTCGAAAAGTGCCCATTGCAAATATCACAATAAAAAAACTTTGTTCTTGAGTTTAGTTTGAATTATCATACCAATGTCGCATCTTTCTCCAGTAAAACCTTGATCGCATTCGCAATGAACAGTTGGAATTGAAATACATCGACCTCTTCCACAATAATAGCGACCGCAAGGATCTGGGAGTACTGGTTCTAAAACAGAGATCATTCTTTGATAATGACTAAGCGCTATATTCTCAAAGTTTTCCAGGACAAATTTATGTCAGAATCAGGGCGTGATAATGCATCTTGGGTTAAAATATTATGTGAAAATTACTCCACGTTTTAATAGTGAAAAATTGTAATTTTTATATCAAATAAACACTTCTTTTACGGGGGTTACATTTTACATTGCGGAACCTTTCGTGTGGCATATTTGATGAACATGTGACTCTTTTTTGCGCTAAAAATTTGTTATCAATAATTTGCTGTTGTGAGCATGTCGATCGATGAACCACCGCATCAAAGAAAAAAGAACGATGTGTATGGGAAAGCGAGATAGGAGAAACTGACTCTTTCGTTAGACTCCAGCTTGGGTTAATTGTTTGGTCCAGGTTTTTTAAAACTCCATTTTTCTGTATATTCAGAACAGTCGCAACCGCAACACTGTACTTCCTCCCAGAGAATATTTTCTATTGTAGCTTGATTTCATTCACAAACTATATTTTGAGGCATTTTCCCTCTATACTTAATGTAGGATACATGAAGACTAATAAAATGTGAAATATTAATCACATCTTTGTGATCTTGGTACATTTATATCAAAATTATGCAATTTTCAAAATTATACCAGATCACATAACAAGCAGTTTTCGCTTATTGTGAGATATCTCTTGTAGAATAATGTTTGAAATTTATTGCATTTTAGGAGAAGAACGAGTATATCAAATCATGGTATAATACCGGGAGGTTCTAAATCTCCTTCCTCGTTGAGTCTCCCTGTTGTTTCATCGAGTGTATCCAGAAGATCTCCTTGTATTCCGCCACTAAAGAAGAGACGTAAAATTGATGTGAATAAAATTAATATAACTGAACATACAAATTTGCTTATAAATAAGATATTACTAATTACATTAAATCTAATGTTGAAGCCTCAGTTGCTTTAACAAAATGTAAGTGCAGTGAAACATTTAGGCGTTCAGATAAGTACAACTTTACCTAATGAACTTTACCTGTAATCGTAAACTCTGAACGAATATCTTGTTTGTGGCGTCAGGTCTTTCACAAGAGTGCTTGGTCGATCAGTGTCCGGAAGAGTAATAACATACCAACGACCAGAGGCGTCTTGGTAACTGAACAAGATATAAATAAATTAATGATGTTTGAATCTTAGATCTATACATTGGTTTTTATCATGCATACATTATGTCCTATCCACCGCATAGTTTCATTGCCATTACAATTATATCTAATATAGCTATGAGCAAGTGATTGCATAGATAACCTAACTAAATTTGCATCACCAACTTTCGCAGGCTCTTTTCGTTAAATACAACAAGGAGCATGCACCCAGGCGTAAGGAAATGAGTTTGTTCAGTTGTTGTTAAAATGGCTTCATACTTTGCCGTACCATCGGTGACGTGATGGGATTTTAAAAAGATGGCAAGAGCTTGCAAACAACTGAATAAACGAGTGACTACCTAAATGGTTATGATAAATTCACAAATATCTCCAGCATTGTCAAATTACATAGAAAAACAAGTTATCACTTACTATGGCCTGTATTGAATATAATAAGCTCTTATCCCCGGTCTAGTCTCCCAAGTAATGTACAGCGTCACTAAATCTGGTCGATAAGCATTTTGCCATGTTGTGTCTTGCTGCAAAACAAAATATTGACTTTAGAAAAAGTTTTCCATCAAAATCAATACCAGAGAATCATTTATAAATTTTATTCAAAATAACTAAGTATGAACTGGTAGAATAATATTACTGTTTTGTTTTCATCCCCGGTCCAACAATATCAGCCACGATTAAAGTCGACACTATCATAGCAATTGGCAATATCATGGCCTCAATTAACGTCAAGCTTCTAAAATGACATTCATTCATTAACTGAACAAAATTATAGTTCTCGACAAGGAGTGCAGAGGATTTATAATATACGGTATCCGAGCCATAATTATATCTCATTTGATACAATGTCGCGTTTTAAAAGGATGTTTTTATTGCGACATCACTGTCGTTCACTGCCCTCAGTGCGCCTCGCGTTTCAATATCGAATTTTTTACGGCGTCAACTTACTGATCCGTATAGTGTAAAACGGCATTTGTAGTGTCCTGCATAGTCTGGTGTCGCGTCTTTGATTTTTAGAACAGTTCCGTCCACCACCTCGATCTTGGGATCTCTGTCACTTGCATACTGTGAAATAACAATAAAGAATATTCATATTCTTTAATACGTCACTATAAAAAAGTCTAATTTTTACCCACCGTTGTTGTGCTCGAATCAACATTATAAGATGCAATAAGTTCTGCATCCGTGCGATCTTCGCCTTTATACCAGGCAATCGTTTGAATTGCGACGTCTTGTATCACAGGGCATTCAAGAGTGACATCTTGTTTGTTAAAGTTGTAAGTAGGCTTATATGTGTTCGTGTAAAATCCGCCTCCAGCACCAGCAGCTAAGAATTTGAATATGACATTGAGTTATAGGGGACCAGGCTTAAGAAACGGTTCCGAGTTGAATGGCCGGGTGGGTTAGCGATTGTTGTTAAATTTACAATGCAGTAAACGTCTCCGAAGGTTATCCAGCTAAATTAGTAGACTGGGTAATGTTATGGTTATAGTTTTACTTTCTTTAGGCAATATAAATCCCAGACTTCTTCCATCTGTAAACAGTGAAATTTTAAAATCGGTTGGTCCGTCAGTTGAGGAGAAAAATGATTTTTTCACAACAAGAACAAGAATAATTTAGCAACAGTTCAAAGGCCTACTTTGCGTCTAATAATTACGCTACTGAAACAAAATGAATGGTAAATTTATTTCCTTCGGCTCCAAAACGAAATAATGGTTAAGAATAGCGAAAAACACTTCAACAATAACACCACCTAATTACTTTGAGGTTGGTTTTGAGCCATTTTGTATATTCATTTTGAATACTCACACGTTGTGACTGTTTTCCTTCTCATTTCAACATATTCTCCGTCTCTATAATACGACACAATGAAAATATAGTCTGTGGAAGGAGTTAAACCACTCAGAGTAGCTTGACCATTTTCATCGAGGTGAATTAAAAGTTTTTCTCCGTTGTCGATGTATTCGACTCTGAACCAAAAATAAAAATTAAATCAATAAAAATTCATAACATTTATTGTATTTTCATGTAACTTGTAAATAACTTGTACATTTGTTCAAGTATTCCTCAACACTTTTGCTTCAAACATGACACTGGACACGCACTTATTACATGATGAGTAGACGCCAAAGCGTTTACCAGGTCATCGGGTTCATAACATACATTTTTTTAGAATCCTTTCAATAGCATTTTCTCAAAACACGGCCAAGCGCATGTAAGAGACAGGTATATTATGAACCACTGATATTCCGAGTTCTACTGAAACTATATCGAATTATAGCGTTACATTTTGTCCCACTAAATACTGATTGGCGCGAAGCAGTTCAATATGATTAAAAAACGGCTATGAGGTATTAAATTCTGACTAAACTAAAGTTGTGAAAAACGATAAATTCAACAAGCCGCACAGCGACTTTTGAAATGACCAAGTGAAGGCAACATGTTGGCCACGCATTCACGATATAATTTGGTAGAGTACCATCAATTCAGATGATTGGAATGACGCAGTCTGTATATATAGTACAACACTTGCGTTTCACATTATTAAATCAATTATATGGCTTATATATTCGTCTTGTATAAATGCAAATCAAGTAATGACGACATCCATTATTAGTCCAATCTGAGCCGATGTACCGATGGTTATGAAAGATATTATAATCCTTTATACATATTTTCACCAATGGATAAAAATATTTACTGTCTATTAACCCCAAACATAGAACGTTCCTTCGACTCGTTTAGCGACAAAATATTATTTACGTAACCAACCCAGCTGTATTTGGGTTACGTCGGGAAGGAAATTCGCGTCTAGGGGTGATTTCTAAGAAGCCAGAAAACAATCTGTACCAAATCGCGTAATGTCTCGTCTTTCGTAACCGCCGACTTACTTGAAAACCTCCGGGTTGTCTGTAGTAAATGTAATATCCATCGACGTGTCAGTGACTCTGTCAAAACTCATGCTAAAGCTCTGTGTGTATTGAGTTTGACTGTGTTCTGTAACTTTATTCCCAGGATATTTGTTATGAGTGCCAGTCGGAAATATGCTACTTCCGGTAGCGGCCGATAATTGATCTGAAAGGATCAGTCTTCTTGTGTTGTCACTAGAAAATTGGAAAAATAAAATCTTGCACCGAAAAGCATTCTTATTTAACATTATGTACGGAATTTCGGTTAAAAATCCTGTGGTAAGCTATCTATAGCTCATGCAATTTTACGTGCATCATACTAGAGTTAGAATAGGCTATGAATAGACTGATTCTTATAAAATGAACACTCGTAAAGTCTAATACTCGAAATGAAAAAAAATTGATTTGAATCAAATATTTCCATTTTATACATTCACGAACATCCGAAGTTAGCATTTACTCTTCAACACGCATGAAACATATATAAGAAGAAACATAGAACATTCATTTACAGTTTTATTCGCATGACCGTCGTGACGTCTTGTGGTAAAATAGAATCGCGCGACAGAAATAGTTCATGGAGTGGCATGAAATATTTCCTAATACACAAATAAATATTTTAAAAAAGGTTGTTTTTATACACCGTTCGGCGATACAAACATTTTGTATCACGTGCATATGAATGGTTTCTCGACATTAAAATATTCAACGAAAAAGTAGGAGTAGAATTCTATAAAAAAATTTGAACAATTTATTACTGTAGTTGCAAAATAAGCGTTACCTCAAAACTGCGTATACGTTAACTTCATAAACATTCGGATCACCGCTTCCAAGGTCCATGTCAATTTGAGCTTGGGGATTTGCCGAAACCTCAATTCGTTTTTCAAGCCAAGGATCCCCTGTTCCCCTAATATTATAAAAGTATGTTGTTAGTTTCATCAGGAAATATATCTTTTAACGCTGGTTAAAGAATGCGTTGAATGAGAGCTACCAAATACATAAGTTTATGTCAAGTCGACCAAACTGGATGGTGTGTAGTATAGGCTAATATTTATGGTAACTATAACTATTATTGAACATTGGAATTCAGTCACAGTCTTTCCAGAAAACGCAAATTTGATTTAAAAATATGAAGATTTCGATTATATTCGTGTGTTAGCGAGTTTCTTTGTAATAAATTGAGTGCACCACGAATGTATAACAAACTACTTGGTCATTGTGGGTGATATTAGTTAAAAGTGTAAAAAATTCTTTCACCCAATATACATTACCTTATTCTATACTGAATGAGAAAATACAAAATTTGACCCAAGTGTCGATATGCATCAACAGAAATCGGAATCAATGTATCCTGCAAAGCAAGTGATAGATAATGTTATAACATGGATTACGAACGACAATAATTTTTGTTCTAGGCAGCTTTTACGCTATATAGCAGAGACGAAGTTTTTCTGCACAATTATCAATGACAATTCATTACTGACAATTGTATAACACAGTACATACAAATAATCCTTTTTAGTTATCAATTTTTGACTACACATTTTATATTGCCCATCCGTGTCAAATATATGAAAAACAAAAGGGATGTAAGAAAACTCTAAAATAAAATATTAAATTAAACACCTTGGCAAAATGGCATTTAATTCGTAATCCAGATTGTGGAGGATCAACATGAAAACTGCAGTTGCAAACTTTCTTGTACGATCCATGATTTTCGGATTCTATTGCAAAGTTCTCGATATTTTGAGAAAACAATTTTCTACAAGCACCATATCGTGACATTTTCCCACCTGAAAATTTATATAAAATTAGGAATGATGACTTGAAAATATTTCAGAAGCATGAAAGTCAATAATACATATTATTGTCTGATCACGGAATATTGACATGTGTTAACATTAAATATATTTTAATAACGCTTTGTGCATTGTAGCTTAGTTTACGGAATGAATACATGTGGCTTTATACGAGAATCATAACGTTGCAAACGGATGTCCTAAATTTATTTTCTTCTAGCAGTACAGTAGATATCTAATCGACGAGACTGGTAATGCGATATTCGAACTACCTTCAATATACATATCGGTAGCATGTTTGGTCTGATTAAACTCGTTGTAATATAGTAGAAATCAGTAAGAGTTCAGTCCGTTTAATCTTGGTAACCGTATCACGGAAGGACGTATTCCACAAGATCCAAAACTTTTGTTAGAATATAATAGTTCAAATCAAATCAATTTCTTACGATAAATACGGTAAGATAAAGTACAATAAAATTATGTCGCATCGACTATAAGTGTAGTTACAGATCCGGGCCATTTCTAAAGTAAAAGCACATGCAAAAATACTGATAAATCTATTTCAATAATTTCAACTTACTTTTCAAATCAGCTGGTATGTCGACGAGTGCACTGGCTAAAAATGCCATCGCTATCACCACCGCGCCTTGCGCGACATGGTGGCCCATAGTGTAACAGTCTAATGGCCAAAGACACACACTTCTTGATATGTATTTATTCTAAAGTATATTGACATTAATTATAATTTATGTATAATTAGAGCTCGGGGTATCTGAAATAATTCGAGGAATTTAAAATTATGGGAATAGTTATGCGCGAAAGGATTTTTGGCCTCGCCGCTGTAGGGTGGTTCACGTAACCGCTGGTCGATTACGGCTTCCTCCACCATCAAGTCCCCATCAACGAATCCCATAACCGGACGAGAGGCCGTGATTCGCCATATGATTAAGCCATTTTATTGGCTCAACTCTCCCCCTGGGATAAATATGTAAATCTGATCCCATCCTATTTATTATACCGACCTAATGCTTCATTCTAGAAGTATCTTGTTCAATTATGTTAGCAACTCTGAATTTTGAATTCGTGGATCACTCACATGTTCAGAGCGAAAACATTTAATAAATTCGGGTGTCTTAGTCATTAGTGCTTTGAAGTAAGATCTTAGTTTTAATGAATATATTTATATGTGTTATGTACATCCACCTTCCGCCCGATTGCTTTCTGTATACTACTCGTACTACGAATCGACTGCCTAAAAGTAAATACGGTATACATTTTGTCAACATAGGTAAAGATATATTGATTATGAAAAGCTATTCTTGATATTGGTTTTTAAAATGATATTTCGTGCAGTTTATTTTTAATGGCATAAACCTTGGAAGAGAAATGAGCTGTACGAAATGAAAATCGAAAACAAATTGCCCCGTTCGTTTGTTTGGACCAGAAAACAAAACAGGGTCAAAGTTGAATGACATCAGATATTTATTGTTATCTAATATTCCTGCGTCATGAATATTTTGAACTCACAACTCGATAGCTGAATCAGGAAATGCATCGATCTTTGAATACACATAACATAAGACCCAATAATCAAAAAATGATGACTGTTAGAGTTTAAGTAAGTCACAGCGTAACAGAACTACTATTGAAAATGGGATCATATGTGGCTTTAGAATCCATGAAGCGAATCAATGTGGTATCCTGTTATTACACACCACTGATTATTTAATTTGTTAGGCGATATTAGGATAAGTTAGATTAGATTAAGGTAACCACTTTTCCCTTAATTTACCCTAACCTACGGCTCAAAAATAATAGTAAATCAATGACCGGATGATATATACACTTGATTCCCTCTGCGCTAACATTAAATAACGAATGTTCCTCCTCTTTATTGATTTGATTTATATTGTCTGAGACCATAAAAACACTTCAAGTTCCCTCAATTCTCTGAACGAAACAAACTCAAAATTTGAAGACAAGTTTGAATCGACCTTTCTCTTTGCATGCCCCGTTGCGCAAGACACGGGGTAGTCGCAAACAAACTTATTTATAGGAATCTTCTCAACACGTAATATGTCTGTTTATATAGAGCGTATATGTGAAAAAATGAAAGGAAATTTGCCGAGCTTTCAATTTCTATAGACCAGCGACCGAAGCAGGCGATTTACGTGCGTGCCGGTAGGAAAAGCATTTGACACGGGTATGAAAATATGTCTGTAGTCTGCATAACTTTTCCGGTATTGCGCAAGAATTATATCAACATGTAACGGTAACGAATATGGTTTGCATATTATGGATACGGTACCTCATCAGACAGACTAAAAAATACACAACAAATAACATTCTTAAACAAACTCTCGTGTTTTCCTACTTTTCCCAACTTCTCCGTTTTTATTCCCTGGTATCCCCAAAAAATAAAATGAATCATCCACGATGACATTCATCTCCAACTTGTTGACACAAACAAGTCCAACTTCCATTAGCACGTTAACAACTAAAACAACATTTATTCTGACATGAACCAACAACAAATTTGCAACTCTCGTGAGGATAAAAGTATTTCCAACGGAAATCGCGGGTTCATAGTTTGAAATTAAACAAAATGATCACATCTAGCCTGGTACATGAAAAAAGCCAGCATCATTTGCATAACATATATGTGAATAAATTAAGACATTCCTAACTTTTGTATTCAAATTAAATCTTCTTATCTTAGCTCTGCACAATTTTAGTTTGAAGTAAACTATATATTTCACTAGTGAGTACAACAGGTAACAAGCAAAATTAGTCACAATGATAAAAAAAAAAAAACGATATCTCGAGCTTCCCTTTATAAGCTTGCTGTCACAATACTTCGGCAATTTTTCGAAAAAAAAAAAATTGATGAGTAATTGGATAGATCAAGTAAGTCCCTCATGAGGCAATTCCTAATTTACGAGTTATATTACAATGCCTCGCCGTGACTATAACTCCATCTACAGAATTCCATTGTCAGAATTGATGGGCATGGGGTATTTAGCGTACGGTTTCCTTGAAGACCTCACAGCACAAACGGTGCATTGTCGTCTGGGAGATTATCGTTATACCTTATTCGAGAACAACAAAAACCCACTTCAAAACTGCATTAGAATCAGACAATAGTCGTTACGAAATAACCAAGAACCGGAACAATTTTGTTTGTCTAGTGATGAGCCACGATCGAGACTGATATTTTACTTTGTTTTTCAACAGAAATAGAGTGAATCGTCACAATCAAGGCCATTCATTGTTTCTCCGTCTTTTTTAATCGATTGATTGAGTGTAGTGATGGTATTTCTGTATGTAAGTTTTACATGGCTCGTGTTTGCATGGGGTCGTACCTACTTTCAGTGCGTTTACTTCTTGAGTTACACAAGTCACTGTAATGGCGTCACACACTGTTTTTGATTCGGTACACGAAATACTTCGTATACCAGCAAAGTCATAACATATCTATTTCGAAGCAATCGTGCGTGATGATCCCTCTCACCCACCCAAACAACTGTCTTAATCCATGTAAATTCTTGACTTACGCTGATATGATGAAGTGAATATGCAATCCAAACTAACGAGATTCAATTAGGCATTTTATTTGGTATTCAACTTTGAAGCTTCTTTTGTATATTGACGTCTAAAATACCAATACAATTTTGGTGTCATTTCAGTTTCATTGTCGCAACCAATCATTTTTCGATTCTTCAAAATTTAATATTTGCGGGCCCAAGTTATATCACCCCGAACCTTGTACAATAAGTCGCGTAAAGCTTACAAAACTTTTCCGAGAAACAAACAAATGTTTTTTAACTGGAATAGGCCTCAAAAACTTGTTTTTAATGGGACTTTCGGTCTCGATCACGTTTTAGAAAATAGGAATATTTCTCCAAAACAATCTGGGGTTCGTGACTCAGAAAATAAATAGAAGGAAATTATTGGGTTTTCTATCGTTACGAACTTTGTCCAAATTATCAGAACAAAATCACATATTGTTTATCCATTACAATAAAACTTATATACATTTGAAAGATATCTTGAAGAAACAGCTGTTATTAGTAATTAAAAATAGAAAGTTACTGAGTTCAATGCGTTATGCCAACTTGCAGCCTTGTATGATCTATGAGAAGTTGTTGTCAAAACACTATACCACATAATGTGAGGTCCGTTTATTACGTTTAGAAATTCGAACCTAATTCTATTTCACATTTTCACTTAATAAATTTCAATATAGTTGTAAATTTGTGCGGCATTCGAATTTTAATACACATGGGATCACTTCAACTGAGCGTATTATCGGAAAGCATTACCTTTATACCTTGACATCAAATAATCTTTCAAATAGCTTGTCAATGAGTTTGAATAGCTTTCAGATAAAATTTGAGACAAGTGCATGATTGAGCAATCCATCTTTGTTTTTTATCAAGAAAGTATGAGTGCTGGAATCTTTTTCAACAATCGTGCATGATTGTCTGAAGTAATACGACTTATCTTTGTCGCCTACAAATTTTATTCCAGACAATCTTGCAGCTCATTTGCTTTGATCATGCGCAAATAAAGGAACCGAAACTACTCCGTGTGTAATACAATTACAGACAATATAGCACAAATTGAATATGACCAATTAGGTGCGAATTAGTCAATATTTATTGTTGGAAACGTGATTACGTCATTGAATTAGTTTACGCAGTGGCGTCTGATTTGCGTATCTCTCGAACGCTCGACGCCAACGATGACATAGATAAAACGAATTGTTTTCAAGAATGGATATGAAAACGGGTCAGTATTCCTTTTGAACAAGCGAGCATGATTTATAAAGTGTTCAGTCATGATGATGTGAGGTTTCCACGTTATATGCTGAACCATGGATATTCGAGATAATATGTTCTGATTGTCCCAATTCTACGACAAACTAAGTTAAATAAGCCGCTAGAATGTGCTAAAGTGTATCTGATTTAGGCAAATTTATTTTGTTTAGTCAAAAACCTATGTTTATCAATTGCGACAGGCTATATCAAACTGTCCTCACTTACCTACAAATGCCACAGATGGTGAATTATGCTGTACTGAAAAAATTTTGCTTAGAAAGTTTCCTCTTCGGAACATTGACCCCGAGAAAATTTCTTCCAAATACATTCCACCCAATCAAAATCCAATTTAAGCTCTGCTTTTTGAACACGAAATGCACATATGGATCGTTTTAATAATATGTTGTTGTTGATCGATTTGTTGGTATTGCTTTTCTTCTTGTTGTTATGAAACAAAACGCCTTTCTCTTTACCTACTGGACCAATTGCTTTGAAGTTTCCATTGATTAATTATATGTTGTTGTCGCTAGTAGGATATTACTTCTATTTATTTCTAAATGTTCTATAAATCCTATGATATCTGATATTTCATTCCTAATTTATCTGTAATATTTTTATTCTCGGGAACACGCTTTTCAATCCGCCAAGGGTCACGACTGTCTTGCGTTTTGATTTTGCGAAATCTTGCTACGCGAAAGTTGGAAGCTTTTCGATAACAGTGATGCACTTTAGGTAGGTACGGTACGATAAGTTACTGTAAAACGTAAAGTACTATTAATGATTTAATACTACAGCTGTTAGTTGTATCATTTAGCATTTTATATCACGTTCTCACAAAACGCATGATCATCATAATCACATGAGCTGGTCCGGTTACCGATAATAGTTACGAAGTTACGATGGTCCACTATTTCAGCTTCGTCCAGAATATGGTTTTGGGGAAAATTGTGG